ACGAAGTGGTCAAGGTGAGGTATAGTGATGGGGCTATGTCCGGCGTCCGTCGTCGTGCGTCGTCAACAATTGGGTTGTTAACAGTCTAGCAGTCACAGTTTTGATTGGATCATCATCAAACTTTGTCAGAATGTTTGTCTCAATGAAATACAGATCGAGTTCGAAGATGGGTTATCTCGGGTCAAAAACTAGGTCACAGGAGCTAAAAATAGAAAAAGCTTGTTAACACTCTAGAGGCTGCAGTTTTCATCCAAATATTCTGGAAATTTGTCAGGAAGGTTGTTTTAATGATATCTAGGTCAAGTTCGAAGATGGGTCATCTCCGGTCAAAAACTAGGTCACAGGAGCTAAAAATAGAAAAAGCTTGTTAACACTAATAATTGGGTTGTTAACAGTCTAGCAGTCACAGTTTTGATTGGATCATCATCAAACTTTGTCAGAATGTTTGTCTCAATGAAATACAGATCGAGTTCGAAGATGGGTTATCTCGGGTCAAAAACTAGGTCACAGGAGCTAAAAATAGAAAAAGCTTGTTAACACTCTAGAGGCTGCAGTTTTCATCCAAATATTCTGGAAATTTGTCAGGAAGGTTGTTTTAATGATATCTAGGTCAAGTTCGAAGATGGGTCATCTCCGGTCAAAAACTAGGTCACAGGAGCTAAAAATAGAAAAAGCTTGTTAACACTCTAGTGGCTGCAGTTTTCATCCAAATATTCTGGAAATTTGTCAGGAAGGTTGTTTTGATGATATCTGATCAGATTCAAAGATGGGTCATCTCCGGTCAAAAACTAGGTCACAGGAGCTAAAAATAGAAAAAGCTTGTTAACACTCTAGTGACTGCAGTTTTGATCCCAAATATTCTGGAAATTTGTCAGGAAAGTTGTTTTGATGATTTCTAGGTCAAGTTCGAAGATTGGTCATCTCTGGTCAAAAACTAGGTCACAGGAGCTAAAAATAGAAAAAGCTTGTTAACACTCTATAGGCTGCAGTTTTCATCCAAATATTCTGGAAATTTGTCAGGAAGGTTGTTAAGATTATATCTAGGTCAAGTTTGAAGATGGATCATGTCTGGTCAAAAACTAGGTCACAGGAGCTAAAAATAGAAAAAGCTTGTTAACACTCTAGTGGCTGCAGTTTTCATCAAAATTTCCTGGAAATTTGTCAGGAAGGTTGTTTTGATGATATCTAGGTAGAGTTCGAAGATGGGTCATCTCCGGTCAAAAACTAGGTCACAGGAGCTAAAAATAGAAAAATCTTGTTAACACTCTAGTGGCTGCAGTTTTCATCCAAATATTCTGGAAATTTGTCAGGAAGGTTGCTTAGATAATATCTAGGTCAAGTTGGAAGATGGGTCATCTCCGGTCAAAAACTAGGTCACAGGAGCTAAAAATAGAAAAAGCTTGGTAACACTCTAGTGGCTGCAGTTTTCATCCAAAAATTCTGGAATTTGTCAGGAAGGTTGTTTTATGATATCTAGGTCAAGTTGGAAGATGGGTCATGTACGGTCAAAAACTAGGTCACAGGAGCTAAAAATAGAAAAGCTTGTTAACACATTAGAGGCTGCAGTTTTCATCCAAATATTCTTGAAATTTGTCAGGAAGGTTGTTTTGATGATTTCTAGGTTAAGATCGAAGATGGGTTATCTCCAGTCAAAAACTAGGTCACAGGAGCTAAAAATAGAAAAAGCTTGTTAACACTCTAGTGGCTGCAGTTTTCATCCAAATTTCCTGGAAATTGGTCAGGTAGGTTGTTTTGATGATTTCTAGGTCAAGTTTGAATATGGGTCGTGTCCGGTCAAAAATTAGGTCACATTGCCCAAATATGGAAAAATCTTTATAACACACTAGAGGTCACATGTTTGACTCAGTCGCATCAAACTTGGTCATGATGCTTGTTTAAGACATTGCTTGGATGCGGTTGTGTCAGGTGAGCGATCCAGGGCCATCATGGCCCTCTTGTTGTATTAAATGTGTGATTTTCCTTCTGATTTAGATCTATTAGAAAAGAACTTTTTAGCCGTCGAAATTTACTAGTCCACGGACAAGTAAACTGCAGAATTTTACTTGCCCGGACCTACAATTGTACGATTCAGGCAACTCGGACAGTTGATTTTGCCGGCCCTGGTAAATGGTAATATTTTAATGTCCATTTCAAGAATGTTGACTTTTGAAAATTTGGATGACAAGAATGCATTACCTGACCCCTCATACTAGCTATAATCATTTGCAGTGTAAACAATAAAATATCCAAAACTTAAGCATTTGCTGCTGAAATATTGTATAATTATGATGTTAAAAATAAAAAATTAAAACACCCTAGCTTTTATCTGGATTAAATCAACGCCATGTAATATCTGTCCGGACACATCAATGTTTCCGCTACTCTGAGTTTCTTGTGTTTTTGACGCAGTAACTTCATGAATGACTCATTGAAAATTGTAAAGCGCGTTTTCTGTAATGCAGTCATAATCTACCTTAATTGGAGGTCTTTTCATTAAGTTATTTCTCCTATTATTAGTGCCAACCTGTTTAAATCGGCAATTATTGTTGGAGTATCCGAAATTTATTTATTTCAGTAACTGCCTGTATGTATTAATTGCTAACTCATTCTGTGTCCTTATCGACTTTTATCTGTTCTACAAGTCATCATATCCGGGATTTAGACTGGAACGGTCTAGGTAAACAAGCGATTTGTGCATGCAGACGCAATTGATCTCAGTAGATCTTCTGTAGCACCACCACAGCTCTCTTGTTAGTCTAATTTATTTATCCAAATTGTTTATTGACAGCATGTTTGTATAAAAACTTTTCTTTTTTTTTTCAGATTTTTTACATAATACAAAACATTTATGCACATACATACAATATAATTTTGAGATATATGTATAAGGAGGAATAAGAGATTTCTTTTTAGAATCTACAAATTTTATAAATATAATAATTCAATAGTATCTTAACAGTGTTGACAAATTTTTAATATCAGACTTATTTTAGTATAACATTAGCAAAAGATTCATTTTCGGAACTTACATGTATTACTTTACTATTATAGAACAAAATAAAGCAGTGTCTATTCTAGGATTTGAAAAACAGGGGGGATTTTTATCGAAAAATGACAATTTATTACATTTGTTGATTTTTTTTCCTTCTTTCTCTATGCAAAATTTCCCCCCTGCCTCAGAAAGAATAGGGGGGAATTCTCAAAAATATGGGTGAATCCCCCCATCCCCCCTCCTAGAACAGACACTGATAAAGGAGAAATTCCAAGTTTAAATTGAACTTATATTGAAAAAAAATGTCATTGATTCAAGGGAAACAACTCCTACTACAGTAGAACTTCGGTAAGTCGAAGTTGAAGGGACTTGCATAAAAACTTCGACACATCAGGACTTTGACTCATGAATCAGTCTCAGTTTCATAACAAAATTTCGACCCGTTGACGTATACAAGGAAGTTAAATTAGGCGTAACAATAGGAAAGGGCAATAACTTAACCAGCATTTAGTAAATATTTCACGTGTGATTATCACGCAACACCGGGTCACGGAAGTTCTCAAATGAAAGTACATGTAGTTCTTAATGTTTACTTTCAATTACCACTATGTCAAATTGAATGGTAACAATTAAAGCATTTTATTACACATTTAAACGCATACAAAGGCTGTTTGAAGACACGGCTGTGTAATTAACACCTGTCACCCAAGTTGATTGGAAATCATCTTTGCGGCCAGATAAGGTGTGAAAAATATCTCGAGATCGAAAAGTGTCAAAAATATTAAAGGACTTCGACTTATTTGTGGTAAATTGTACTCAATTTATTCTATAAGGACCATGAAAAAACTTCGACACATCAAAAAATTCGACACATAAAATTTCGACTCATGAATAGGTTTTTATAAAAAATATATAGGGGAGAAAATCAGGACTTTCATTTTCCTTCGACACATCGAGAAAATCAACTACTCGAAGTTTGACTCAAAGAAGTTCTACTGTATTTTAAAATTGATATCCTCTGTACATTTTGAATTTATCCATGATTTTATATCTTTCCAAAAAGAAGAACTTAATTGGCAATCCCAAAATAAATGTTTAATAGTTTCAATATGGTTGTTGCAAAAAGAACATGTTACTTGTATTAACATCTTTTATTCTCATTTTATGTAAAAGATAATTTGTTGCCAGTATCCTGTGATTAACTTTATACTGAAACCATTGTAAATTTGAATCCTTTGTAATATTAAAAGGGAGCCTATAAATGCCATTCCAATTAAAATCATTATTTAAATTGAGTTCATCTTCCCATTTTCTCTTAGCAATAGATGATATATTTGCTCTAAGAATATAATCATAGATTTGTCTATATCCCTTCTTTTGACTATAGATTATCTTGATCATTAAAGGCTGAATAGGCATTTCCTCTTTCTGTCTTTCTGTCTGTAGGTGTCTTAAAGACAGTTGAATTAAAAATCTCCTAATAGACTATAATGTTTTGATACTCTGAAAAATTGGTATTTATATCAAACTTAGTTAAAAATTCATCAAATGATAGCAAATTACCTCTATTGTCTAGGAAGTCATTTACCAATATAATACCACAATTTACATAATTATATTGAGAACAAACAGTAGAACCACCTATTTTAAACATAGAATTATGCCAAACAGGAAGTGAGCAAAATTCACTCCAATTCCTTGGGCACTGCTTATGTAACTGTATGAGCCCAGTAAAAACATCCTTCCAAAATTTATTTTGCACTGTCTGAAGTTTATTCATCAAAAATTGGTCTCCATATTTATTAATATTTGATAGAAAAGGGTACATATTATTAACAAAATTAAAGTATTTGGTATTATACATTAAAATTCTTCTTATCCATGTCAATTTTGGAGACATTATAAAAGTTTCTAAGTTTTTCACTCTGAAACCCCCATTTTCATAATTCTGAATAACAACATTTATTTTTTTGTATAAAAACTTAATAATTATCAATAAATTTTTCAGGTAGTATAAGTAAGAATCAGGTGTACAATGCCTATACAACAGGCATCAGATGTGGACAATGATATCAGGATGAGGGTTGGATATAATGGGTTTGTTTTTAATACAGATATCTAACATGAAAAATTACTTTTACTAGTCCTACCAGTTTACAATATTATGTCAGAGGGTGAGAAAAATGTGCAGTCTGATGGGGACTTGAACCCAAGACCCTCGGAACACCGTTTCAGGGCTCTACCAACTTAGCTATTCGACCACTTACACATCCTCTCCCCTAAATAGTGAACAGTTCTGAATCATGATATACAGTGCATGATATTTCTGTGTGATATTGAAATTCATCCTCGTAACACTGGGGTTACAGAGCAATATAAATTGAATTCTCCCCTGTTGGGTGCCAGATGTCACAGAGTGAGAAAAATTTGCAGCCTGACTGGGACTTGAACCCAGGACCCTCAGAACACTGTTCTGCAGCTCTATTGACTGAGCTCTCAGGCCACTTACACATCCTCTTCCTAAATAGTGAACAGTTCTGAACTGTGACAATTACTAAGAGCATCTATAATCAGGTGAGCGATATATTTCACAAATGCAATCTTGTTATTAATTTCAATGTCTGAAAACGTAAAATGGGTGATTTGCATGCATTAGGAAAATAGAGGTCAAGTTTTGCGAAAATTAATAATAGAAAATTTGAAAAAAAATCAGGACTTGAACAGTTACTGACAAAAGGTCATTGAATATTTAAATTTCTCAGGTCAATATATTAAAATAATAATAAATTACATCAATAACTATGTGAGGATGATGTCATCACAGAAATCTGATATGCAAGAAGCTCTTGATTTGACAAAAACTGTACACTTCTGTGTTGCATCAATACCTAGTTGGAAGAATTGTTATCAATAAATGCTTTGACAAGTCTGAATTTTAATAATTTCACAATTACATTGTAATCATTTTTGAAAATTATTCTAGCTATTCATAGTTCTCTGTATTGATCATTTCTTGTCTGCAGTTTTTGCAGATATCAGCAGTTTAGTCATTTTCTATAACTCACTCTCTGGAATTATGTAGAAAAGAACAGATAGTTAAACATGGGAGATATATTGCTTATTAACCTTTGACATGTGATGATAATAATATATACATATACATGTAATATAAACTGGTATTTGTGTATTTTAACATTTGTTAAAACTATAGTTGAGTTGTTTGATGAATGATATTGAATCATGTAGAATCATGCCAATAAACTTGTTTGGTATATTATAATTACAGAGATATTCTCATCACAGCTATAACTTGTGAGATAAGTTACGAAGATTTCTGTGCTGAGATCAAGGATATCTGTAAGTTTGATGATCAGCAACCATTTACTGTGAAGTGGGTTGATGAAGATGGTGAGTAATTGAGCATGACTTCACCTTCTTTTATAGTGATAGTTATGTGATATTATAAAAGCGATGTTTTGTAGATGTGTACATTTTATAACACTTGTCATAATGGAATTAATCTTATTGCTCAATGTTTAAACAGTGAGCTGGTAATCTTAGTAATTTATGTATTTGTTATTATTAAAATTTATGAGATAATTACTGTATTGAAATACGCTGGCAAATTTGCCTCACCAAAACCAGTTTGGACATTACATGGAATGTATAATATTATGCCCCTGTCCTGTTTGCTGTTTTGTGTCAGCTCAGTACGAAAAGAAAAAAATTGGACAGAAATGTTAACCATAATGAGATGATGTGCATAGCACAGGTTTGAACCGAAGATAAGTTGTGAACCGATAGTATTATAAAAACAAGTTTACTGCAAAACACATTGTCTTATTTTGCCTCTGTTGTTAAAGATCATCAAATTATTCTGAAAAAAACATTTTTCATGCCAAAGTAGTCTGTGGATATCCTTATACTGTTTCACATTATAATTTTACAGGGTATCCTTGTACTGTTTTCACATTATAATTTTACAGGAGATCCTTGTACTGTTTTCACATAATAATTTTACAGGATATCCTTGTACTGTTTTCACATCATAATTTTACAGGATATCCTTGTTCTGTTTTCACATCATAATTTTACAGGATATCCTTGTACTGTTTTCACATTATAATTTAACAGATCCTTGTACTGTTTTCACATAATAATTTTACAGGATATCCTTGTACTGTTTTCACATTATAATTTTACAGGATATCATTGTACTGTTTTCACATTATAATTTTATAGGATATCCTTTTACTGTTTTCATATCATAATTTTACAGGATATCCTTGTACTCTTTTCACATTATAATTTAACAGATCCTTGTACTGTTTTCATATCATAATTTTACAGGATATCCTTGTACTGTTTTCACATTATAATTTTACAGGATATCCTTGTTCTGTTTTCACATCATAATTTTACAGGATATCCTTGTACTGTTTTCACATTATGATTTTACAAGATATCCTTGTACTGTTTTCATATCATAATTTTACAGGATATCCTTGTACTGTTTTCACATTATAATTTTACAGGAGATCCTTGTACTGTTTTCACATTATAATTTTACAGGATATCCTTGTACTGTTTTCATATCATAATTTTACAGGATATCCTTGTACTGTTTTCACATTATAATTTTACAGGATATCCTTGTACTGTTTTCACATTATAATTTTACAGGATATCCTTGTACTGTTTTCACATTATAATTTAACAGGATATCCTTGTACTGTTTTCATATCATAATTTTACAGGATATCCTTGTACTGTTTTCACATTATAATTTTACAGGATATCCTTGTACTGTTTTCACATTATAATTTTACAGGATATCATTGTACTATTTTCACATCATAATTTTACAGGATATCTTTGTACTGTTTTCACATGAGAATTTACAGGGTATCCTTGTACTGTTTTCACATCATAATTTTACAGGATATCCTCGTACTGTTTTCACATTATAATTTTACAGGATATCCTTGTACTGTTTTCACATTATAATTTTACAGGATATCCTTGTACTATTTTCACATCATAATTTTACAGGATATCTTTGTACTGTTTTCACATGAGAATTTACAGGGTATCCTTGTACTGTTTTCACATGAGAATTTACAGGATATCCTTGTACTATTTTCACATTATAATTTTACAGAATATCCTTGTACTGTTTTCATATCATAATTTTACAGGATATCCATGTACTGTTTTCACATTATAATTTTACAGGATATCCTTGTACTGTTTTCACATTATAATTTTACAGGATATCCTTATACTGTTTTCACATCATAATTTTACAGAATATCCTTATACTGTTTTACATTATAATTTTACAGGATATCCTTGTACTTTTTATACCCCCAAAAACGAAGTTTTGGGGGGTATATAGGAGTCACCCGGTGGTCGGTCGGTTGGTCGGTCGGTCCGTCCAGCGGTCCGTTGCATTTTCCTTGTCCGGAGCATAACTTGAAGACTAATGGTTGGAATTCAATATAACTTCATACAATGGTCAAGCACATTGAGAGGAAGAGCAGTGCACAAGAACCATAACTCTATCTTGACTAATTACAGAGTTATTGCCCTTTATTACTTTTCCTTGTCCGGAGCATAACTTGAAAACTACTGGTTGAAACACGAAACAACTTCATACAATTGTCAAGCACAATAAGGGGAAGTGCAGTGCACAAGAACCATAACTCTATCTAAAGAAATAACAGAGTTATTGCCCTTTGTTATTTTCTATTGCTTTCTTTTGTCCGGACTATAACTTGAAGACTAATAGTTGGAATTCAATATAACTTCATACAATGGTTAAGCACATTGAGAGGAAGTGCAGTGTACAAGAACCATAACTCCATTTTGACTAATTACAGAGTTACTGCCCTTTGTTACTTTTCCTTGTCCGGAGCATTACTTGAAAACTACTGGTTGGAATTCAAAACAACTTCATACAATTGTCAAGCACAATAAGGGGAAGTGCAGTACACAAGAACCATAACTCTATCTTAAGTACTTACAAAGTTATTGCCCTTTGTTATTTTTCCATTGCTTTCTTTTGTCCGGACTCAAACTTGAAGACTAATTGTTGGAATTCAATATAACTTCATACAATGGTCAAGCACATTGAGAGGAAGTGCAGTGCATGAGAACCATAACTCCATTTTGACTAATTACAGAGTTACTGCCCTTTGTAACTTTTCCTTGTCCAGAGCATAACATGAAAACTACTGGTTGGAATTCAAAACAACTTCATACAATGGCCAAGCACAATAAGGGGAAGTGCAGTGCACAAGAACCATAACTCCATTTTGACTTATTACAAAGTTATTGCCCTTTGTTACTTTTCGATTGCTTTTTTTTGTCCGGAGCAGAACTTAAAGACTACTAGTTGGAATTCAATATAACTTCATACAATGGTCATGCTCATTGAGAGGAAGTGCAGTGCATGAGAACCATAACTCCATCTTGACTATTGACAGAGTTATTGCCCTTTGTTACTTTTCCTTGCCTGGAGCATAACTTGAAAACTACTGGTTGGAATTCAATACAACTTCATGCAGTTGTCAAGCACATTAAGAGGAAATGCAGTGCACAAGAATTATAACTCCATTTTGACAAATTACAGAGTTATTGCCCTTTGATACTTTTCCTTGTCTGGAGCATAACTTAAAACATACTGGTTGGAATTTAAAACAACGTCATACAATGGTCAAGCACAATAAGAGAAAGTGCAGTGCACAAGAACCATAACTCCATTTTGACTAATTACAGAGTTACTGCCCTTTGTTACTTTTCCTTGTCCAGAGCATAACTTGAAAACTACTAGTTGAAATTCAAAACTATTTCATACTATGGTCAAGTATATTGAGAGGAAGTGCAGTGCACAGAAAGCATAACTCTTTTTTGACTAATTTAAAAGTTTTTGCCCTTTGTTCCTTTTTATTGTCCAGTGCATAACTTGAAAATTAATGGTTGGAATTCAATGAAACTTTATACAATGGTCAAGGGCAGTGAGATGAAGTGCAGTGCACAAGAACAATAACTCTATTTGGACTAATTACAGTTATTGCTTTTGTTACTTTTTTGTCCAGTGCATAACTTGAAAACTAGTAGTTGGAATTCAATACAACTTCATACAATGGTTAAGCGCAATGAGAGGAAGTGCAGTGTACAATAGCCATAACTCAATCTTCAGTATTTATAGAGTTATTGCCCTTTGTTCCTTTTCCTTGTCTTTCTGGACTTCTTACAGAGTAATCCAATAAAACTTCATCAATGGCCAATCACATTGAAAGGAAATGCAACATACAAGAACCACAACTATCTTTAATTGCCCACAACCATAACTCTATATTTCAATTCTTTTACAAGGTATTCTGTTACTAGTAACATCCTCATTTCCGAAGCAGTCTTGCGGGGGGTATTAATCACATTTAGTGATAGTTCTAGTTTCACATTATATTTTTATAGGATATCCTTGTACTGTTTTCATATCATAATTTTACAGGATACCTTTGTACTGTTTTCACATCATAATTTTACAGGATATCCTTGTACTGTTTTCACATTGTAATTTTACAGGATATCATTGTACTGTTTTCACATCATAATTTTACAGGATATCCTTGTACTGTTTTCACATCATAATTTTACAGGATATCCTTGTACTGTTTTCACATTGTAATTTTACAGGATATCATTGTACTGTTTTCACATTATAATTTTACAGGATATCCTTGTACTGTTTTCACATCATAATTTTACAGGATATCCTTGTACTGTTTTCACATTATAATTTTACAGAATATCCTTGTACTGTTTTCACATTGTAATTTTACAGGATATCATTGTACTGTTTTCACATTGTTATTTTACAGAATATCCTTGTACTGTTTTCACATTATTTTTGCAGGAGTGCTATGTTTCTTTTTTTCATGTTATATTTTTGCAGGAGACCCATGTACTGTTTCTTCACAAATAGAGCTTAATGAGGCCATCAGGTTGTATGAACTCAACAAGGACTCTGAAATTAACATTCATGGTAGTATCTTTTATACTCAACAAGTAAATATTCCACCATTTTATTACAGTAATACATTACAAACTACTCAGTTATTTTGTTATAAATAAACATTGAATATATTTAATATCATAGATTGGCAGCATGATTTTAAAGTGTATAAAGCTATATATATGATGCTAAAATTATTGTTTGAATTTTAAAAAATATACTTCCCAAATGCTTGTATGAAATAAATATGGTAATTTATTGCCTTAAATGCGAATGGTACCTGCACAAATTTATTGCTAAACAGATAAACCCCTACTTAGAATAGCAAAATAACATTTTATTCTGTTTATGTACATTATTCATTTGCATTAAATAACAGAGACATTCTATGCTACAACTTTTTTCGGGAATCAACCATATTATAATGGAACCAATATAATTTTACTGTTGATAAATTTTATTAAAATATTTCATAAGATATTTATACCCTTTAAATCAAAATATTTCAAACAAATGAACTTGAAAGCAAGTGCATGGTATTTATATATCTGAATTAAATTTGTACTTACATGTTGCCAGCACTTCAAACTAAGAATTGTGCTTCTTAGTTGAAAATCTAGACTACTTTGTAAATCAGCCTGCCAACTGTTAACAAAATATCTCAGAAACCAGATCATTTTACAAAATAGAAACCAGATTAGGTATTCACAAAATTGAAAAAAAATATATATGAAGGGTCACAAAGCATAGCCGCTTCCAAACTCACAAGTCAACTCAACAGCCTTTGTTCTACACCTCTCAATGCATTTTGTCAGTTAATCCTTCTACATTTCCCCCTCCCTCCCACCTTCCTAAAATATAAGAGAGGCACATCATCTATTTGACCTGACAAATAAATTTTGTAATGATATCTTTTGAGTCAGTCATGTTAAATTAAAAGTCTTGTATGCAACAAATGTTAAATGTCTGTGTTTCTCTTTTTACAGTTTTTCCTAATGTACCAGCAGCCCCTGGTTTACCTTGTGTAGGAGAGGATCGTAATATGTACAGACGTGGTGCTCGAAGGTGGAGAAAATTGTATAGAGTCAATGGGCATTTGTTTCAAGCCAAAAGATTTTCAAGGGTGATGTGTTTTACTGTTGTAAAGAAGATATCATCATTGTGTGCACCATCTTCCGTCATGCAATATAAATCATGTGTCATTTTCATAGTATAGAGGCATTATAATGATATCTCTTAATATGATCATGTTTGTTTTTTTTTCTCCAGTTCAAAGGACAAGATCATATATCATGATTGTGAATAGATGATCTTCTTTTGTGCATAGCTTTGTTATGCATGGATGGAATGTGAAATAAATGTGAATAAATATGCTGCTTATTAAGATGACATGTACTGAACAAAATTTAGTTCAGCAGCCCAAAGGTCAAGTTCATACTTGAATGTGAAAAATCATGATATGATAGTGCATTGATAGTCATGTCCAGTCCATATCTTTATGTCATTCAGTAATAGATTTTTGTGGTCAACAAAGTAGCAGCAACATATAGGGATTACTTCTCCTTCATCTGTCTGTCCATCATAAAACTAGTCCGAACTACTCCTCAAAAACTTTTAGTGCCATTATCAAGTTTAGTTGTGCATATTGACAGCATTTTCCAGTTTAAAAAATTTTTGTCAGAGTTATAACCCTTGCTTGATTTTTATCTGGACCACTCCTCTTATGCCACTAACGCATTTGCAATGAAACTTTACAGGATTGATCTGTAGGTAAAGTACTTGTGCATATTACACAGTTTTTATCCGCTTGAATGATTTTTGGCCGAGTTATAGCCCTTGAATAAAAAACTTTTTTTGACTTAATGATTTTTGTGTTACCTGCTACACAGTACATGCAACATACAATTGGCTATCTTGAGGTAGCACATGTGATCACTGATCGCCCATGTTGTTAAATTACTAATTGATAATTAGTAATAATTGATAAGATGTTTCAAAACTATCAAAGTTATCAATTTTAAACTTGTGATTCTTGTTAATCATGACTAGGCACAGTTGAAAGACAAGGGACATTATTCTGAAAGATATACTTTTTGAGTATTGCTTCTTTTTAAATTAGAATCCTTTTTTAAATTACTAATTATTAATAGGATGATTTCACAACTATCAACTTGACTTATAATTTTTGTTAATGAAGACAAGAAAGACCCTGAAAGCAATGCTTTTAAAAGTTACATGTCTATTTGTTTAAGCAACTATGATTAAATGTGTAACATATATCTTTGTTTATAAAGCTGACTGATAGTACCAGTTAATGAATATAATGAATAAAACTCTTCTGTATTTTTCAGAAAGCAGTTTGTGAATTTTGCCAAGATAGAATATGGGGCCTAGGAAGACAAGGATACAAATGTATACAATGTAAACTGTTGGTTCATAAACGTTGTCACAAACTTGTGAAGATACTGTGTGGAACAGCAAGACCTCCCATAGTAAGATTTTGAAGTACACATATACAAATTCTCATTTCAAATTTATTCTTATTTCTTTAGAAATGAAGAAGTTAGGTTAGAAGAGGTTATTTCAGATCTTTATTTTTACATTAAAAAACATTAATCATCATCTCCCAACGCCTCTATGAAAGTCACCTAATTTCTGGGACAGTCCCTTGAATGTCAAGGTCAAATTATTGAAATTTGCTTAAATTGTAATAACTTTGTTATTGTTATACTGATTTGATTTATACTTGGTTAAAAGAAAGCTGACATGTTGAATTATTCTGATATATGACCTTGACCTTAAATTGACCTTTGAAAATTACTTGAGTTATTTTATTATTTATGGATGGTTTTGGTTCATTCTTTGACAAAAAATAACAACACTTAAGACAAAACTGACAATGATGATTAATTTTAATGTAACCTCAATCTTTGAATAAACTTGACTGTCAAGGTCAAATATGAAATTCGAATTGTCATTTGGTCAAGACTATCATGTTTTCTAGGAGCATTCTTTACTGCAATATTCTTTCTCCAGTGTGTTTGACTATAGAAGTAAGAAAAAGTTGAGCATGGTCCCTGCCTGGTGGTGGCTGCTGTTATATTTTAGTGTTTAATTAATCAGTTTTTAGTTCTACGTTATAAAAGCAAACTACATAGATACAGTTTTATATTTACAAAGGATTAAACCTAAATTAATATGATAATATTCAGGTGTGCTAAACAATAACTTTGTATCATATTGCACTAGAAGTGACTATTATTGTAAAAATTGTTGTAAACCTACTTTTTTAAATAGTATTGTGAACTTCTCTTCCTTATTCTTAAAATAAACACATATCATTACATAATTAGTTTCTCAGTGACTTTCATAATGTTTACTTATTTTTTCTATCTATTAAAGGTAAGAGGGAAGGGGGCATATGGGTCATTTTGACATTTCTTGTTTATATAAAGTTTTACATAGAAACAACTTGTTAACCAGGTTTTCAATTTTGAAAATCCTGGTTATTAGATTGGGGTATGGCGGGCGGATGGGCGGATGGGCGGCTGGGCGGATGGGCGGATGGGCGGATGGGCGGGCGGGCGTCAAACGAAATTGTGTCCGCTCTGTAACTCTTCAACCCTTTGAAGAATTTTGATGAAACTTCAGACAAATGTTTACCACATCAAGATGACGTGCAGAACGCATGTTCCGCATGGCTGGCTCCAAGGTCAAGGTCACAGTGACATTAACATTGAAAATCCTGTCCGCTCTGTAACTCTTCAACCCTTTGAAGAATTTTGATGAAACTTCAGACAAATGTTTACCACATCAAGATGACGTGCAGAACGCATGTTCCGCATGGCTGGCTCCAAGGTCAAGGTCACAGTGACATTAACATTGAAAATCCTGTCCGCTCTGTAACTCTTCAACCCTTTGAAGAATTTTGATGAAACTTCAGACAAATGTTAACCACATCAAGATGACGTGCAGAACGCATGTTCCGCATGGCTGGCTCCAAGGTCAAGGTCACAGTGACATTAACATTGAAAATCCTGTTTACATGATTTTAACTTGATTTGGCAGTCAAAGGTCATATCATCTTTGGAGGTAATTTAAAAAAGATATGATATATTATTTCATGTCTACTTTGTAACTTGTTTTTCATTATACAGAATTATCAATATAATTATAGTGAACAAATTCTTCTGTGCTGAACTCGTCCTACATTTCTCAACGGATTTTGTTCAAACTTTCACAGAAGCTTTGTCATCAAGCACCCTGGCACATATTGTCGGGGTTTTGTGATTGGATAGTTTTTGACCTAATTATGGCCCTTTGTTTTTTTCCTTATACATAATATTATAGTGAACACTTCTTCAGTGGCAATTCCTCCTACATTATTCATGTTTTACATTGCACATAGTTACATTGTTTGTTGCTTGTATTTGTATTTCAAATACAACATATTTATCTACAATGGTGATAATTGAAAACCTGGTTTCATGGCATTGCCATGTTTCTTGTATTACAGTTGTTGTTGTGTTACAGATACAAAGAGAACCTCAAGGTGAAGCTCCACCACCTTATGACAAAGGTCAAGGACAGGTACAGATGAATGAATCAAATGGTGATTCAACAACAACAACACAAGTAGACATTGGTAAAGAGGTAATTTCCCTACTTATTTTAAACCATAAAACCATTTTGTCAGAAAATGATACACTCTATTCTAACACTCCACGTGATTTTGTCATTATAGACTAAGAAGAAAAAAAAACGGTGTTAAACTGCCAATAAACACTGGTTAGGAACTACTTGGCTGTTGTGTTTTCACCCTCGATTATATAGTTTACAAAGCCTTTAAAAGCAACAATAAAAAGCATTTTTATTTATATTTTCAGTTCTTATAATGTTTTCTTTTCAAACAATACCGAAATAATATCTCACATACACTAACGCCACATATTTGATCCATATCAGTTAGTTAATATTTTGACAAAACAGCGCCAATATAGTTTACAAAGCCTTTAAAAGCAACAATAAAAAGCATTTTTAGCTCGACTTTTCTATGAAAAGGGGAGCTATCCTACTCGCCCCGGCGTCGGCGTCGGCGTCACACCTTGGTTAAGTTTTTCGTACCACCCCACTTTATTTCAGAAGTATTACAAGTATGGCTTTGAAACTTACCATACTTGTTCACCATCATAACCTCCATCTACAGACAAGAGTACATAACTCTGTCAAGGTTTTTGACAGAATTATGGCCCTTTTTTGACTTAGAAAGTGTATTGAGCTTGGTTAAGTTTTTTGTACCACCTCACTTTATTTCAAAAACCATTGGAGGTATTGCTTTGAAACTGACCATACTTGTTTTACCATCACGACCTTCATCAACAGACAAGAGGACATAACTCTGTCAAGGTTTTTGACAGAATTATGCCCTTTTTGACTTAGAAAATACATTGAATATGGGTAAAATCCACTTATTGCCTTAACCCTTTGAGATATGCTTTTGAAACTTTTAATGCTATTTCACATCATTACCCCATCTGTACGCAAGAGAAGGTAACTCTGTCAAGGATTTGTTTTAAAATTAAGGCCTTTTATCGACTTAGAATCTTGGTTAAGTTTTTAGTACCAGTCCACTTTTTGACTGAACTGTTTGAGATATTAATTTGAAAGTTGGAATACTTGTTTACAATCATGATTCCCAAACATGTCCAGGAGAAGGTAATTCTGTCAAAGATTTTATTTGAATTATGGCCCTTAACTGTCAATGTTTTGTATTATAGGCAAGCACTAAAAAACTTAAAAAATCTAAAAAAATTCATTCCTATCCACATTGTTCACTTTACCATAAAATTATGTCATAATAAAATAATTCTTCACTAAATATCTTAATGCTCATGGCCATTGTTCACTTTAAAAATACAGAGATTCTTGTATTGCCTTTTACTGCAAAAACTTTTTTTATTGGCAAGCAATAAAAAAGTCGAGCGCGCTGTCTTACGGACAGCTCTTGTTATTTATATTTTCAGTTCTTATAATGTTTTCTTTTCAAACAATACCGAAATAATATCTCACATACACTAACGCCACATATTTGATCCATATCAGTTAGTTAATATTTTGACAAAACGGCGCCAATCCGTAAGCAGCGTAATGAGGTTATCCTAAGTAAACAATTCATTCATAAAGCTGACGTTATTTCATACATACAAGAATGATAAATAGGGCACTGATGTAAACACAATGCAATTTATTCTAAGACGTAAGTTTTTTATTGTTGAAAACTTGATAAAATAACGTTTTTTCTTATTATTTATTTTGTTTAATAATTTCTATATTTTTGCAACAGTAGGGCACCAGAAGTTATTTCCGCTTGAAAAAATAACATTAATGATCTTCCTTATTTTATCGTGTTAGAATCGAAATAATATCGGTCTTAGTGGTGTTTATCGGCTATTTAACACCGGTTTTGTCGTTTTGATGTGAAAAAATTTACCACTCAGGCCTACGGCCTTCGTGGTCAATTCATATGCACCAAAACTCCAAACCGGTGTTAAATAGCCGATAAACACCGCTAAGACCGATATTATTTCATAAATATATATTTCTCATATAGATTTTTTACAAACATTATGTTTGCAAATTTATTTTACAAAAATTTGCAAGTTGGTAAGTTTTCAGTCAGAAAATTACTGTCAAATTGCGTCAAGATAAACATACCTTCCATGATCTTTATCTGCATTGTCTTTCCTGTTTTTGTTTGTAAAGTCATGCTTCACCATTTCAAGCTATTGTGTTTGGAATAATCAGACAGAAATAGTTATAGACTTGTTGTTCTGGTCTGGCCTCTACCAACATTCTCAAATTGAGACAAATCTCAATCTAAGATTGTCAAGGGACAATTTGTTTATCTCAACACAATTTTCTCACCTAGGATCTGAATTTTTTTTCAACCCTTCTCTACTTCAATTATTCTATTGATTAGTATACTGTCATGTAGAAATATGTTGTTTATTTGTGAAATAGATACTGTTACCATTATGTAAATATATGTTATATTTTACTGCATGTGTGTAGGAGGAGGCAGTTGAGTCATCATTAGATAACAATGAGGTATTGTATACCTAACTTGTTGTGCTCACTGTTTGCTTATTCTTATTATGCTCACTCACAAGTAGGTTTTTGCTCACAAGTAGATTTTTGATGTGTTTTTAAGATTTTAATCAGGCTTGTCGAAGAAAAACTGGTTATTAGATTGGGGTATGTTGGTGGGTGGACAGGCAGGTGTAAACAATTATTTCTGTGCGCATTTCCTCCAACATTTCTCAAGTGATTTTGACTAAACTTTCACAACGGTATTGTCACCAAGTGCCCTGTCGCATATTGCCAGTGTTTTGTGATTCAAACATCTTTGGCAGAACTGTGGCCTTTTGTTTTTTATACGCCCGAACAAAATTCCGGGTATTTATGCACCTGGTCGTCCATCCGTCTGTCTGTAGCGATTGCTTGTCCAGTCTGTATCTTTTGAACCAGTTGAAGGAAATTTAAACTACTTGGCAAAAATAGTAACCATAATGAGACGATGTGCAGGGTGAAGGTTTGACCTTCCTCAGGTCAAGGTCACACTTAGTCATTTTGTATGAATTTCAAATTTTTGTGTTTGCTCTGTATCTTTTGAACTGATAGAAAGAAATTAAAACTTTTTGGCAGAAATACTTATAATGAGACAATGTGCAGAACAGAGGTTTGGACTTCCTTAGATAAAAATTGGCCGTGCCCTGATGATACTTGATTTATATAGACTTATATAGAAAAAACACATTGTGTTAAACTACAATATGTAGAGCTTAGATATTTAGCATGAGCATTGCCTTATTGATCTTTACAAATGAATCATAACCATCTAATATCCTGCCCCAGAGGTCACTTGAGTTATATAGTAATCTATATAATTATTATATATGTAAATAATCAAAAGTGCATAATTTCCCCAGAATTGTTTGTATTGCAAAATGTTGACAATATGCACAAGGGCAATTTATTACAAAGCTTCTGTTACAAGCCTGGTTTTGTCGCAATGCGACATTTCTTGTTTCTTTTTGTACTCACATAGTTTATTCCAAAGTAAAGAGTATGATCAAAATGAGTTGCCCAGGTATAGAAGTCATGACCTGAAAATTTATACATGTTTATCTGGAGGAAAAAATAATTTTTGCTTAAAGGAATGGATTATGTTATTTATGAGCATTTTAATGTTTTTCTTGCCTTTAAGAGCCATAATTTTCTTTAGTAAAATTTTGGAGTATTGATCTAACTGCCTGTAGTATTTTAATGCCCAAGGCATGTAATAAATGAACCATCCTTTGATGAAGTACATGATATTGTGATATTGTAAGTTATTGTGGTGTCCATATTTAGCTGTCCTTTTTATGCCACCGCAGCATCTGCGATGCGGTGGCATATAGCGATTCACCTGTGTGCGTGTGTTTGTGTGTGTGTTTGTGTGTGTGTTATATAGATTATATAGTGAACTTAAAAAATCTTCTTGCGAAAAACCACTGGTCCAATTTCAACCAAACTTGGCAGGATTGTTCCTTGGGTGAAGGGCTTCCATAGTTGTTCAAAGAATTTCATTCCATGCAGAAATCTGGTTGCCATGGCAACCAAAAGGAATTATAAGAATAAATTTAAAAAATCTTCTTGTAAAGACCCAAAAGGCCTAGAGCTTAGATATTTTGCATAAGGCATTGTCTGGTAGACTTCTTACAAAATTGTTCAAATTATAGCCCTGGGGTCAAAATTGGCCCCACCCCGGGGGTCATTGATTTTCACTTTGTACATATAGTAAAAACTTAAAATACCTTCTTGTAAAAACCCAAAAGGCCTAGAGCTTAGATATTTTGCATATGGCATCGTCTGGTAGACCCTTACCAAGATTGTTCAAATTATAGCCCTTGGGTCAAAATCGGCCCCGCCCCGGGGTCATTGATTTTCACTATATGTACATAACACCTTCTTGTAACGACCCAAAAGGCCTAGAGCTTAGATATTTTGCATGAAACATTGTGTAGTAAACCTCTAGCAAGATTGTTCAAATTATAGCCCTTGGGTCAAAATTGCTCCCGCCCTGGGGGTCATTGATTTCAATATATACATATAGTAAAAAATAAAAAAATCTTATTGTCTGAAGGTACAAGGCTTAGAGCTTTAATATTTGTTAAATAATATCATTTAAAGGTACTCTACAAAGTTATTCAAATTTTGCCTCTTGTATCAAAATTAGCCCCGCCCCCGGGGGCCATAGGTTTTCCTTATATGTCACCTTTAAGTAAAAACTTAAAAAATCATCTTCTCTAAATTAACAAAGGCTAGAGTTAAGATATTTTGCATGAAACATTGTGTAGTGAACCTCTTGCAAGATTGTTCAAATTATAGCCCTGGGGTCAAAATTGGTTCCGCCCGGGGGTCATTGATTTTTCATTATGTACATATAGTGAAAAAATAAAAAAAATATTTTTGTCTGAAGGTACAAGGCATAGAGCTTTGATGTTTGATATATAATAATATCATTTATAGGTCCTCTACCAAAGTTGTTCAAATTTTTCCCCTGGTGTCAAAATTGGCCCTGCCCAGGGGCAGTGATTCTCATTATGTACACATAGTAAAAACAGAAAAATAAAACAAATGTTTTCTGAATGGGAGAAAGCTATAGCTTAGATATTTGACTTGAAATGTTGTTTGGTGGACCTGTATCAAAATTGTTTTTGAATTAAACCCTTGGGTTCAAAATTATGCCTTGCCCAAGGGGACAGTGACCTACTTTCTTGTCCTTTTGATGTACAGCAATGACTTTTGACCATGTGCACAGTTTTAGTTGTAAAATTGAACTTTGATATCAGGTGACCTAGATTTTGATGATGTGACCTACTTTCTTGTCCTTTGATGTACAGCTATAAAATTTGAACCATGCGGTGGCAATAGCATTTTTCTCAAATGCAATCTTGTTTTCTTCAAAGAGAGTTATTGTTATAATCATGCCGGCATTCCTGAACTGTGTGGCTAAAAAGAACAATAAATAGAACAGAAATGTAGCAACTTTAGCACTGTTTTGTTAGAACGTCTGTTTGACAGTACGAGGTTTACCTAAAATGGATTTATCTTAAGTTCTTTTTACACGATATGACTTTAATTCGCCTTGACCATCAAGATCTAATTATTGATATTTGCTGAAATTGTCATAAATTCATGGATCTGATTCATTTTTGGACAAAAGAATACTGATGAAAAAACTGAAATGCAGATTCCTTAAAATGTGACCTTGATCTTTGAAAGACCTTGACCTTCAATGAAATGTGCATGAAGATAAATTAATGTTTTCTGGGTAGTATTCTATATTCTATAATACTTTTACTCTGATGTGTTTGACTTTAAAAATAAGTTGAGCATGGCCCCTGGTTTCTACCATAACTGACTGACTGGGTACCTTTTTTGGAAAATTTGTGACTGACAAGTGTTTGGGCCAGGGGCATTTGTGTTTACAAAACATCTTGTTGTTTCATACTTAGTTTTTGTCCAAAGCAATGGTTATCAATCTTACATAGTGCTCATAAATGGCAGGATCAGAATTCCAACATATTGCCCTGACTTTATGACACACTTTATTATTTGTTTGCTAGTAAAATTGTTTATTCAGTTTATTGTGAAATACATTTAGTTCAAATATTTTTAACTGCTAAGTATTTTTGTTGCATTAAAGGAATTCCACTGAGGTTCAAAAGCATATATTAAACATTTTAATTTCTTACAGCTTGGGAATTAAAACAGGATTATATGCAAAAGATAATTAAGAAATATTCTGGTGTGAAAGGCATACCCACGCTTTTCAATTTTGGGTCTTTTTTTCCACAGAATAAATAATCTGAAAAAAAAAAAACAGAGTGATTGAATGTTTTGAAATTTGGCACAAAAGTTATTAATCTAGATCTTCATAAGTTAAACATTAATATCCAAAAAGTTATTTCTGTTCCTGTCATTGTCAAAAAACCTCAGTGGGGTCCATTTAAAACTTAAATAGGTTTCTTTATTATTGTGTTGCCTGCTTCAAAGTAGGGATTACTTTTCTTTCTATCTGTCTGTCACAAATCTTTTTTGGAATACTTCTCAAAAACTTTGAGTGCAATTTCATCCAAACTTTATAAGAATGATCAGTACTAAGTTTAGTTGTACATTTCACTGGCATTTTCCAGTTCAATGACTTTTGTTAGAGTTATGGCCCTCTAATTTATTTTTTTTTATGCTCCCCGAAAAATTTCGGAGGAGCATATAGTCGGCGCCTTGTCTGTCTGTCTGTCCTTCTGTCCGTCTGTTGTCTTGTCCCGAGCATAACTTGAAAACCCTTGGAGATTATTTGTTGAAACTTCATACAGTGGGAGAGGGCATTGAGGGTGAGTGCAGTGTCAAAGAACCATAACTCTATTTTGCCCGGTGTGCAGTGCATAAGAACAATAACTCTTTTTGTCCTAATTTTATTAGTTATTGCCCTTTGTTAATTTTAACACTTTGAACTTTGTCGGAAACATAACTCTAAAACTATAAGAGATATCAAGATGAAACATTGTAGGTAGATAGATCTCATTGAGTAGAGGTGCAGTGCAAAAGAACCATAACTCTGTTAAGCCTCATTTTTTAATTATCTCCCCTTTTAGAAAAATCTTGTCCAGTGCACAAGAATCATAGCTCTGCCTTGCCTTATTCTGGAGTTATTGCCCTTTGTTTATTTTTACTTTTTGAAATTGTCAGAGACATAACTCGGAAATCATAAGAGATATCATCAAGAAACTTTGTAGGTTGATAGATCACATTGATTAGAAGTGCAGAGAACAGTAACTCTGCCTTGCCTAATTTTGGAATTATTGCACTTTGAACTTTTTCCAGGGACATAACTCTGAAACTACAAGAGGTGTACTTTCCTGTGTCCAAAACCTATTCGGGGAGCATCACCCGGCTCAAACCGGGCTCTTGTTAAATTTGTCCGGATTACTTTTCTAACGCAATTTGAATGGAATTGTTAAAGGTCAAATGTGAAAGGTCCACATTTTGTGTCTGCTTCATTAAAGGTCTGATGTAAAAAAATCACATTTCATGTCCAGACAGCTTACACACAAGTAAAATGATTTTTTCCACTCAATATGTTTGAAATATGTTACCCTTCCCTATCTATTTGAAACACTTATTTGACAATTTTTTCTGCTTAGAGAGCCTAATTTAAAATATCCCTTAAATTCATATCAAAGTTTGCATAAATTTTCTCAGAGTTACATTGGTTGATCTTGTGAAGTATTAAATACATTTACCATGTAATTTTGATTTTTTATGCCTGAAAAAATATTTGAATATTGTTATGCGCCTGGTTGTCTGTCTATCTGTTTGGTCTGCATGTTTTGAACCAGTGGAAGGAAATTGAAATTACTAGGCAATAATTTAACCATTAATCAAAATGTTCAAATTTGGTATACATGTTAATTGTCATAACAGGACACCATTTCAAAAGGGCAGATAATCCTGAAATTGTTTTATGTCAAAATCATTTTTCCTGTTTTGATGCTATGTGTTGGTGTTTGTGTGCTGTAAATCCAAAACAAAACAAACTACAATTCCTATGAAACATTGTCTTACTGACCTTTTATAAAACTAATATGAATCAGGCCCATTGGTTCAATATTGGCCCTGCTCCAGGGGTCAGTTGTTTATATAGACTTACATAAGAAATACACATCTGAGATTTATTGTTTGAAACAACGATGCACAGAGCTTAGATATTTGGCATGTAACATCACTTTGTGGACAATAAAATAACTGGTATTAATCATGCCCCTTGGGTCAATATTGGCTCTGCCCCTGTGGTCACTTAGTTAATTTAATTTTAAATAGGAAAACACATTTAAGTCACATTTTGTGAAACTTTAATGCTAAGAGTTTAGATGTTTGACATGTAGGCTCCTTGTTTATGTTGGCTTTTACTAAACTGGTATTAATTATGCCAGTTTGATATCTCCACTGGGGTCACTTAGTTGATAATGTCTTGAATAAGAAAACACATTTCAGTCTTATTTTGAGAAACAACAAGGTTTAGAGTTTAAATATAAGTGATCTCTCATGTCCTGATTTATTACATTTTTTTTAGGCTTCATCTACAGGGGATGGAAGTAAAATGGTAAGCCTCGATGATTTCAATATTTTACGAGTGATTGGACGAGGAAGTTACGCTAAAGTGATATTAGTAGAACAGAAAAGATCAAAACGTCTGTATGCAATGAAAGTAATCAAAAAGGAACTTGTGAATGATGATGAGGTTAGTTAATAGGTTGTAGAAGTGAAATTTTTATAATATTTTGTTAGGAACTACAAGGCACAGAGCCAGAGACTTTAATTACAAAGGGATAAGCAGCTCTAAAAATAGATTTGTTGGAGGTGCTGTGTATTTGCAGACCTGTATTCTACAATTTTCCCATATTTGCTATGGATTTGATGACTTAAATATGCACTATGGATCAATATTGAAAATTCTATTGAAATCGGCCAATTTTTTTTTAAATAGCATCATATCGTTTGTAGTGACTTCTTGTTAAACAGTATGCTTTCAGCACATTAGCGTACTTCCGGCTAGTTATCTTACATCTGTAATGTTCAGGTGTTTAGTTTTTATTATAGTATCTTAATAGGCATTTTGTTTGTATTCATTAAGACAAATGTCAAATTTGTCAAATTATTCCAATTTTTTTACCCGTTTCATGTTTACCAGGTTTCCAGTTTTATTAGGATTTTATATAATGAAAATAGATGCGAAACATTCAGGACCCTGAAAAATGTCAGGTTTTTGAGGATTCCAGTTTAATGGAGAATAAGTTTTGCAGGTTTTTACTGTTTAAGACATCTTCATTAGTCACATAAACCATGCTTCTAGATATAGCGAATCACCTGTTTTTTAAAGAATTTCCATTTCTGTCCATTTCTTACTTAGTTTAAACATTGTTTCCAGCTGACTTTAGCACAAAGTGCTTGCAGTTTCAAGAGAATTCACTTGAAGTCATAAATTTTGCATAATGCTAAAAGATTACATGATATAAAAAAGTTATCTTATTAAAATAGGATATAGACTGGGTACAAACAGAGAAGCATGTATTTGAGACAGCAACAAACTACCCATTCCTTGTTGGACTTCATTCCTGTTTTCAGACACCAAGCAGGTATGTAAACTGTTTATTCTGCAGCATTTTTTTAGCTCGATTTTTTTTAAGTAAAAAGGTTTAAGCTTTTGCTATAGTAATGTTGTCATTGCCATTGCTGTAGCAGTTGCCATCAGAAATTTAAACATTGGTCATATACATGAGCACATATTCTGGCAAGTGATTTACCTTAAAATTTTCTAATGTCTAAATGTAGCATGTTTAATAAATTGGAACTGTTTTGATTGATGGGCAAATTGCATATACCTAAAGCAGTTTATAGTTTAGTTTGTATTTCTAGATAAGTTGTTCTAGATAAGTATTAATTCTGATGTGTTTATTTTCAGATTATTTTTTGTGATAGAATTTGTAAATGGTGGAGATTTAATGTTTCACATGCAACGACAAAGACGTCTACCTGAAGAGCATGCAAGGTTCTATTCTGCAGAAATTGTTCTTGCCTTAAATTACCTACATCAAAGAGGTAAAATGTTTATATATATTGTTACAGTCCAGTTATTATATAAGGTTCCTTAAACCTTCCTTAATTGGGGTAACATGCACAAGACTTGATTCACCAGTTGCTTTATCTTTTTCATAATTGAATGATATGGTACTTTGATATTTCAGATTTTAGAATCTCTACAGTGATTTATTAAACGCCCGTTTGAAACGGGCGGGCGGCGTCCAATTTTGTCCGGAGCATATCTCCTACATGTATGGAGGGATTTTAATGAAACTTCATAGAAATGTTCACCACTATGAGGAGCAGTGTCGTGCACATGAACCAGGTCTCTAGGTCAAAGGTCAAGGTCACACTTAGAGCTCATTGAAAAATGCTTGTCCGGAGCAAAACTTCCACATGTATAGAAGGATTTCAATATTACTTGGCACAAATGTTCACCATTGTGAGGCGGAGTGTCGCGCACAAGATTCAGGTCCTTGCGGCCAAGGTCAAGGTCACACATAGAGGTCAAAGTTCAGATAAAAATATGAAGATGTGTATATGGACCATTTAGTCATCATTTATTGCGGGATTGTAACACAAATGGTCATTATCAAGACTATGGCTGTGATACATATAATTTAGGTCAATATATACAAGGTCAAGGTCACTAAAGATGATGAAATATCCAGATTTTGTCCGGAGCATATCTCCTACACGCATGGAGGGATTTTAATAAAATTTCATAGAAATGTTCACCATTATGAGAAGCCATGTCACGCACATGAACTAGGTTTCTAGGTCAAAGGTCACACTTAGAGCTCATTGAAAAACGCTTGTCCGGAGCAAAACTTCCACATGCATAGAGGGATTTCAATATAACTTGGCACAAATGTTCACCATTGTGAGGCGGAGTGTCGCGCACAAAATTCAGGTCCCTGCAGCCAAGGTCAAGGTCACACATAGAGGTCAAAGTTTAGATAAAAATATGAAGATGTGTAAAGGGACGATTTAATCATCATTTATTGAGGGATTGTAACACAAATGGTCATTATCATGACTACGGCTGTGACACATGTACTTTAGGTCAATATATGCAAGGTCAAGGTCACTAAAGATGGTGAAATATCCAGATTTTGTCTGGAGCATATCTCCTACATGTATGGAAGAATTTTTATAATACTTTATGGAAATGTTCACCACCATGATATGTATTGCTCCATGCATGATCCAGGTCAAAGGTCAAGGTCACACTTAGAGTTCATTGAAAAACGCTTGTCTGGAGCAAAACTTCTACATTCATAGGGGGATTTCAATATAACTTGGCACAAATGTTCACCATTGTGAGGCTGAGTGTCGCACGCAAAATTCAGATCCCTGCAACCAAAGTCAAGGTTACACATAGAGGTCAAAGTTCAGATAAAAATTTGAAGATGCATGGAGGAATTTTAATGTTACTTTATAGAATTGTTCACCACCATGAGACGTAGTGCCCTGCACATGAACCAAGTCTCTAGGTCAAAGGTGAAGGTCACAGTTAGAGCTCATAGAAAAACGCTTGTCTGGAGCATGCATAGAGGGATTTCAATATAATTTGGCACAAATGTTCATCATTGTGAGGCTGAGTGCCGTGCATAAAATTCAGGTCCCTGCGACCAAGGTCAAGGTCACACATCCTGTGCATATCTTCCCTACTGATTTGTTTTAAGGTTCATTTAACAACACAGTGCCAAGAATAAAAACTTGCTTGCTAGATAACACTTATCCATAATGCCCCCATCTCCATCTAAAGCTTTCGTAAACGGGCGTATTTTGTGACTATGGCACCCTTGTTGAATTTTGTTTTAAAAATTTTAGTAGAGTTTTCAAGTATGTTTCACAGCATTGCCAGAAAATCATAGAGTTAATAATTTAATTATACTTAACTCCTGGTCCATTTATAAACAAATTATATTGAGAGGATTGCATCTTTTAAATGAATCCTTCTGGAAAAGTAAATGTAAAATTTACAAATTCTTTCTATCTTACAATAATTTCATTTTATTTTCCTTCATGTTGACCATTTACGGTAAAGGGCTAAAAAAATTACAGTCAAGTTCTATATTATGTTATAAGATTTATGCTTTTTAGCTTGAGTATTCGATAAGAATAAGCAGAGCTATTGTAGTCACCCGAGCGTCTGCGTAACCACTTATATTAAAGTTTTTTTATACCTCAAATACTTTCAAAGTCCATTGACATATGGCTTTAAAACTTTGCACACTTGTTCACTATCATGACCCCAACCTGTAGACAGGAGGAGGTAACTGTATCAAGCATTTTTGACAGAATAATGCCCCTTTTTCGACTTAGAACTTTCGTTAAAGTTTTTGTAATACCTTAAATATTTTCAAAGTCTTCCATTGACATATGGCTTTGAAACTTTGCACACTTGTTCACTATCATGACCCCAACCTGTAGACAGGAGGAGGTAACTGTATCAAGCATTTTTGACAGAATAATGCCCCTTTTTCGACTTAGAATTTTCTTTAAAGTTTTTGTAATACCTTAAATATTTTCAAAGTCCATTGACATATGGCTTTGAAACTTTGCACAATTGTTCACAATCATGACCCCAACCTATAGACAGGAGGAGGTTACTGTATCAAGCATTTTGACAGAATTATGCCCCTTTTTCAACTTACAATTTTCATTAAAGTTTTTGTAATACCTCAAATATTTTCAAAGTCCATTGACATATGGCTTTGAAACTTTGCACAATTGTTCACAATCATGACCCCAACCTATAGACAGGAGGAGGTAACTGTATCAAGTATTTTGACAGAATAATTCGCCTTTTTCCACTTAGAATTTTCGTTAAAAGTTTTTGTAATACCTCAAATACTTTCAAAGTCCATTGACAGATGGCTTTGAAACTTTGCACAATTGTTCACAATCATAACCACAACCTATAGACAGGAGGGGGTAACTGTATCAAGTATTTTGACAGAATAATTCGCCTTTTTCCACTTAGAATTTTCGTTAAAGTTTTTGTAATACCTCAAGTATTTTCAAAGTCCATTGACATAGGGCTTTGAAACAAGTTGAAATTTTATACTCTTCTTTGAGAGCATAATGGGACTCTCTCCAATGCCTATAACTGTAATATGGATTTAAAGAAAAATTTTGCCCTGTTGTTTACCTAGAAAATTTTACATGATCAATGCTTTTTAGCTCGACTATTCAATAAGAATAAGTAGAGCTATTGAAGTCACCCGAGCGTCGGCGTCCGCGTCGGCGTTGGCGTCGGCGTAACCACTTATGTTAAAGTTTTTGTAATAGTTCAAATATTTTCAAAGTCCATTGACATATGGCTTTGAAACTTTGCACACTTGTTCACCATCATTACCCCAACCTGTAAACAGGAGGAGGTAACTGTATCAAGCATTTTGACAGAATTATGCCCCTTTTTTGACTTAGAATTTACGTTAAAGTTTTTGTAATAGTTTAAATATTTTCAAAGTCCTTTGACATATGGCTTTGAAACTTTGCACACTTGTTCACCATCATTACCCAACCTGTAAACAGGAGCAGGTAACTGTATCAAGCATTTTGACAGAATTATGCCCCTTTTTCGACTTAGAATTTACGTTAAAGTTTTTGTAATAGTTTAAATATTTTCAAAGTCCATTGACATATGGCTTTGAAACTTTGCACACTTGTTCACCATCATTACCCCAACCTGTAAACAGGAGGAGGTAACTGTATCAAGCATTTTGACAGAATTATGCCCCTTTTTCGACTTAGAATTTACGTAAAGTTTTTGTAATAGTTCAAATATTTTCAAAGTCCATTGACATATGGCTTTTAAACTTTGCACACTTGTTCACCATCATTACCCCAACCTGTAAACAGAAGGAGGTAACTGTATCAAGCATTTTGACAGAATTATGCCCCTTTTTCGACTTAGAATTTATGTTAAAGTTTTAGTAATACCTCAAATATTTTCAAAGTCCATTGACATATGGCTTTGAAACTTTGCACACTTGTTCACCATCATTACCCCAACCTGTAAACAGGAGGAGGTAACTGTATCAAGCATTTTTTTTTACAATCAAGCACTAAGAATAGTCGAGCGTTGCTGTCCTACCGACAGCTCTTGTTTACTATCATGCACCAAGAATAGTCAAGCGTTGCTGTCCTACCGTCAGCTCTTGTTGTGTCGCCTCTACGGAGTAGTGGCGACATATAAGGATCACTTCTCCGTCGTCTGTCCGTCCGTCTGTCTGTCTGTCCGAGCAAACATTTTGGGTTTAGGGGCTATATAACAGTAAAGAGAACAAAAGAGGACAATAGGTTCATTCCGTGATCAAAGGGATTAGGGGCTAGAAGCCCTTAAGAAAACAAAGAAAATAACAAAGAAAATAGCCCCTAAAGCCAAAATGTTGGAACGTCCGTCTGTCCGTCCGTCACAAAACTTGTCCGGACTACTCCTCATAAACTGCTGGTGCAATTTCATCCAAACTTTACAGGAATGATCAGTACCAAGTCTAGTTGTGCATATTGTCAGTATTTTCCGGTTCAATGATTTTTGTCAGAGTTATGGCCCTTAAATAATTTTTATTTTTAAAGTTTGTCCGGACTACTTCTCTTATACCACTAATGCAATTTCAATGAAACTTTACAGGATTGATCTGTAGCTCAAGTCCTTGCGCATATTGCACCGGTTTTCCTGTTGAATTATTTTTGGCCGAGTTATGGCCCTTTGATAAAAAAGTGTTTTTTTCTGTGTGTTGCCAGAAACACAAAAGCTTGTCCGTACTACTCCTCATAAACTACTGGTGCAATTTCATCCAAACTTTACAGGAATGATCAGTACCAAGTCTAGTTGTGCATATTGTCAGCATTTTCCGGTTCAATGATTTTTGTCAGAGTTATGGCCCTTTAATAATTTTTATTTTTAACGTTTGTCTGGACTACTCCTCTTATACCACTAATGCAATTTCAATGAAACTTTACAGGATTGATCTGTAGCTCAAGTCCCTGCGCATATTGCACGGGTTTTCCTGTTGAATGATTTTTGGCCGAGTTATGGCTCTTTGATAAAAAGGTGTTTTTTTCTGTGTGTTGCCAGATACACAAAAGCTTGTCCGTACTACTCCTCATAAACTACTGGTGCAATTTTATCCAAACTTTACAGGAATGATCAGTACCAAGTCTAGTTGTGCACTGTCCGTCTGTCTGTCCGTCTATCACAAAACTTGTCCCAACATGACATTGGCCATCATGAGGCGACACATGTGATCACTGATCGCTCTTGTGTTAATATAACAACAGGTGAGTGTGGTGGTTGTTTGTCCATCTTCCATCATTAGTAGTTGGTCATTATCCAAAAATTTTCCCCTATACCACATTTTAACCAAACTTAACAGGAATGATCCTTAAGTGTCCTTCTACAAAAAATAATGTAAGTGGGTCCAGTTTGATGTATAGGTAGGTCACAGAAGTGAAAAAATAGACTTAAGAAATGAAATTTAAAAAAAAATCTTTAAAAAAAAACTACAATGCCCAGTGCTTAGATATTTGTCATGTAGCATCATGAAGTTTGGAATTTTATGTTTACTATTGTGAGAGTGAGCATTTGTGACAGGCATATTTTTTGTGACAATGGCTCTCTTGTACATGTTTTATTTACTCAGATGAACAAGATGGGCCCACTTGTGTCTTCTATTTAAGAATTGCACCAAGGATTTGAAGTATGTTTTGTTTTTTTGTAGGTATTGTTTATAGAGATCTGAAGTTAGACAATGTTTTACTGGATTCTGAAGGTCATATCAAGCTTACAGATTACGGAATGTGCAAGGTAAGGAAAGTAATGATTGGGTAATAGTCTAGGTATTGTCTATCTTTACAATGTTACTTGTGTTCTCATTTGGTATATTGCTGGACACAGTCTACTGTCACTAAGAGTAGAAAATTCCCATAACTAAAGCCTGCATAAAGATACAATTACAGACAGAAAATCTGTATAATGTCCCTGATAAACACCCCCTTTTTGACAAAATAAAAGATAACTTGAGTAACCAAAATATTAGTAGTTTATCGTAAATCCTAAGAAGCAAGCACTTGTTTTAGCAAGTAAATAAATTCCAATAATCCAGTTAAAAGTAAGTATGTAACTCCATTCCCATTCTAAAAAAAAAAAATTAAAAATTTTTAGTGTTCAGGACTGTTTTAAATCAATGCTGACTCGCACTTCTCTGAATCATCTGAGATCTACATTTTTGATTCAATAAATTGAGACTCGGTCTCCTCAAAATTATTCTTATGTTAGAACAAATGGTGGTTCTCTGTTTCATCAAGTGCCAATGTTATTCCACACTTCTTGAAAGACTATTGATAATTTCTGGTGTAATGAAAGACAATTCCTCTTTAATACCTTTCAATACCAATACCTGTGGTGGATCTCAGCCATTAACAGAGCTCTCATGAAGACATTTGTCAGACAACTTGGCTAATTGACCTAAAAAGGTTAATTCCAGGAAACATCTGTGGGATGCAGATGTGATTTGCAACTGCCGGGAATACACACATTACATTGTTACTTGTTTTTAGCTCACCTAAGCACAAAGTGCTCAAAGATGAGCTTTTGTGATCCCTTGCCATTAGTCATGCATCGTTAATGGTGTCAAACTTTTCCTTGAAACAACATCTCCTCCTGTATCAATAGGCCAATATTGTTAAAACTGAGCAGGAACGTTTCTGGCCTTTGCAGTGCTCTTGTTAATTTCTTTAGACAATGAAATGAAATAATATGTGGCTATTATGAGACTGTTTATTACATCTGTTTACTGCCACTATAGGAAGGACTATGGCCTGGCGATGCTACAAGTACATTTTGTGGAACACCAAACTACATTGCACCTGAGATTCTTCGAGGAGAAGATTATGGTAGGTTGTTAGTTGTATGAGGGTTTCATCACATTGCTGTATTGTAATGTAAAGCAAATTTACTGAATGACGTTTCATTGAGTAAGTATGCTTTACTTATAAACTACAGATGTTTTAGGAAGACAAAACTTTAAGGATGTGTTAGAAATAAGTCAAACATGTTCCATATATCTACCTAGTAGTAGATTGACAGTACTAACTGAACATTTTTGTTGCAGCTGTAAATTTGTAACCAATGAAATTGTAGATTACAAAATATTCAGCTGAATAAGATGTTTACCATTTGTTCAGCTGACCTAGATAATTTGACGAAGTGACCTACTTTCTAGCCTTTTATGTACAGCTATGAACTTTGGACCATGTTCACAGTTTCAGATGTAAAATTGAACATTTAACATGATGGAAATGTTTCATACTTGGACAAAACAACAATTGTGACTACACCTACAATGTACCTATTAAATTTTAAAAAAGAAAAAGGAAAAACGAATTTCTTGTTTTTCTTTAAATTTTTTTTTAAAGATTTTGTTGAAACCTTTTATTTGTTTGCTTTAAGAAAAAGAATAAAATAGTCGAGTGTTGTCCCCGCCCAGCGGTGGCCTTGTTATCATATCAAAACTAATACCATAGATTCAAAATAAACAAACTAATATTGTAGTTATAATGTCATCTTTAGAATTTTGTCTTCTTGATAAACATCTAAATTGATTGTATTATTGCTGTGAATGCATCATTGCCAAGTTACAGTAAAGTTTATAATGCTATGGTTATATTTTATTTAGCTTAGGAAGTGTTTTAATGGGTTATGTAGTCGAGCGGTATTGTATTGTTGGCAGTGATGTATTCCAGTGGTATTATTACTTTTCTGTACTCAGTTTTTTTATTGTTGTTTTATTTATTGTGACAGGAAAACATTTGGCCTGGAGACATTACAAACACTTTTTGTGGAACTCCAAATTATATAGCTCCTGAGGTACTCCGAGGGGAGGAATATGGTATATGTTTGCTAAATAGGTCAAAGTGATGGTAACTTGTGAAATTTACACAGTATACCTGCTTGAAAATCTTGCTGCTAGATCCATTATAAGAAACAAACACATACCCAGCACACCTACACTCTTTCTTTGAAGCAAAAGATTTGAATTACTGTATTACAAATACTCAAGAAAACATTTATTCAAGTATACTAAGTAATTGCATTATACTGAGAAGATGAATAAAATATATTTCTATTTTATTTGCTCATCTGAACACAAAATGCTCAAAAGGTGAGCTTTTGTGAAAGCAGTTTGTTCATCATCTAAATTTCAACACTTTTTGAACATTTTTCCATACAGATTTCATGATTTTAAAGCTAGAGATCTGAAAATTTGAGACAGAATAGCTAGGTTCTTCTCCTTATTAGTCCCCTACCGGTTTACCGGAGGGGACTTTAGGTTTACCGTCTGTCAGTCCGTCCGTCCACAAAACTGGATCCCGCGATAACGCAAAAAGTACTGAAAATATTTTTATGAAACTTGATATATGGATAGATGGTAACAAATAGACTGAAAATATGCCAAATTTTACACATAAACTGAATCCAGTGATAATGCAAAAAGAAATGGAAATATTTTTATGAAACTTGACATATGCGTAGATGGCAGTCTGGAGATTATGCCTGTCTTTATCTTTTCTTCCTATTTTGAAAAAATTGGTTGCCATGGCAACAAATAGGCATAAAACATGGTCAATATAACAATATTTGTGATAAGTCAAAAAGAGCTGAAAATTTTTATGAAATTGCATCTTTATTTCAAGAATTATCTCCTCTTTAAGAATTTTGCTTTTAAAAATGTTATATTTTGGTAACAGGGATGTTTCAAATATTAACTTTAGAGTGTCCTTCAGTTCGTCTGTCTGTCTGTTCATGGAAACTGTTTCCTGTGATCACTTTTAAAGAACTTTTCCAACAAATTTACTTACAATAGAGAAAAATTAAAACATTAGTGAATGGCCATCACATGGGTCATCTCTGACGAAAAACTAGGTCACAGGAGCTAAAGATAGAAAAAATTTGTTAACTCTAGTGGCTACTGTTTTGATCCAAATAACCTGGAAATTTGACTGCAAGTTTGTTTTGATGATTTCTAGGTCAAGTTCGAACATGGGTCACCTGGGGTAAAAAACTATGTCACATTGCCCAGATATAAAAAAACAAACTTGTTAACACTCCAGTGGTCACATTTTTGACTCAATTGTCATCAAACTTGGTGAGGATGCTTGTCTAAGTAATTGCTCAGATGAGTTTGATTGGTCAGGTGAGAGATCAAGGGCCATCTTGTTCCCCAAAGCTTTGATAGTGACATGTTGCATTGCCTTGTGAACTCCTACAAAAATGGTAGTAATCATGCCCCTTGGGTTAATATTGGTCTAGTGCTGGTGGTTGTATGATTTATATAGACTTATGTAAGAAAACACATTAAAGTCTTATTGTGTGAAGCTAAAATGCCCATAGCTTAGTTATTTAGTATGTAGCATTGTCCTGTGGACTCCCTCAAAACTAAAATTAATCTTGCCCATTGGGTCAATACTGCCCCTATCCTCAAATTCATGCAAGTCAGATTAAAGAGTATAAAGCTATATCTTACGAAATATATTTATAAAATTTATCAACAGTAAAATTATATTTATTTATTCCATAATCTTACGGTTGATTCTCAAATTAGTTGTAACATATTTTCTCTGTTATTTAACACATAAGTTATAGAAAGAGCATCGAAACACGAGTCTATGTGATTTTCTGATTTGTACGAGGGTTCTTTCTCTTTTGTATCATAGTCAAACATAAAAACACTCTCCCTGTTGTCACAATATGAAACCCCGGAGAAAAGTAACCAATGAACAAGCATCTAAATATAATATTTCTGTCGCTTTCCCTTTCTCTGCCGTCACAATAAGTAAACCCCATCAAAAATGAGCCAATCAATGGGGATGCTCTGGAGTGCGGGTAACTAATACCTGCACTCCAGTTAACGCACAGTGCATGTATATGTATACGATTTAACTCTGACACATTTTCAACAGAAAGGTCCCCAAACTATGATACAAATGTATGTAAAAATAAAATGTTTCGGAACATTATAACATTACAAAATGTATATTTTTCTACTATTTTAAGGCGTGTTTTATCCATGTGCATGCGCCATTCAATTTATGGCAATTTTATTTCATACAAGCATTTTGGAATTACCCTTGTCCGTCCATTCTCTTTTGTGTCGCACGTAGCTGAAAAGTATTTAACCTAGAGTCATAAAACTTTACAGGAATGTTGACCAGCATGTGTTGTTGTGCACCTGGGTATTTTCGTGTGGATATATTTAGAATTTTTAGAGTTACTGCCCTTGAGTTAGTAAAAACTTACAATTTTCCACTTGTGTCAATTGTAACTCAAAAAGTATTTGACCTAGAGTCATGAAATTTTACAGGAATGTTGATCAGCAAGTGAAGTTGTGCACCTTGGGTTTCGCTTGTGGATCTATTTAGTATTTTTAGATTTATTGCCCTTAAATTAGCATAAATTTGCAATTTCCAACTCGTGTCACACGTAACTCAAAAAGTATTTTACCTCGAGTCATGAAACCTTACAGGAATGTTGCTCAGCATGTGAAGTTGTGCACCTTTGGTTTCGCTTGTGGATGTATTCTGTTTTGTAAGAGTAATTAGCCTTGACTTAGTAAAAATTTGCAATTTTCAACTTGTGTCGCATGTAGCTCAAAAAGTATTTAACATAGGGTCATGAAACTTTACAGGAATGTTGATTAGCATCTGTAGTTGTGCACCTGGTTATTTTTGTGTGGATATATTTAGAATTTTTAGCTCGACTATTCGATAAGAATAAGTAGAGCTATTGTAGTCACCCGAGCGTCGGCGTAACCACTTACGTGTAATACCTCAAATATTTTCAAAGTCCATTGACATATGGCTTTGAAACTTTGCACACTTGTTCACCATCATGACCCCAACCTGTAGACAGGAGGAAGTAACTCTATCAAGCATTTTGACAGAATTATGCCCCTTTTTCGACTTAGAATTTACGTTAAAGTTTTTGTAATAGTTCAAATATTTTCAAAGTCCATTGACATATGGCTTTGAAACTTTACACACTTGTTCACCATCATGACCCCAACCTGTAGACAGATGGAAGTAACTCTATCAAGCATTTTGACAGAATTATGCGCCTTTTTCGACTTAGAATTTACGTTAAAGTTTTTGTAATAGTTCAAATATTTTCAAAGTCCATTGACATATGGCTTTGAAACTTTGCACACTTGTTCACCATCATGACCCCAACCTGTAGACAGGAGGAAGTAACTCTATCAAGCATTTTGACAGAATTATGCCCCTTTTTCGACTTAGAATTTACGTTAAAGTTTTTGTAATAGTTCAAATATTTTCAAAGTCCATTGACATATGGCTTTGAAACTTTGCACACTTGTTCACCATCATGACCCCAACCTGTAAACAGGAGGAGGTAACTGTATCAAGCATTTTATTTTACTATCAAGCACTAAGAATAGTCGAGCGTTGCTGTCCTACCGACAGCTCTTGTTAGAGTTACTGCCCTTGAGTTAGTAAAAACTTACAATTTTCCACTTGTGTCAATTGTAACTCAAAAAGTATTTGACCTAGAGTCATGAAATTTTACAGGAATGTTGATCAGCATGTGAAGTTGTGAACCTGGGGTTTCGCTTGTGGGTTTATTCTGTTTTTTCAGAGTTATTGTCCTTGACTAAGTAAAAATTTGCAATTTTCTACTTGTGTCTTATGTAGCTCAAAAAGTATTTGACCTAGGGTCATGAAACTTTACAGGAATGTTGATCAGCATGTGTACTTGTGTACCTGATGTTTCGCTTTTGGATTTATTCTGTTTTTTTCAGAGATTTTGCCCTTGACTTAGTAAAAGTTTGCAATTTTCAACTTGTGTCACACGTAGCTCTAAAACTATTTGACATAGGGTCATGAAACTTTACGGGAATGTTGATCATCATGTGAAGTTGTGCATCTGAGGTTTCGCTCTTGAATTTATACATTTTGTCAGAGTTTCTGCCCTTGACTTAATGAAAATTTGCAATTTTCAATTTGTGTCGTTCGTAGCTCAAAATGTATTTAACCTGGAGTCATGAAACTAAAAAAGGAATGTTGGTCATCATATGTAGTTGTGCACCTTGGGTTTCGCCTGTGGATTTATCCAGAATTTGTAGAGTTATTGCCCTTGACTTTGTAAAAACTGTTTCATTATGTTGTGTTATTTGTTCCTTAAGTGCTTGAGTTAGAATCAACCAACTTTACAGGAATAATGATCAACTCAACATCACTGTGAAGCTATGCACCTGGGACTTTGCATGTGGATTTTTTTCAGTTTTGTTAGTTATTTCTCTTGACTTACTGTAGTATAAATTAGCAATTTTCAGCTTGTTCATACATAGCTCAAAAAGTATTTGACCTGTAGGCCTAAAAGTTTACAAGAATGTTAGTCAGCATTAGTACTTATGCACCTTGGGGTTCACTTGTGGATTCATTCAGTATTTGTAAAGGTCTTGCCCTTTACTTAGTCAAAGATTTTTAGTTTTCAATTTGTGGCACATGTAGCCCAAAAAAACAATTGACTTAGAGTCATAAGATTGACAAAACAGTGGAGTGTGGGGGGTACCTGTGTCCTATGGACACATTTCTAGTTTCTTCTTTTTTTTAATTCAACCAATAATTTTTGAAGCAGATAAAGCTTTATACATTTGAATTCTACATTTTCCATATTCTGTTTCAACAATTGTTTCTTTGTCTTTTGTGTGTGACATTCATGCCCCTCAATGGCCAAGGTCAGGGTCACATGTAGAGGTCAAAGGTCATTAATATATATGAGAATGTGTGTATGGACAATTTTGTAGTCTTTAGTTGAGGTATTTTTTCACAAATGTTCACAATTATTTGACTGAGTATTGCCAGCATAATTTAAGTTAAACTTCATCAGCAATGATTAAATGTATAGTGTTTCTTTTTGAGCATATCTTCTATATGCAACAACGAATCTGAGTATTTTTCTGACACAAATGTTGACCATGAAACAGTTCTCTAATCAAAGGTCAAGGTCGATCTGTGCGTTCAGAGGAACAGGTCTCTAATCAAAGGTCAAGGTCAATTTTGAGTTCAGAGGAACAGGTCTCTAATCAAAGGTCAAGGTCAATCTTTGAGTTCAGAGGAAAACACCTCTCTGTAGTGAAATTTTATATTACATAGAGGGATTGTTATATGAATTAGAACAGATGTTCAACATTGTAAGTGTTGTGCCCAAAGTTTAGGTCCCTTTTGTCAAGGTAAAGGTCAGGTGTAGAGGTCCAACCGAAAGTCGGATAAAAATATTGTTTAAGTCATCATGAACTGTTGAAATTTAATGTAAGTGTTTCCAACAATGAGGTTGAGCATTAATTTTGTAAAGGGTGTATTTTGTGACAAATTGGCTCTCTTGTTTGCTAACAGTTAACTGCCAGCTACTGTATGAGTTTACTTTAAAAATACACAAGTATAATATTGATATAGCAAAGAATAAAGCAAGAATATTTATAATTTGGTTATGTGTGGAATGTCAGGGAATGATAGCATCTAGAATTTATCTCTGCAAATATTGAGATTTTAAGAGACTTCCCAGAAAATATTCTTAAGCAGTGTAAGATGACCACCTAGGTCAACTGTTACAGATACCTTTACCTTACGTTTTTCTTTGAAAAGTGCATTAATATATTTTACAAAATATCTACCTCTTAAAACTTATATTTTATATCTTTATATTTTATATCTTATGGAATATAGTAAGCATGTGTAACATAGCATTTCCTTGTCTAAATGCTTTAAAGGAATAATTATGAATAATTTCAATATTATTAATTAATCTTACATTTTTAACAGTTATGAAAAGATTTTCATGTTAAATAAATATTTTTATATAAATTACTTTTAGATTCTCAACTAATTTATTTTGCAACTCTAGTTTAAACATATCAAAGTAGTCATATTATCTGATTCTAACCTTTTTAGCTCACCTGAGCTTGCTCAGGGTGAGCTATTAGGATCGGTGAATGTCCGTCGTCCGTCGTACGTCCACAATTGCTTGTGAACACTCTAGCGGTCACATTTTTGAACCAATCATCATCAAACTTTGTCAGGATGCTTGTTTAGTCAATTGCTTGGATGAGTTCGAACATGGGTCATCTCCGATGAAAATCTAGGTCACAGGAGCTATAAATAGAAAAACCTTGTGAACACTCTAGCGGTCACATTTTTGAACCAATCATCATCAAACTTGGTCAGAATGCTTGTCTAGTCAATTGCTTGGATGAGTTCGAACATGGGTCATCTCTGATGAAAAACTAGGTCACAGGAGCCAAAAATAGAAAAACCTTGTGAACACTCTAGTGGTCACATTTTTGACCCAATCATCATCAAACTTAGTCAGGATGCTTCTCTAGTTGATAGCTCGGATGAGTTCAAACATGGGTCATCTCGGATGAAAAAGTAGGTCACCGGAGCTAAAAATAGAAAAACCTTGTTAACACTCTAGCGGTCACATTTTTGCATCAATCATCATCAAACTTGGTCAAGATGCTTGTCTAGGTGATAGCTCGGATGAGTTGGAACATGGGTCATCTCGGGTGAATAAGTAGGTCACCGGTGCTAAAAATAGAAAAACCTTGTTAACACTCTAGCGGTCACATTTTTGCATCAGTCATCATCAAACTTGGTCAAGATGCTTGTCTAGGTGAAAGCTCGGATGAGTTCGAACATGGGTCATCTCGGATGAAAAACTAGGTCACAGGAGCTAAAAATAGAAAAACCATGTTAACACTCTAGAGGTCACAATTTTGCCTCAATCATCATCAAACTTGGTCAGGATGCTTGTCTAGGTGAAAGCTCTGATGAGTTTGAACATGGGTCATCTCGGATGAAAAAGTAGGTCACCGGAGCTAAAGATAGAAAAACCTTGTTAACACTCTAGCGGTCACATTTTTGCATCAATCATCATCAAACTTGATCAAGATGCTTGTCTTGGTGATAGCTCGGATGAGTTCGAACATGGGTCATCTGCGATGAAAAACTAGGTCACAGGAGCTAAAAATAGAAAAACCTTGTTAACACTCTAGTGGTCACAATTTTGACTCAATTGTCATCAAACTTGGTCAGGAAACTTGTCTAGGTCATTGCTGGGAATAAATTGAACATGGGTCATCTCGGATGAAAAAGTAGGTCACCGGAGCTAAAAATAGAAAAATCTTGTTAACACTCTAGTGGCTACTGTTGTGATCCAAATATTCTGTTAATTGGTCTGAAAGTTTGTTTTGATGATTTCTAAGTCAAGTTAGAACATGGGTCATCTTAGATGAAAAACTAAGTCACACCGCCCAAATATGGAAAAACCTTGTTAACATTCTAGTGGTCACATTTTCGACTTCATCAAACTTGGTCAGGATGCTTGTCTAGGTAATTGCTTGGATGAGTTCGAAATCGCATGTGGAACTAGGTCACCGGAGCTAAAAATAGAAAAATCTTGTTAACACTCTAGTTGCTACTGTTTTGATCCAAGTATCCTGGAAATTGGTCTGAAAGTTTGTTTTGATGATTTCTAGGTCAAGTTTTAATATGTGTCACCTGGGTAAAAAACTAGGTCGCACTGCTCAAATATGGATAATCCTTGTTAACACTGTAGTGGTCACATTTTTAGCTCGACTTTTCTATGAAAAGGGGAGCTATCCTACTCGCCCCGGCGTCGGCGTCGGCGTTAGCGTTAGCGTTGGCGTCACACCTTGGTTAAGTTTTTCGTACCACCCCACTTTATTTCAGAAGTATTACAAGTATGGCTTTGAAACTTACCATACTTGTTCACCATCATAACCTCCATCTACAGACAAGAGTACATAACTCTGTCAAGGTTTTTGACAGAATTATGGCCCTTTTTTGACTTAGAAAGTGTATTGAGCTTGGTTAAGTTTTTTGTACCACCTCACTTTATTTCAAAACCATTGGAGGTATTGCTTTGAAACTGACCATACTTGTTTACCATCACGACCTTCATCAACAGACAAGAGGACATAACTCTGTCAAGGTTTTTGACAGAATTATGCCCCTTTTTGACTTAGAAAATACATTGAATATGGGTAAAATCCACTTATTGCCTTAACCCTTTGAGATATTGCTTTGAAACTTTTAATGCTATTTCACATCATTACCCCCATCTGTACGCAAGAGAAGGTAACTCTGTCAGGGATTTGTTTTAAAAATTAAGGCCTTTTATCGACTTAGAATCTTGGTTAAGTTTTTTGTACCAGTCAACTTTTTGACTGAACTGGTTGAGATATTAAATTGAAAGTTGGAATACTTGTTTACCATCATGGTCCCAAACATGGCAGGAGAAGGTAATTCTGTTAAGGATTTTATTTGAATTATGGCCCTTTTTGACTTAGAAACTCAGTTAAAATTTTCATTCTTGTCCACTTGTTGACCTAACCATTTGAGATATTACTTTGGAAGTTGGAGTTCTTATGTGCCATCATGAGACCTATCTGTAAGCAAGAGAAGATAACTCTGTGAAAATGTTTCTTGATTTGTACTTAGAAATTCCTAGTTAAAGTCTTGTGTGCCCTTAACTGTCAAAGTTTTGTTTTATAGGCAAGCACTAAAAAAGTCGAGCGCGCTGTCCTTCTGACAGCTCTTGTTGACTCACCTGTCGTGAGACTTGGTCAGAATGCTTGTCTAGGTAATTGTTTGGATGAGTTTGATAAGTCAGGTGAGCGATCTAGGGCCATCATGGCCATCTTGTTTATCTAACAAGCCAAATATAAATAATATCTTATGGCATTTATGGGTAATTTAGCTAAAGGCTTAATTACTATGACAACATTTTCTCAATTTATATTGTTGATTTTCATTTTTAGCCTGTTTTTTTTTTTCAAAGACAAAAAACAAGATTTATGTTATAGTCACTTTGACGTACCTGTTGCCATTTGTAAACTTTAATCTTGATCATAACTTTATTTCTTGGTGTATTGTCAACATACTTCAACAACCCTTGGGACAAGACCTTCAAGTTCACTTGACTAACCTTGATCTTCATTCATAAATGCCCTTGACCTTTAAGGTCAAATGTCTGAATTCTGCTTGATTTTTGCTATAAGTAGCTACAACTTAGTTATTTTTGAACTGGTTGTCTTCAGACTTGAACACAGCAATCTTTTAGGATAGATCTTTAAGTTTACAAGGCAGACCTTGACCTTCACTTATAAATGACCATGACCTTGAAGGTCAAATTATTGAAATTTTCTTTTTGTTGCTGTAACTTAAACTTTTTAATTTTTTAATTATGAATGAATTGACTTCATTTATAGATACAACATTCCTTAGGGTATGACATTCATGTATATCAAACTAAAATTGACCTTGGCTCATTTATGACCTTGACTTTACATGAATACCAATGTTTAATATGGGTTCTTGTTTATTTCTTCCAGCTGCTGCTAAATGTAGATGTTTATGATTATTAAAACAAACATGTTTTCTGCTTTGATAATTGGCAAATTGATCATGTACAGTGACAAAAACCTACTATCAGGCTGCTATGTGTTCAGTAGAACATGACATGTATCATAATGTACATTATTTCAGATTACAGTGTAGACTGGTGGGCTCTAGGGGTGTTAATGTTTGAGATGTTAGCTGGTCGCTCACCATTTGATGTCGTTGGAGGAGCAGAAAACCCAGATCAAAATACAGAAGACTATCTCTTCCAAAGTAAACATACAATCTTATTAATTGATACCATCATGTGAATATCAGAGAAACAAGTATAAAAATGGATAACATTAGCAGGAAAAAAAATTTGAAAAAAATAGTTGTTTGACTTTTCAGTTTTAATTTCAAGTATTTTGTGTCACAAAAAGAATATGTAGAAAAGTTATTATGGTCATCCTGTAAGTTTGTTCTACCCTTAAAAATGTTTATCATAAATATACATACTTTATTAAAACCTTTACTTTAATTAAGTAGTGTAAATTGTACTGTTTTGTTTGTTTGTATTTCACCTCTGTATTTTGAATGTTTCAGTAATTTTGGAGAAAACAATCCGAATACCTCGGTCATTATCAGTGAAAGCTGCATCTGTACTTAAAGGATTTTTAAATAAGGTAAGTCACTTCATATTTTGTTACCAAACATGCCCTTATGACTCTCTGGTGTCTGGTTTAGAGTACATTCTGTAAAGTTTATAAAAAAAAATCAAGCATGGCAACATTTCTTCATACAAGAAAATAGAGGTAAACATGGCAATTTCTGATAAGACTATTTATTATTTCAAAAATAATTTGGTTTTATTTTATTAGAAAGTTAAACTTACTTACATTTCATCTTTGGTATGTTTAGTGTTATTCATTCTTAGTCATAAACTAAAATAATTGTAGGTCAATTAAAGGTTGGTAACATTTATGTTGCAAAAATGATTACATTTCCAACGACGGAGCAATTGAATATTATAAAATTTAATGGCAACTCTAATATGACACTGACTGAGACTTAAAAGTTTATTTTCAAAACAGATTGCACGGAAATTGTTCAAGGCAACGTGTGTTTTTTCCATCAAAAACGGGTGTCTGTAGTTGAGTGGTTAAAGTTGTTGACTTCAAACATCTTGCCCCTCATTGCTGAGTCCCGGCATCAGTGAAATGTTAACAAGCCAACTATACAAAGAAATATGTTTTCATATTTGACCTTTTACCCGAGATTGTAGTGGGAATAGCATGGAGAAAAGTTAGCTGATCCAGCGGAACTCTGCATTGGTGTTCCATCCGCATTGTTTAGTTTCCCTTGGGATAGGTACAAAACATGCGTACTGGCAATGGGTCAGCTGACATCAGAAATATGTAACATCATATGAGCATTATTTCGAGACAGAGTGAGAATGGGACATTCATTTGATGCCGTTGACAATTAATATGTATATATTATGTTGTATGTGAGGGCTGTTTAAATGTAAATGTTGATCACAGCTCAATAGGTTTTTGTAAAGTGTTCCCTAAATATGCATATATTTGCTGGCAAAATTTGTAGTACATATATATTTCTTTAGAGTAAAATGTATAAGAACTTTCCAGACAACCCTCATATATATAATTTTACACACAAACAGAATGAAATGTACCATAACAAAATATTTCAATACTTTAAAAAGGTTTGGCCCACAATTCACACATGCCCTTCTTGCTTTTAATAACAGATACTAACACATTTTGTATTCTTTTATCATTTTATTCACAATATAAACAATAATTTTACATTCACAGGCAGCAAATATAATAGATTGATACACTTCAAGAACCACTGGTGCTAAAAATAGAGTTATCTTTTAACAACTTCTTGTCAACTAATAGATAGAATATCACGCGAACCATACAACTTTGTTTATTGTATATGATTTTATATATATATTGTATTATGCTGTACAGAATCAAAAGGAAAGGTTGGGTTGTCATCCACAGAGTGGTTTTCCAGATATACAGTCTCATGCATTTTTCCGTACTATAGACTGGGACATGTTACAACAAAAACAAATTTCACCACCATATAAACCTCAGTTGAAGGGAGAGCGAGATCTGGAACATTTTGACCCAGCATTTACTAATGAACCAGTTCAGCTTACTCCAGATGATCTGTAAGATTTGTTTCTATTCATTCATCTTTTTTAACAGTTTACTGATAATTAAGTCTTTCTCAATTATATGAATTAAAGTACTCTTATTTTATAAGCTTATTTCATAAGTAAACTTTAAAGATAATAGAATTGCTTATTGTAATTTGAACAAAATCACAACAAAAAACATTAACAAATCATGTGCATGTGGACACATGCACAAGACCTTAACCCCTAATTATAAAGAATTTAAAATATAATGGAATATGGAAGAATATGCAAGAAAAAATATCTGACATATGTTTGCGGTTCGGATCGGAATATCCGTCCCTCGGTCACCTCGGTCGCCTCGTTACCGCCCAATGGGCGGGTCACCTCGGGACGGATATTCCGATCCGAACCGCAAAATATGACAGATATTATTATTTTCAGTTTTGATTTTATCAAAATATTTTTGTGCAGCTTTAAATTAAGGCCTTGCAAATGTTAGAAAAAAATGTTTTTATCAACAGCTATCTGCTCTCTTACTTTTACATGTTCACTAGATAGAAAAACACTAGATAGAAAAATCATAATCTGAGCCATTCACAACAATACATTTGCTATCTTTAAGGCACATTTTTTGTTCATGATACCTTTTGATGAATTTGTCATCTACGTAAATTGCCCGGCTAAGCAGACCTTCTTTTGTCAGTGATATGTTTAGTTTATATGGTATAGATTGTGTGTAAATGAGTGGTACCAAAATTATTTTTATTTTGATATTTTACATTTCAGAAAAGTTATTGATAAAATAGATCAGTCAGAATTTGACGGCTTTGAATATGTCAACCCTCTCCTGATGTCAATGGAAGATTGTGTTTGATATCACTGAAATAGCATGCTAGCCAGCACAGGGATTATTGTGTCATCACAGAAAATATGGCTAATTCATTAACACTGAGAATTAGTACTGAAAATTTAGAATGACATTTGTATATATTTGCAATTAACAAAATTCAACTATGCAGAGCTTTAAAGTTTTATTCACTTTTTATGCCACCGCAATCTGTGATGCGTTGGTATGTAGCGATTCACCTCTGTGTGTGTGTGCTTTATTTACTCTGTTCCTACTATTTAATGTTGTATTAATTTGGTGGCATAGCATTTTTCACAAATGCAATCTTGTTTGTTTATATGTTTTCTGTACATTGCACCTTTATTATATAAAGGTAAATGCTAGTGAAAGAAGTTCCATTGACAAAGATTTTTTATGGTGGAAAGCTGAATCTTATCTATTGTGAAATAAAATGTGTTATCAAAATATACTTATTCTAAATTTTAAGTCTTGAGCTCACCTTTGTTCAAAGTTCTCAGATTCGAGCTTTTTGATTTGTCATTTTTGTACCCACAATCACTTTAGATAAGATCTTTCAAACATCTTTCAAACTAGGATTTTAATAATTGTCACAAAAATGCCATTTAAATGGGCTTAGCTTAAATAGATTATAAAAGTTTCATCTTTGAAATCTTGTGACTATAAAGATTAGAACTTTCATATTTAATAGTTAGCACTTCCAAATTTCTTTTTCCTTAACAAAAGTTACATGATTTATGTTTAAAAAGCCTTGCCTCTGAACCACATTTTATATAGACTTGTATAGAAAAAAACTGAGGTTAAAGATATATATAGCATTTATATATATATATGATTTATCCCCTTAGATCAAAATTGGTACTACTATTTGATTGCCTGTTTGTAATATAGTAAAACTTAAAAATAAATTGTCTTTTAGCAGCATGACTCCAGATTCATGTTTATTTTCATGAAAGTTTTTAAGATGTTTTAAAATTAATATATTGTCAAGTGAAGAAAGAAAGTAATTTACACATTGCAAACAGCACTTAGAATCTATGAAAATTACGAAAAAATAGGTCAGAATATGCAAAAAAACAACCCTAACTATGTTAGGCACACAGTAGAAATATGGTTATAAATACTGCAAAATCAGTCATTAAGTAAATTATTTGCTGATTGTGACAATTTTTTTTTTTTGCTTAAAATTTTAGGTAATTTTTCTCAAGGTTGATTTTCTTGACACATTTTTGCTCATCTGGAGGCACGCAGCTTTAAACTAGGACACCTCTGGACTAGTACTTGATATTAAGCAATCTACTAGATAAATTATTCTGGGCATTTGGGGCCACTTTTGTTACTTAAAATAAAACTTCTTGTGTTGTAAACTAAGTGGTTGGTAACTAGGATACTTTGTGATATTGTGTAGTTGGCTAATACATGTTATAACCAAGATTTCTTCTGGATTTTTTAAAGAAATTTCGTATATAGATCATCACTTAAATCATTTAGTAAGGCTATACAGAACTTTCATCTTATTTGGTGAGTCATGTAGGTCTACTTTTGTCTCTTATATATATTATTAAATTCATTTATTATCTGTTAACATTTCATATGTACATCTTGCAGTTCAAAAGGTTAAATCATTTAAGCATTGTATAATGTTTGATGCGTAATAAAGTATGTAGGGGCTTGTAAAAATGAGCAGAAAGCATTTACAATGTTAAATATCACATTATTATCACAATATGAAACCCACCTTTGTAAGATATACTAATATACCACCCATGAAGTTGTAGAAAGAATATTTAACTTTATATAATATACATACATGTATTTGATATACAAACAAGTCAAGGAAGAAGGTTGTTCTGAATGTATTTCTTTTATTAGAAATTATATATTATGTATTTAATTATTTATATTGCAATGTTCATATACTAATTTTATATCCTTACATTCATGGTTGTTTTTTTATATAATGCTAATTTTTTGTCCCTGCTAAATAAATTTTCGTATGTTTCCGTGTAAGGAAATTACTTTGTTAGTTGTAGTGAAAAACAACTTCCCATAAATAATTGTGTTAAAGATGAATACCCTAGTTAATGAAGGAAAACCTCAAAAGTGAAAATTGTTGCCACTTTAACAGCCGCTTTATAAGTCATTGCCTTACAAGTGTGAAACTAAACCAGTAGATGACCCCTATTGATTTTGAGGTCAAAAGGTCAGAGTTCAGATCACTGTGACCTTGATCAATACAAGTTTGTATGACCAATAGCTTTGGCTTACAGTCGTGTGAAGGTAGGTCTTGATTAGTAGATGACTACTATCCATTGAGGTCAATAGATCAGTCACTTCAGCCTTGATCACTTCAAGTATATCCAACTAATAACTAGGTTTGGCCCACAAGTCTAAAATTTATACCTTTTGAGGTTGGTCATTAGTAGATGAGCCATATTGGCCTACAGATTCAGTATGTAGGTTTGCCATGACTAGTAGGTGACCCCTATGTATTTTAAGGTCATCAGATCAAAAGTCAAGGTCACTGTGGCACTATGTATAAAATCCTTGTCCTGTCAATGACTCGAGAAGAAATAAGCCTTATGATAAAAAACTTTGTAGGGACATTGCCCCATATTGTTTTTAAGATTATAAGGTCACGGTTATATAAAGAACAAGAATTTTCTCAATCATATGATTTGTGAAACTTGTTTAAATACTTAGTGTGTGTGCATCTATCTGTCCGTCTTGGGGGTTAGACATTACGGAGTTTGTGTACAACTTGATATTATTCAGTCCATTCTGTAAATCTGGGGTTGGAAAGTGATTTTATGATGTTGAAAAAATGTGTATTGTGGGGTTGAAAAAGATCAAAAGAAGATCAAAGAAACAACCTAATAATGTCTGTATATATTACTTATTTATATAACAGTTTTATGAAATATGCACAAGTATTTAAATACTATGACAGCTAATGAAGTAGGTTGATAATGTTCCTATGGAAATATTTCTAGTTCTGTGTTTCATTTTACAGGCTGTCATTGGATAGTTATAAAATTATACTTAGAAGTTGAGATCAAATTTTCTAATACAGAATAGATACAGACTAATTGTTATTAAAGTCTTACTTATTCATGAAGTATGCTATACTAGTGTGTTGTATTCAAGATAAAACATCAGTATGAATTGTATGAGGTTTCATGGAATAAATAAAACATTTATATGGACCAAGAATAGTGTTTTTGTATTGTAATTTCATGTAGGTCAATTTTAATGAAATTGGCTTCAAATCAGAAATTCAGCTTTGTTTAATCATTTAACTAGTAACACCCTTATGATAGCAAATCAACAAACTTTAATTTGCCAAAGGACCCAGAGCCATGCAAAGAATATATAAAATTAGAAATATTGCAATAAAGTATATAAATTTTGCCATGCCAAAGACCGAGGTTTGTAGATCATAGTTAAAGGAGACATTGAATTCAAAGGAATTTTTTCATAAAAGTGCATTGATGTTCTTGTCCAGTCAATCATTCTGTAACTTATAGCTGGATTTCTGGATTCATTGTTCCGTCCAAGTTCTGAGAATAACTTGGAATAATATTGAAGGAATTTGATTTAAACTTCACACACTAATAGACTCCAGTTAGAGGAAGAACCATTATTTTACCTGGCTTGTGTTTTTATATGCCCGAAAAAATTCGGCAATTAATGTTATGCCCCTGATTGTCTGTCTTCATGTTTTGAACTGTTGGAAAAAATATTGAAACTACTTGACAAAAATGTTAACCAAATGAGACAATGTGCAGAGTGCAGGTTTGACCTTCCTCAGGCCAAGGTCACAGTCATTTTGTTTTTAAATTTCAAAATTTTGTGTTCACTGTATCTTTTGAACCAATGGAAAGGAAATATAACTTTTTGACAGATCTATTACTTATAATGAGAGATGTGCAGAACACGGGTTTTGGCTTACTGAGATCAAAGATGGCCCCGCCTGGGGAGTACTTGATTTCTATAACCTTAAATGGAAAAACACATTTAAGTTTCATTTTGTGAAACTACAATGTCTAGAGCTTAGATATTTAGCATGTAGCTTTGCCTTATTGATCTTCACAAAACTGATAAGAATCATGCCCCTTGGTTCAATATTGGCCTTGCCCCAGAGGTCACTTTATTCAAATAGACTTGTATTATAGGAAAAACACATCTGAGACTTATTGTGTGAAAGTAAGATGCCCAGGGTATGTAAGATCACTTTTTGGACCGCAAAGTTACTGTTAATTTTTGTATAAGAAAACACATTTAAGTCTTATTTGGTGAAACTGCGTTTCGATATTGAACATGTAGCATTGCCTTGTTGTCCTCCTCTACAAAACAGGTATTAATCATGCCCCTTGGGTTAATATTGATCCATCCACTGGGGCCACTAAGTTGATATAGTCATGTATGAGAAAACATATTAAGCATGTAGCATTTACCATGAGAACATCAGCAAAATTGATGTTAATCATGTCCCTGAGATCAAAATTCACCTACCCTGTGGTCACTTGATAATAGGAAAACATGTTATTGTTAGAACTACAAAGCTTAAAGTTTAGATATTTAGCCTTTAGCATCAATTTATAGTTTTCTACTTGAGTTATATTAATCATGACTCTCGTTATTTGCCCTTCCTGAAATCACACCTCTGATTATTTACTACATGATTTTAGTACATTTAAGATAGTGTTTGTGATGGAGATCTAATGACTGCTTCAGAGAAGTTGTTCTTGTGACTAAAGTTAACTTTACTACCAAGTCTGAAGTTTTCATGTTATTTTGTTGTGAATAATGCTACTGAGGGATCACATTTTATCAATATATTTTTTCGGCATATTATGTTATACCCTGTGGTGTCCGTTAGCAATTTGGTTTCCGGAGCATAACTTAAGTTCCATTTGGCCCACAATATTCAAACTTCATAGGATGATTGTCCATATTGGGTAGAAGACCCCTATTGATTTTGGGGTCACAAGGTCAAGGTCACTATTACCTTAAAATTGAAAACAGTTTCCGGAGCATAACTTAAGTTCCATTTGGCCACAGTGTTCAAACTTCATAGGATGATTATCCATATTGGGTAGAACACCCCGATTGATTTTGGGGTCACAAGGTCAAGGTCACTATTACCTTAAAACTGAAAACAGTTTCCGGAGCATAAATTAAGTTTCATTTGGCCCACAATATTCAAACTTCATAGGATGAATGTCCATATTGGTTAAACCCCTATTGATTTTAGGGTCAAAGGTCAAGGTCACAATTACCTCAAAACTGAAAACAGTTTCCGGAGCATAACTTAAGTTCCATTTGGCCCACAATATTCAAACTTCATAGGATGATTGTCCATATTGGGTAGAAGACCTCTATTGATTTTGGGGTCACAAGGTCAAAGGTTACTATTACCCTAAAACTTAAAACAGTACTGCTCAATAACTTAAGTATTAATCAACCTACAGCTGTAAAAATTTTATAGGATGAACAGCCATGTCCAGACATGACCCCTATTGATTTTAGGATCAGAAGATCAAAGGTCAGGGTCACAATAAATTGTGGTTTCTGGAGCATAACTATAGTTCCATTTGGCCCACAGTGTTCAAACTTCATAGGATGATTGTCAATATTGAGTAGAAGACCCCTATTAATTTTTGGGTCACAAGGTCAAAGGTCAAGGTCACTATTACCTTAAAACTGAAAACGGTTTTCGCTCTATAACTTAAGTATTAATCACCTACAGCTGTAAAATTTTATAGGATAAACAGCCATGTCCAATACATGACCCCTAAGGTCAGGGTCACAATGACCTTAACACTGAAAATTGTGCTTTCTGGAGCATAACACAAGTTCCATTTGGCTTACAGTGTTCAAACTTCATATGATGATTGCCTATATTGAATAAAAGATCCACATCTATATTTGGATCACAAGGTCAAAGGTCAGTATCAAATGACCTTAATATATTTAATAGTTTTACAACTGTCAAACTTCATAGGATAATCACTTACATTGAGTACATTAATTATATGCCCTAAAAAATTTGCTTATATTATGTTATACCCCTGGCGTCTTTCCGTCCATCCGTCGAAGCATTTTTACTTACAAGATAACAACTTGATGGTGGTGCTTTGGAAACAGCAACTGAATATATATGAAGGTTCGTTAGCTATAAAGGAGGATTGCTTTTTGAGGGACGTAATACTTTATTTAATTCCCATGTCTTACAATTATTTAATTCCCATGTCTTACAAATGCTTCATCCTTACTAAAAAAACACACTTTCGGACATATAATGATCCGCCTAGCGGTGCCCTTGTTTTTACTGCAGAATCACTGTTAAGTTACACCAGATACGTATACCTGGTTACACTAAGCACACAAAATAACGGCCTGAAGCACTACACTTTGGTCTCATAAATGCATTATAAAAAGGTTTATTTTATATCATTTTTGTGGGAACAAAGGTAAAAAATTATCCTCACTAAACCCAAACGGCACTTACAATCCACGAAAATTACCAAAAATTGTATGCAAAAATAGCTCTTACTGCGGTTGTCACACAGTAGAAATATGGTGATGAATACTGTTCAATCAGTCATTAATCGTTCATAGCATGTAATTTATTACTTTAATCTTTTTACTTTCCTACATTTTTCTCAAGTTTGATTTTCTTGAAATATTTTAGTTCAGCTGGAGGCATGTAACTTCAAACTTTATTAAGAGATAACAGTGACAATTCAATATTTAAATAGTGTGATAGTCTGGTGATAAACATCAGTTTACATGTAATTATAATGGTCGATAAGTATATGTTGTTACATTGTAAGCGATTCCATTTACGGTTGCTATTGGCACAAACCAATTGCTATTGGCATTGGCCAATAACTTATGTGCAAAAATAGTATATTACCCTCCAATATCATCTATCAAGATTCTCCGTCCGTCTGCAAGCCCGTGTCAATATTTGATAATTGCTTTGTGGAATAACAGTGCACTGTTGTTCAACATGTGACATACAGTCACGACGATTTTGTAATGTATTATTCAAATATACTACTACAAAATTATATAACTTACTCCCAGATTGGAAAGCAAAGTATCCAAAACTAGAAGCAGCCTTTCTGTTGAAAATCTAAAATTTTAAATTGATTTTAAGTTCGATTTTTTAATAGTAAGATGGTGATCTTTAAGAGAAAATGACTGTAGGATATTATACTTATCTTTTCTGCATCACATGGCTATTTTCTATTTTTGATAGGTAACTTTTTGCATTGACCAAAAAAACTTGATCCTGATCGAGAAGGATTTTTACATTTACTGTCTGATCGTGAAGCAGTTGCTTCCCAAACAGGAAGTATGCCTGACTGATGACGTGCTTTACAATTTTAGACTGTCTGTCATCCACAGTGTGTTTTTCGAGAAGCAGCTCGACTATTACAAGATTGCTTCGGCGTCCACATCACACTTTGGATAACTTTTTGCGTGCAAGTTGGTATCTCCAAAACTACTGAAGAGAATTTGTTGAAACTTCACACACTTCTTGCATAATTGGCCCGTAACTCCAACATAGATTTTAGCAGAATTATGGCCTTTTGAACTTAGCAAATTACCTACGCTCTTGATAAATTATCAAGTACTGAGAAAAGTCGAATATGCTGTCCTAAACTGACAGCATTCCAATCTTGTGCAGCTTGTATCTACAATAAATTAAAGGAAGTGCAAATCTAAATCTGAAAAAAGGCTTTGCAGTTGAAAAAAAAATAGCAAAGCAATAAGAGAGTGGTGCATGAAAGCTATGTCGAGTCGAGGGAACGTCTTATTCGTAGAAACGAGTAAGGTAGTCTTTTTCAATTGCAATACTTTTTTCAGATTTTCACTAAAGTCAGTGCTCGTGTTTTGGGCATATGATAATACATCTTCAAAGATATATCGCTCTAAACAAGTTGTAAAATAACTTTAAAACGCCTCTTAGATTTTAGGCTGCAGCAGTCAGTTTGAAGTTAATATTTGGCTAGAGTTTCTCATTTGTATCGAAATATAATTTACATTTTTCTGTTTCAAGCTATCTTAGCTACTTAAGTGAGAGACAAATTTGATATCCAAAAAAAATATGTATCGGGAATTGTACCCAGTCCTACGACCCCTTAAACGAGCGGCTAAGCACTGGACCGCGGCCTGTCTTTAAAAATAGTATAACGTTGTTCATGGGTATCAGAATATATACGACATTTTACTGTTTTTCAACACAGTATTATTTGATCATTTGATATTTAAAAGATAAATGTGAATTTCTTAGTTATTATGTTTTGTTTGGGAAAAATAATACTATTACGTATGGTACAACATTGATTAACCGTTTCACGTGCGTGCCCCTCATGCCTCAAAAGTTGATTGCATACCCTACTTCTTTGTAATCAAGATGATTTCGCAATAACCTGTGCATTCTTGCTCTTTCTCGCCATATCTATTAGCCTTATTGCAACAGTGGTTTTGTTGCTGTTGTTTTTTCCAAATGTTCTGGTTAAACTCATGATAATGTTTGTAACTGTCGGATGTTCCTTTCGGTATGATTACGTATACATGTAATTATAATGGGTGTTGATAATGTTAGTGTTGTTCATTTACAGTACAGTATTGTGGTGTTATAAAATTAAAGTTATGCGCTTTATAGGCCTACACCATGTTAAAATCTCCAAAGGTATTTTCATGAGACAGGTATAATTATGTAAGTGGTATTGGCGTTCGGTAAACTATTACCTGTTTTAGTAGAAAAACGACCGAACATTCTACGTCAGTTTTTTACCTGTTTGACCTACTGTTTAACTAATAATTGGTAAGTATAAAAATATGTTAAAACATTTTTGCCACAATGTAACAGTTATTTCGCGCGCGCATGCGTAATACAATTAAGGTCCTTATATGTGTTTGACAATTTACTAATTAGATTTCCATGTTCGGTATGTAGAGCACAAGTTCGATTTCAATATTCATATTAAATGGAGGAACATTTTAGTTGAGTAGGAAACTTCATACAGCAAGGATATTCGTAGATCAGGCAACACAATGAAAATTGTATTAAAGCTTCCAGTAATTTTCCTGATTACAACTATAGTTGTTGTTCACTCTCGAGGTATGTTCTCAATTTGTATTTTATTGTGTGACATTTTTAATTTTTATCATCAATCTTTTGATATTAGAACTATTATTTGATCAAATTTTATTGACACAAGCTTAACATTTTCCCCACACGTTAAGATGGCGTTCGACATAAGTTGTTCTACGTAAAATAAGTATAATTTTGTAATTATATATAGTATCTTTTTAAAATCGATTGTATATGTGAATAAAACTTCAAAAATAAAACTAGCATAGACTGTAAGTGCTTTATCTTTACTCTTGTTTAATTTATGTTCTTACTTAATTTTATTATTTGAGTTTATTATCAATATGAATCGGACTAAAGTCAGGCCGAAGTATGACGATAATTTGTGCCCCCCCCCCCCCCATGTGGCACGAATATACGAGCATCTAACAATTTAAGATTGCAATATGTATTTTTACAAATGCTATAATCTAATACTGGTGGTTCAGCACTTTTTTGGCATGTAGAAGGGTATTCAATCTGAAAAAAGAAGATCCTGTCGTCGTTGAACAATTTCAAATTATGAATGTGGCAGGAATGAAATGAAAAAATGTGCATGTGTAGGAAAAAGGGTTGTGACGGACAAATAAATACTTACAATATATATATTATTTTTTCAAGATAGTATTCTACTATATAATGTCGATTAACCTGAGTATTTTTTATTTTCTAATTTTACAACTGTATTAAATCTGCATACATTTTGCCACATTGGAAATGAGGGAAATAAATGATGAAAATGGTATTTGGTTTGTTTTCTTGCCGCGGATTTTTTTCTCTTAAATATGCATTAAGAAAATGTCTCAAAATGCTTTCAGCTATTCATGTAAATATTACTTTCTGAATTTTCTCCTTTGAAATGTATTTTTGTTGTTTCTGTTGCTACTATCTATACATACATACTATTCAAACTTGAATTTGTTTGCCTGAATAGAATTTTGATTTACATTCTTTTTAACTACCTTTTGTTGAAAGTTTTGGTATTTTTTATATATTTAAAGTTACACATTTTAATATGCCTTTTTGAGTGGTAGTCATGCGGTATACTGGCCTCGGATATAAATGTATATTTACACAGAGCTAGTTTGTTCAGCAACCGGACCCGAACACTGAATAAGATAAATTCTGTTATTTTCTTCACAATCCATTTACAACAGAGTCACGATCGAAGTTCATGTGCTTTAAAACTCGTGTATTTATATTACCGTGTATTTATATTACCGTGTATTTATATTATCGTGTATTTATATTACCGTGTATTTATATTATCGTATATTTATATTACCGTGTATTTATATTATCGTGTGTTTATATTATCGTGTATTTAAATTACCGTGCATTTAAATTATCGTGTATTTATATTATCGTGTATTTATATTACCGTGTATTTATATTATCGTGTATTTATTTATATTACCGTGCATTTATATTATCGTGTATTTATATTTTCGTGTATTTATATTACCGTGTATTTATATTACCGTGCATTTATATTACTTTATATTACCGTGCATTTATATTACCGTGTATTTATATTACTTTATATTACCGTGCATTTATTTTATCGTGTATTTATATTATCGTGTATTTAAATTACCGTGTATTTATATTACCGTGCATTTATAATATCGTGTATTTTTACCTATACTGAAATGAAATATAAAACTGTATCAAAATGATTCAGTTTGACATAAAGCATTCATCATATATTCTGTAAGTGTTTTCTATGGAAAAAACAACATTGTTTGCTGTTTGAGCCTGAACGATTACAGTTGTTCCTATGAATTCAAACTTTTCAAGATTACAATTTCAATCTGATACGAGTATGTATTTACCTCATTGAAAGTCATTCATTAGAAATCATATAGAGTACATGCACGTTGTACACTGTTAACAATTTTCAAACTGAAAGACTATTTTCAAGTTGACAAATATATCACTTTTACATAAAGAGAAGCAATTTTCATTTAAATTAAAACTTGTTTGTATCGACCAGTATGTTAGATATGTTAAAGGTGAAATGTTCAAAAATCAATGCATGTATATGAACTGTATTCAATAAGTAATTACTTTGATTGTTATATACTGCATTAGAGAACGTAATCAAAAATTCATTATACACTATTTACCGTTTATACAAAAGACCTCGGATGCTCCTTCTTCATACATTATTTAAATAAGGGACAACATTCCAACTTTCATCTTAATTATCTTCTTAAAAACGAGAATTCAAAGTTCATCCCGGACCGAGTTCAAACCCACATATTTGAAGTTAAATATTAGAAAAGTAAATTAACTGAAATAAGTATAATTTTAAATAGATTAATGTTCGTCTGGTGAAAGACATTATCGTACATGTATTTATCGTTTTGCGTTACTTGAGTCAACAAAAAAGTCCGTACAAACTCCCGAATGACATTTGAACCATGTATTAATTTATGATAATTTGTTGACTTTTTTGTAAAGATATTTTTGTATAGACAGTTTTACACGTTAATGTAGGGAATCTGTCATAAATAACTTAGGTAAGGTAAAAAAAGTAATGACATTTGACCCACTATTGATGTATACTTACAATCAGGGACTGTTACAAGGATAAGCTACATTACAAGGACTACATGTGATGTACATTTTTGTACATTTTTTGTTTGTTTTGTTAATGGCCATCTGTTAAATTGCAGTTTAAGATAGGTAGATATAGACCTATTATACGAACGAACTTGTACATCGTTAGTCAATTACGTTTGAAGACATGGTGTACATTAGTGACACGATAAATACCTCTGTATTTCCCGATTTTTTGACCAACGCATTTCGTCATTTTACACTGTGTCAATGATTTTCTCAGGTGAACTTGTATAAATGACTCATTTAGCTCAATGGAACAGATAGTTAAGGATTTTGTAAGTTTGTAATAAAACTGAAATAAGCAAGGGGAGTGACCATACTTTGCTTTATTCTATGTTCTTTATCTAGTAGTAATGATGAGAGATTAATTTTAGAAATTTATTTGAATATAGTTATTTTACTTATGTTGATTGGTCACATTGTTTATTCTGACAAAAAACTAGCTATTTTACAGCAAAAACAACAAACATGTGCACTTGTATATACTTATATATATGAGACTATTATACATCTATATAACTGATGTATTTCAATTATAGTGAATTTATAATAACCAGTACAATAATTGTTTTCAGTTCCGATGCCACCTAATAGTTTCCAAACGTTCCGAAGACAGGCAATCATTCAGCATCAGCCTATAATACACCATCAAACAATAATACAACACCCACCTATTATAACGAGAACACCAGCTCGTGACTCGCCAACAGGTGAAACAACTAACGCAAGTTTGATAACAACATCTGCAGCAACAACCACTACAACTACAACCGAACCACCCGAGCTAGATGATGACTTTCTTCCACCGCAACAAATAGAAATAAGGGGCGTTTACAACAAAGATTATCCGTATAACTATGCACCAACAACATATGGATATGATTATTATGGTCTGGGATTCGGGTATAGTGGTGTTGGTGCAGCTGGTGGTATATCACGTGAAGTAGATTATGACTTCAATCCCGCTCCAGAAAACCGACAACAGCATAGTAAGCACAATTCTCAGCCATCAAAACTAGCAAAATCAAAAACAACAACAGTTCCAACAACAAAAACAACGCAGACGACCGCGACAGTGACACCAGAACTAGACGATGATTTGATTACTAGTCCAGCGACAGGTAAAACAGCAAACCACAATCAAGAAGCTTACACAGGATATTGTTTTTGTTCTCCATTAAGCCAGTGCCCATTGGACTCGATGCCCCGAGGAGGACTATGCAATAACTTTCTGGCGTATTTTATTAACTTGAAATTTATACGTTGTTGTTACAGCCCTAGTATAGCAAGGAGCCTGCAATTATAAGAGAAGCTAGTCATATACATGTACATTAGTAACAAACAAGGACGATCTTTTATTCTTTCCGTTTGTAAAATGCTATGAATATATACTAGTAGTTAAAAAGATGATAAATACATTAATGATGAATTGTTATATCACTAACCCATCAGTAATTGGATAAATAAGTAATGTACTAACAAATATGTATTACAAAATAAGTGGTTAATTTTGTCAGTTTTCTTCTCTTGTCTGATAATCATTAAAACATATAACTATAATTTCTTGCGTATGAAAGTTATGACTTTAACCCTTTTTATCTATTTTTTTATATATAATTTTGTCTAATTCTTTGATATACTAAGGAATATAAGTACATATATGTCGATTTCCATTGAACATTACGTTTATAATAATGTTACCTACAATTATTTGTATTTGAAGAATTCTAAGCAATTACATGTACGTAGCATTATTAATTTGTTGAAGTATTTTCACATGTGGTATTTACATTGTACATGTATATAATTTCCATTTCACTTAAAAGCACGGCTTTACTTGATGTCGTAATTTAAAATGTAGCATTTCATTTTGGAACAAATCATTTCAGTACGATACTTGTATTATTTGTTTAAAAAATGTCATTACCGTTTTGTAATGGTATACATATATATTGTTTTCATATTCTACATTTTATGTCTTAATGCTCCTTTCCCACACATATATTGAAGAATACGGTTTTTTTAATTAATCTTAAAATGTCCATCACATATCAAACAGTCCTGTTGATCATTGTTTAATTATTTCGTTTATATGGATGTTGCAAATAACTGTTGTTTAAACTACTTATCTTTAGTAAATCTTGAAAGAAATGTCATTTTGACTGGTTAATTCTAACCAATGTATTGAGCTACCCGGTCCTGATATACGTTATCCTAACTTAAATACTCCTTTCAATGTTGTTTTATTCTGATGCATACCTTAGCGCATGAATGACTATTAAAGATCCTGTATGTCGTAATTGAGGTTGTATACCACACTTAAGTGAAATTATTATATATGTATGTAGTTATGCTTATAAAACAATTTAAACATCGAAGAATATGTAAAATATGTACTGCAAATATTTGTACATATTATATGTAATCATTAAAATATATGCATTCATTTCTTATTCATTCCTTATTGAAATTATTACCTCCCTTTATTTACATGAAATGTTAAATTCGGTAAAATCTTTATAAATAATGCTTTTGGAACTTACAAAATTGATAAATCATAATTTTGAGCATCATATTTTTGATATAAAACCATAAAAATTGTGTTACAGGATCTTTAAATATTAAATACTAGCGTTTTTGTTTAAGTATTCATGTGTTTCAAATTCAACCAAATGGTGACAGGACCGAACTTACGATGTTTTACTCTTTTTTTCCATTCATTACTTATATTTTTATTACAGTACTTTAACAACACTATTGGCTGTTATAATAATAGTTTTTAAACCACCGGCCAACATAATAGTCAACAACGACCTGTCAGTGATACAGTATGCCTCGTTAGATTTAAGCAATTTATTAGACAATATTTATTTTGACAAGTGCGCAAAACAACATTACACAATTAAGAGTAGTGGTCTATTGTGATCTATTTAAGTAAAAAGAATACGGTTGTTTAAGAAAGGTCATTTATACATTTGTTTTCTATCAAACGCTGTGGTAGATTATTGACTAGTCTGACAGCGAACAAGTTTGCTAACATTAAAGTCAAGAGAATATATCTTACATGTCAAATTATAACCGTTATGTACTCATTTTCACTTGTTAAGTGGTATGACAAACATCATGTTCTATCATGTTTTCCGCGCTATCCTGCATACATTGTACTTTTGTTTACCCTAGTGTTTGTAAAAAAAAAATCATAAAAATCACGCACACGAACGCACACACACGCACGTACGCAAAATCACGCTTTCAACATACAGTTATATCAGCAAAATGTAATATGAATTAAAATGAATAAACAATAATATTATTATCATAATGCATATCGTAATTTTACTATCAATATTCGTGAAATTTGAACAGCCATCAATTAGTTCAATACAGCCATAAAATATTCCGGGCACAAGCATAGGCTACATCGGGACAACAAATCACTAGAAATAATACAGCGGATGTTATGATGATCTTATTTTGTCTGAAAGCATATTTATATGTGAAAAAAAAAGCAAAAAAGGATAGTTTAGAGATCCAAGCAGGATATGTTTGTACAAACATGTACATACAAAAGAGAGAGCCTTATTTATTTTAAAATTAGCTTTATAACTTACGATGTTTGAAGTTTATAACACTTCCTGTTATGAATTCAAAATGGATTTCCATAAGGAAAGAAAGCAAGAATTAACTTCAATCAGAAGTGAGCATTAGCTTTGAGACAGTAATGCTGGGTTAGAAATATGACATAACACAAAAGTAATACGAAGCAGGAATAAAATTGAACCTGGTGCATTTTCAAATTTTATGTTGTTATTATTATTAACTGAATAAAATAATCCATAATTAAAGAATTTTATTGCTGACCAGTTAAAACCTAAACGTGCAGTAATTTTAGATACTATGCAGTTAGTCCTTATAAAGCTTGTTAATTCTGATTGTCAGTATGGTCATTGTAACCCATGTGACATTCAATTAAGGAGATAATCATAATTTTACAGTAAATCCATAGAAGGGTTCGTGTCCTAGGCTTGAATCTTTGTCTACACAGACAAATAGTAAGGTATTGAAAGCTTGTTCGTGACTCCCGAGTATGTACTTTATTCCAAGTTTGATGTTGAAACTTTCCAATATATCCTTTGACAAATACCACCGGGGGTATGGTGTGTGATTTTGGTACGCTTTTGTGCGTCTAGTTGGCGGTAGCGACAACACGAGAAAGCGCCAAACGGCGCGTTGTCGCACTGTCGTCTTTTCGTCTGTCGCTAGCGACAACACGTCAAAGTGCCAAACGGCGCGTTGTCGCACTGTCGTCCTGTCTCTAGCGCGGCACGCCAAACTGCGCGTTGTCGTGCGGCGGGTTGTCGCGATATCGCCCTGTCGCTTGGCTTATAAGCCATTCCTTCAATTTGAACCGAGCGACAATGTGACATTGTGACAACACGCCGCACGACAACACGCCGATTGGGGTGTCGCGATATAGACAGGACGATAAGACGACAGCGCGACGACGCGCCGTTTGGCGCTTTGTCGTGTTGTCGATAGCGCCAACGAGACGCACAAAAGCGTACCAAATCAGCCACCATAGATAGGGCGCGTGAACCCTATATGGATCTCAAAATTGAGCATCGGTAAAAATAATGTGAATTTCAGCTGATCCAAATGTGCGCTATAACATCATATGTGAAGGAGAAAATAGGTCAATCACAGAGTAAGTTTTCAACTTTTTAAACATTTATATAAAATTTAGAGCCTTTTTTTTTAAAAGAAAATCGGAATGTGATTCTACCCTCCTCGCTTTTCTCTTTATTTACCCGTTTTGTATCGGATTTTATGCAGTCTTCGCCGAGATATTCTTTCTGTCATTGGTTTTTGTGTGCCCATAACATGCTTTGCGTATGAAGAAAATGTCGCTGACCGGACTCAAAATACAAAGTGTTCACAAAAACGTACCACCGAATGATGCTAAACATTCAAAACAAACCCTTATTGAAACATATATTGAGGTTTGGCCCAAAATAAAGGAATTGCTGGTCAAAATTCCAGTCGAGCTTCATATGTGCTGAAAAGATTCATAGGAGGTGATATAGAAAACCAACTACAAAACTACGGATCACTTTCGTATAAACATTTAATTGCCAGTCTAAAGAAACAATTCAGGTTTTGTAGCTTTGGCTGAAAGTCCATTAGTCTGTGTGTTTAGTAATTAAATATCACTCCATCAACAGGCTAACTATCTGATGCTAGCAATAGAAATATTAAAAATACAGAATATATGAACATTTTGAGCGAATACTACTCGTATGATAAATAATATCCCCCTGAGAAAACGTAACTTTGACAAGCAAAACTGTAATATATTAAGCAGCTAACAAATGAAATTGACCAAATCTTTGTAAACTTATAGTATCATATTTTTTTCCAGGCACAAATATTTTCTAATTAATTATCTGCAATTAATTGCAAGTAAACTCCTTCATAAAACTGTCCTCAAAAGAAATATTCTACACTTGTGTCGAATAAACAAAGCAAAATCAAATAAATATTTTATTACAATGGTAAATGAAGAATTTTATGAACCTAAATATGTTTAATAAGAGAAGCTTTCATGCGTGTTCGTTTAAAATAATCGTGGCTTTACAAAGATAGCCATAATCGATGTCTTTAGTATACTGACTGTCTTTTATCTTTTTTATGGATGATGTTATTCAAGCTTAACTTGGAACACTCTGTCTATTTCGAATATTAGTTTTAATTACAGAATGATACACAAAATAATTAGAACATTGATTGCTTAATGGAAGTGAGCCGTTATTGTGTTGGTGGATTTTTGACCGACGATTCCTTTATTTTGAGCCAAATGTCAATAACTGTTTCAATAAGGGTTTGTCTGGATGTTAAGCATCATTCGGTGGTAAGATTTTGTGAAAACTCATGTTGGATACAAGCTTAATTAAAGCTTATGATTGTGTACTGTTAACCATATGCTTCTATATATAAAGTTTTGTCTTACTGTCTGGCAGTCTTAATTAATGTTATGCCAATTTCAATGTCTATTCATTAGAATGATTATAATCAGTATGATTTACAAAAAGCATTCGACAATGTTCGTCACTATCGCGTATATTTTTTTATTTTTTTTTAACTCATATGCATGCCTTTCTTAAAATGACAATGACGTTTACAAATGAATAATGCCCGTGTAAAATATATTATATAATATATGTACATGATATATAATAATATAATATCTGTACTAAATTTCTAAAACATTACCAAGCAAAAAAGACGCAGCATTTTACAATAACAATATTTTGAAATCTTTTTTTAGTATTATAAAATATGACAATAATATGACCCCGATCCCGGATCCCGGGATTTCCCCCAGTCTCCCAAACGCCCCCACTTCCACCAATCGCAACTTTTCGGCCTTTCCGTCTGTCTTCGGATAAGGACTATTATAGATGGCAGATTATCAAATCCCTTGGTAACAGTAACAATAAAAAAGAAAGTCCGAATATTGTTTCGTCGATTGATGGTGAAACTTATCACGATCCTTGTAGAGTTGCAAGTCATTTCAATAACTTCTTTACAAATATTTCATCTAATTTAGTACAGAAACTCCCGGCAGCAAAGAATTTGTATAGTGTGACATCTGATACAATTAAGAATTTTTATAGGAACAAATCACAAAAAGAGTTTCACCTTCATCATGTGAGAATTATGAAGAATTATGTAGGCTTAATATAAACAAAAGCACTGGATTAGATGGTGTCCATGCAAAATTTCTTAAAGATGGTGCTGATGTGTTAAAAATCCCTATAACTTATATTTGTGAATTCTTCAATAACAGAGGGGGGGGGGGGGTGTCCCAAATGATATGAAAATTGCTAAAGTAAAACCTCTACACAAAAAGAATAGTAAGCTAGATGTCGGGAATTACAGACCAGTTAGTATTTTATGTATTGTATCCAAGATTCTAGAACGGGCCGTGTATGTACAATTTGAGTCATTTTTAAGAACTAATAAATTAAGTAATAATCTAATTTACGAACACCAGTCCAGGTTTCGGAAATCTCATTCAACTGCATGACACATGTCTAATTTACCTACTTGACTATATTCGTACAAATAGCTCCAAAGGGTATGGTTATGATGGACTTACAAAAAGCATTTGATACCATCAATCATGATATTTTGTTCGATAAATTAGATATATTAGGTGTCTATTACATGTGGGATCCCTCAGGGCAGTACTTTGGGTCCTCTTCTATTTCTCTGCTACGTAATGACATGGTAACTAGTATCGATTCTGATTGCAAGTTAATTTTATATGCAGATGGTAGCACTATATATTGTTTTCGCATAAGGATCCAAAAATTATAGCCCAAAAACTTGGAAAGGTTTTGGAACGTTGCTCTGATTGGTTAGTTCACAATCAAATTATCTTTACACCTGGGCAAGACTGAATGTATGCTATTTGGTTCTAAATCAAAAATTAATAAATTTCAAATTTTTTCCATTTCATGTAATGATCAAACAATAAAGTCTTCGTCTGAAGTTAAATATCTTGGTTTGTTACCTATCAGGAGATAAAATTGTCAAGAGCATTTTTTCAAAGGTGAATAGAAGATTACATTTTCTATACCGTTACAAAAATTGTTTATCGGAAGAAATGAAGAAACAATTATGTCCTGCCCTTTTGCTGTGTCACTTTGATTATTCTTCATCTTCTTGGTACGAAGGACTGAGTAAGTCACTGAAGCACAAACTTCAAGTAGCTCAAAATAAGGTTGTGCGCTTTATAAAAGACTATACCCCGAGGACTTCGGTGACAAATAAGGTTTTGTCTGATCTCAGACAAACAATTTTCAAACATCGAGGAATATGTAAAAGATGTACTGCAAATGTTTGTGCACATTATATGTAATCAATAAATTATATGCATTCATTTCTTATTGGAAAATTTGACTTAGAATTTATAGAAAATAAATTTCTAATTACCTCCCTTTATTTACATGAAATGTTAAATTCGGTAATATCTTTATAAATAATGCTTATTGGAACTTACAATATTGATAAATCTTAATTTGAGCATCATATTTGTGAAATAAAACCATAAAAATTTGTGTTAAAGGATCTTTAAGACTCAACCACATTCATAAACTTAATTAAAACAAAAGCCCTTCTTCTTTAAGGTATGTAGAATATCCAAAAATAAAGCAGCCCGCCAATTTAAAGGCACACATTTTAGGTTGTTCTGTTCTATATCATTTGCTGAGTCTCACTTTCTTTGTTTAAATGTATTTTTGTAAACTTTTATATATTTTTATTTTGGAAATAAAGGCAAATCGCCAATAAAAATTTGCTCTAAGAGTGGGCCGTTGATGAATAAAAGACCGAGTTCACAAATTTTATATAACATTTATTAAATATCAAAATTGGACCGAAGGAAGGCTACCTTATCTTTTAGGCATTTTATCAAAATTCAAAATTGACCGTGGCAACCAATGTCTGTGGCACCATTAAACTGCTAGTGCTTTGTGACGGCCTTGGCAACAACACTTCACTGACTGAAAATAAATTTCTTAATAAATTCAATTAAAACAATAAAATGCGTCTGTGGCTTTCCATACTTCAACAAAACAAAATTCAAAATTGGACCGATATAGGCAGAATCTATCTTTCGGAAATCATTTCATATTTTATAAATTACTAAATTATCTGTGGCTTACCGGCAGTCGGATCGATATGCAAGTGATGGTAACATATGAGGCGCTTATCTCGATATATCTGAGACATCTGGAAGAACTACATGACGGGATGAAGAAGACCACTCTGAGGGGATGAGAAGTCCATGACCAAGCCCCGAAAATGTCGCACTCTCAAAGTAGGGGGGGGGGGGGGAGGTCAAAGAAGACATCTTCGAAGACCGAAGACGTGGAAGAGTTCTTCTAGACCCACCAGATGAGGGAAGCAGTCCATGGTCCATGGCGGAGCTGGATAACTGGAAGGAGTGAACTTGTCTGTCCGTTTTGCTTGTCTGTGGCACCGAACCAAAAAACACCGGTCCGAAGCACCATTGCTTGTCCGTGCGTCTATATGTCAGGAAACCTTACCCGTCCGCTTCTTGATCCTTTATTTTAGGCAGCAACACGTTCTTTTACTTAACAACATAATGCACACAATGGTCTCATTGGCCTTCCGTGTATTATTTCATTAATAAATCTAAAAGCAATAGCATTTTCTTTGGGCTCATTCAGTGAATTACTGAATTCCAATCAAATAGGTCACCATTTTAGAACTATAACTTACTTTAAGGGCATGACTGGTGACATGTCCGGGGTCCGTACTCGACAGCGAAAGCTGCTTTTTGTGCCCGGAAGGGCGGATGGACCCTCATTAAGCATTAACATACATACATACATACAATTTAAGGTCTAGTAATTTTAATTTTGTTTTGCCTCAAAATGATTCCCATGTTACAAACACATTTTTCTACAATGCCATAAAATATAAGATATATGTGATAATATATAGTATGTGTTTATGTCTATTCCCTGAATAAATCGATACGATAGGTAATAGCCGATGACGTTCATCCCGTTAATATTTACATTTAGTAGTCGTTAACCTTTAGTCCGTACTGTACAGTGTGTAACGCCACTTACGGAATTTAGCACGTTATGTTTACTTTCTACAGTTCACTCCCTGAATGTCAAGAAAATAACTATGTTTAGAAGAAAAGGTGATCATTATAACGTTGTTTCTGCTATAAAAATAGTTTAACCATTTTTGACATGACATTTAAAGATTCATTTTACAAAATTAAAAACGTAAACACTGCGTAACCTCAGATTCACGGAATGACAGATACTGAGATAGATGGCTTGAAATTCTATCAAATGATCAGATGATAATGATTTATCTGTTTATGTATACATAAACATATATATACTATAAACATGTAAATATATATATACTATATAGGGGTATATTTTGGATATTATTGATAGAATTTCAATTTCCCGTGGATAGATATGGGGGACAGACCATCACAACCCTGGAAACCAGACCTTGTCCTTGATAAGGTTGGACCCACACTTAAATTAAAAGATATCCTTTAATCTTAAGATAATCATCATATATTACGATCCAACAATGCAGAAAAACACGAAAATCCCGAGATTTTTTATCACTTTTTACATGCAGCAAAATTGTTAAGGATTTAGGCAGCCTGTGACCATTTCTTACTCAGCCTTTGTTTATCCTCAGTAACATTTATCTACTCTTACAAACGTAGTTTGATACAACTTTAAATCCAAATGTACCACCAACTCTCAATTACCAATAATAATTTGAATAAAGTAGAATCTATCTGGGATACTGTAAAAATTGCAGACTCAAAAACGTTAACACATAAATGATATCCTTGTATCTTTTAAAGCCATTTAAATCATTTTTTTACTTGTACACTGTAACACATAAGGTGATTTTCTGGTGTTTTTCAACAAAAAAAATCGCAAAGAATCCCTATTTAATAAGATACTGGTGAACAATTGATTTATAATTGCTTGAATATTTAGCTTAACAGAGGCCAGCGTGCTCAAAGTGGGCTGTTGTCAATTTGTCATTACTCATAGACTGCTGTCAGTCTGTCTGGCTTTCAGTCAACACTTCTTAAACAACGTCTCCTACATCACTGACTCAGTCATATCAAAACTTTACAGAAATGATCCCTGTGCAGAGATCTGCCGAGGCCCGATTTTGCGCCATTGGTGCTAAAAGAATGAGAATGGCGCAGGAAAATCGGCAGCAAAGGGCCAAGGGCGTACCTAAATTCTGTGCCAGACTTATAAGAAAACAAAACTGTCCGCTAGGTTATTTAGTCATCCAGTCAAAACTGGTACCAACAGCAACACGTTACCCATTCCCCTGTAATTATGCATATTCTTGAGTTTATCCATTCCCCTATAGCTTTTGTTCACTTTATCTACATGTCCTTACTGCAAAATCCCTTTCCCACACATAAACTCATTTCTACTACCGTAAATTTAATCCAATAAAACAAACAAACAAAATTATACAACTACTTAATATTTAAAATGATAATCGGTAACTGAAAAAAAGTGTTGCTATTTTAAGAAAGGCTGTAAGTTACAATTTAATCTGACAGATGTACAACTTGATTTCCCCTAAGGTCACTGAAATTCCTGATGAAGTGTAAAAAAAGATGTCTCTTTCGACATAGGAATATTTGACAGGGTGATTAACCAATCAGAAAAACATTGTGCATGACTTTTTTCATGATCAAAAAGTCTGTCAGCAAGTGTCTTTGATGTATGCTTTCTACACAGAGGCATACAAGGAGTAATAAAATCCGTCAATATACATTGTGACAGGGACATTTGGTGCAAAGTAGGAACAATTAAATGGATAATGCACAGTATTAGACATTGGAAATAAGAACCAGCAATTGTGTGGATAAATTATGCAAATCAGATTTTTGAGCAGCCATTTGAAAAAAATGTTTTGCCTGCAATTAATATTAGTTAGATAGTTACCATCTAGGCATTTTTTTGTATTATTGGTTATCTTCTCTGTTAAATACGGAATCATAAGTGAACCACTTGTCATAAAATATGATTTAAGTTCCATTACAAAGGAAATTCAATTATCTACAAACTTTTTAACAGTCATTTAGGTCAATGTTTATTGTAATTTTCCCAAGGCCCATACTTTGGTCAAAATCGCCCATCATTTTCAGACCAAGTGGGACCAGGGCCCAGTACTTTCAAATTCTCGGCAGATCTCTGCCTGTGTGATCCTCTTTCAATTCAGTTGTTTTGAGGTCAAAATTGGCCTTGTCACAGGGTCATAGGTTTCCCTACATGTACATAGTATTTAAACAGTTCGTAATCCTAAATTATTCTATAATAACATAGCTAGTAAAATCTATTGTTGTCTCTGTATATTTTTTTCACTAGATAATCTCCTCGGTTAAAATGTAAATTTCAGTGTACTCAGAAGTAGTGCTTGCTAAAGAAAATGAAATAAAGATTGGTATAACACAAGAGCTGTCAGCAGCACTTAAGTTAGTACAGAAGGATCATATTGATTCTCAAGATCACACAGTGTACAGGTATTCTTTCTTACCTAATATTTCACACAAGTTGTAGTTGTGTATAGGAATTATCTCAAGTTATAGTTGTGCATACAAATTCTTTCTTACCTAATATTTCACAAATTGTAGTTATCCCCCGCCGATGGAATCGGGAGGGGGATATAGTTTTGGCGCTGTCCGTCCGTCCATCCGTCCGCCCGAATTTCTTTTCCGGAGTAGTTCTCTGCAACGACTGGCTGGAATTCAACGAAACTTTATGGGAATCATCAATATCAAGAGGAGATGCGCATATCGTCGGCTTGTTCCGGTCAGACCCTTTAACCCAGAGTTATGGCCCTTGATTAGTTATGTAGTATGCATATGGAGTAAAAATCGTTTCCGGAGTAGTTCTCTGCAACTACTGGCTGGAATTCAACAAAACTTTATGGGAACCTTCAATATCAAGAGGAGATGCGCATATCGTCGGCTTTTTCCGGTCAGACACTTTAACCCAGAGTTATGGCCCTTGATTAGTTATGCAGTATGCATATGGAGTAAAAATCGTTTCCGCGCTACTTTTCTGCAACTACTGGCTGGAATTTAATGAAACTTTATGGGAACCTTCGATACCAAGAGGAGATGCGCATATCGTCGCCTTGTTCCAGTCAGACACTCTAACTCAGAGTTATGGCCCTTGATTAGTTATGCAGTATGCATATAGAGAAAAAATCGTTACCGCGCTACTTCTCTGCACCTACTGGCTGGAATTCAATGAAACTTTATGGGAACCTTCAATACTAAGAGAAGATGCGCATATCATTGCCTTGTTGGGGTCAGACACTTTAACTCAGAGTTATGGCCCTTGATTAGTTATGCAGTATCCATATAGAAAAATATTCATTTCCTCATTACTTCTCTGCAACTACTGGCTGGAATTCAATGAAACTTTATTTGAACCTTCAATACGAAGAGGACATACGCATATTGTCGCCTTGTTCGGGTCAGACATTTTAACTTAGAGTTATGACCCTTGATAAATTAGGCAGTATACAACCAGAGCAATAATCGTTTCCGTGCTACTTCTCTGTAACTACTGGCTGGAATTCAATGAAACTTTATGGGATACTAAGAGGAGATGTGCATATAGTCGCCTTGTTCCGGTCAGATACTTATAACTCAGATTTATGGCCCTTGAATAGTTATGTAGTATGCATACATCTCATTGGCATTTCCAGATATTACTATTTAACACAAAGTTATGGCTCTGTTATTTCCCTGAATATTTATCAGGTTCAAAGAATATTACTGTTTATGCCATGATTATTATATAAAGAAAGCCTTATGTCTTCAGTTGTTGTGTTAATAATAACCAGTACTCGGCGGGGGATATAAATTCAACGAATTTGCTTGTTGTGTATAGAAATTCTTTCTTCCCTTTTTTTGAAACAAGTTGTTGTTGTTTACATGAATTCTTTTTACCTAATATTTCACACAAGTTGTAGTTGTGTTCAGAACTTGTGTTGATGTGCTTCCTACCTTTGCTGATGTTGAAATTGTGTACAAGTATTCTTTCTTACCCAATATTTCAAAAGCTGTAGTTGTGTACAAGTATTGTTTCAGACCTACTTGTAGCTGCATACAGGAATTCTTTCTTACATAAATTAATACATGTATTTAGTAGTTGTGTACAGGAATAGACTGATGAACAGTTTTATGACTAGTAGACAATAAGCTATTTTTATCAGTTTTGTTTGGAGAAGCTTTTTTTCAGTTTTGGAGTAAAGATAATTGACTTCATAATTATTTATCTGTATAAATCATATGTTAAATACTTTAAGTACCTTGAAGTACCTAGAAACTGTTTATAGGTGGTTTATTATTTCCTACCTAATATTTCACAAGCTGTAGATGTGTATAGGAATTCTTTCTTAACCAGTATTTCACAAACTGTAGATGTGTATAGGAATTCTTTCTTAACCAGTATTTCACAAACTGTAGATGTGTATAGGAATTCTTTCTTAACCAGTATTTCACAAACTGTAGATGTGTACAGAAATATTTCACAAATTGTAGATGTGTACAGACATTCATTCTTATCTTATACAATATATAACAAACATGTTGTTGTTGTGTACTTGCATCATATTTCACAAGTTGTATTTGTTTATAGGTATCCATTCTTACCTTATATTTCATACTGTAAGTAGATTTTCTAAGCTAATATTTTATTCTTTAGTTGATATTTCTATTTTTTACACTTGCTTACATTTGTCAAATTTTTAAATTTATGATACATGTATAATATGTTACAGCACTGACACAGCCAATAATGTATGTAGCTGTATTGAAGCTATATTTCTCCATGGACTCAAGTTCAAAGCAGTCACAAAGGTAGTAATGATTAAGTATTATTATCCCCCGCCGATGGAATCGGGTCTGTCAGGGGGATATAGTTCAGGCGTTGTCCGTCAGTCCGTCCGTCCGTCCATCCATCCGTCCGTCTGAATTTCGTTTCCGGAGTAGTTCTCTGCAACTACTGGCTGGAATTCAACAAAACTTTATGGGAATCATCAATATCAAGAGGAGATGCGCATATCGTCGGCTTGTTCCGGTCCGACCCTTTAACTCAGAGTTATGGCCCTTGATTAGTTATGTAGTATGTATATAGAGTAAAAATCGTTTCCGGAGTAGTTCTCTGCAACTACTGGCTGGAATTCAACGAAACTTTATGGGAATCATCAATATCAAGAGGAGATGTGCATATCGTCGGCTTGTTCCGGTCTGACCCTTTAACTCAGAGTTATGGCCCTTGATTAGTTATGTAGTATGTATATAGGGTAAAAATCGTTTCCGGAGTAGTTCTCTGCAACTACTGGCTGGAATTCAACAAAACTTTATGGGAACCTTTAATACCAAGAGGAGTTGCGCATATCGTCGGCTTGTTCCAGTCAGACACTTTAACTCAGAGTTATGGCCCTTGATTAGTTATGCAGTATGCATATGGACTAAAAATCGTTTCCGGACTAGTTCTCTGCAACTACTGGCTGGAATTCAACAAAACTTTAGGGGAATCATCAATATCAAGAGGAGATGTGCATATCGTCTGCTTGTTCCGGTCAGACCCTTTAACTCAGAGTTATGGCCCTTGATTAGTTATGCAGTATGCATATTGAGTAAAAATCGTTTCCCTCGCTACTTCTCTGCAACTACTGGCTGGAATTAAACGAAACTTTATGGGAACCTTCAATACCAAGAGATGCGCATATGGTTGGCTTGTTCCAGTCAGACACTTTAACTCAGAATTATGGCCCTTGATTAGTTATGCAGTATCCATATAGAAAAATATTTGTTTCCTAGCTACTTCTCTGCTTCTACTGGCTGGAATTCAATGAAACTTTATGGGATTCTAAAAGGAGATGTGCTTATAGTCGCCTTGTAACTTAGAACTCAGATTTATGGCCCTTGTTTAGTTATGAAGTAGGCCTATGCATACATCTCATTGGCATTTCCAGATTTTACTATTTAACACAAAATTATGGCTGTGTTATTGCCCTGAATATTTATCAAGTTCAAAGAATATTACTGTTTATGCCATGATTAATATATAAATAAAGCCTTATATCTTCAGTTGTTGTGTTAATAATAACCAGTACTCGGCGGGGGATATAAATTCAAAGAATTTGCTTGTTGTGCCATTGTTTCTCAAGTATATAAGTGTCATTTAGGTGAAAGAAACCCAAGCAAAATCCTCTTTTAAAACTGAAAAAATGAAACAGATCACCTCCATCAAAACCAAAATTCTTAATGAAGTGATCAGTTTACCTTTGTAAGCTTTGTCAATGCATTGGTTTTACTAATTGTGAAAGTGTAAATTTTATTTAGGAAACACCAGTTTCAAGAATGAAGCATCAAAGAATGCTAGTAACCTTTTAAATAAGCATTGCAATTACATTTTATCTGTTTCCTTTCAGTATTATATGACAATAGTAGTCCAGGTTATGTCTTTGGTATACCAAATATTAAAACCAATAAGGTTTATTTGTGTCAAAACACAAAAGTCACCTTCAGTAGGATAGCCAGGTTGTCATTCTCATAAAAGATCTTGAAATCATACTGACTGCTCAAGCAATGTCTGCAATGGTGATTTAGCTAATTCATTTCTTTGAAGTTAAATTAAGTTAAATTAAGAAATTACATCTAAAGTTGCACTTGTTCTCTTTGTTTACAGACAATTTTGTCACAAAAGTATTTTTCTATTATTTTTGCAACCAGACAATTTGCTTGAGAACCAAACCACAAACATTATAGAGTTTCACCAATATGAGTTATGTGTGTATATGTAAGTTTTTGTTGTTGTTCTTTTGTATGTATACATGTTGCCAGTGATACTATATGTTTGATATTTATTTTTGAACAGATTGCTAGTTATGTTGGTCTTGGACAAGAAGCTACATCACAGTCTAGTCTGGTATTTTATTTATATATTTAAAAGAAATTAAGTTTGTAATCATTGGCCATTTTGAACTCAGAAATACAGAACATAACGATCAGTTCAAGCATCATTATCTACAATGTCATAAACAACATCCCTACCACCTAAACGACATCAATTAAAGTCATTATCTGTTTGCCCAGTTATTATCTGTTGCCCACCCCCCCACCACCATCACCTCCACTGCTATTCTTTTACTAAAGGGGCATAATTTATATTTCACTTTCAAGTGATTTACAAAGAAATGCTACATTTAGCCGAGCTGTAGACTTGGTAGTTTAAGACACATGTTTGACTATATATTTGTATAGACTTATGTAGGAAAAACTCATTGGAAACTTAATGTATGAAACTAAGATGCCCAGAGCTTATATATTTGGTATGTAACATCACTTTGTGGACCACAAAATAGCTGGCATTAATCATGCCCCTTGGGTCAATATTGGCCCCGTCCTGGTGGTCACTTAGTTAATATAGTTTTGTATGGTAAAATACATTTAAGTCTTTTTGTGTGACTTCAATGCCTAGAGCATGTAGAGTTTAGATATTTGACATGTAGTATTTCCTTGTTGACCTCTACAAAACTGGTATAAATCTTGTCCCTTGGTCATTTCCTCTTGTATGAGAATAATAATATAATATTTTGCGGTTCGGATCGGAATATCCGTCCCGAGGTAATCCGCCCATTGGGTGGTAACGAGGCCTGCCGAGTTACCGCCCATGGGCGGGTGACCGCGGGACGGATATTCCGATCCGAACCGCAAACATATGTCAGATATTTTTTCTTGCATATTCCACCATATTCCATTATATTTTAAATTCTTTATCTTTATTTTCAATGAAAATTTATATCATTACAACTGTAACTACTTTCATTCAACAGCGTATGAATTACAAAATCATTCATAACGGTAAAATGACGTCATCTTTATCGTGCCATTGTACAGCACGCGACTCATCTGGAACCCCCCATGCCAGATGAAATTTCCGGCATGGGTAAAACTAACGGAAACGCCAGTCTGATATGCAAAAAAACTCATTTCAGTCTTATTTTGTGAAACTACAATGCCTAGTTTAAATATTTGTCATGTAACATTGTGTTGTTGACCTGACTAGAAGATTGATATAAATCATGCTTCTTGAGTATTGGGTTTATTGGCCCAACCTCGGGGGTCACATATTTTACATACATGTAGACTTCTACAGGAAAACCTATTTGAGTCTAACAGGCTTCCTCAAAACTGTATTCATTTTTAATCATGCCCCTTGGGTCAATATTTAGATTGTCCCAGGAATCACTTTATTAATAATTATAGACTTAAATAGAAAAAAACACATTACAGTTCTATTACCCTTAATTAATATTATATCAATTTATTGCTACCACGTATATCTAGTTAAATACAATAATTATTTTTAAAACAAATGCCTCATATTCAATCCTTTGGTCAAACTGAATGAGTAGACCTGATGCAGACATAAAATAATGCTGGACACTTCGGGAACAGTTTACCACCGATCCTTTTGTAGCACTTTTGCAATTGATGTCACTATTGTCCCATCAATTTTTAGCTCGACTTTTTTTTTTTTGAAAAAAAAAGTAGAGGTATTGTTAGTCGGGTCGCCGTTGCCGTTCCCCGTCCGCAAACTTGTACCTGGATCATAACTTTTTTATTTCTTGGTGTATTGTCTTCATACTTGGCCACAACAACCTTTGGGACAAGACCTTTCAGTAGACCACACTAACCTTGACCTTCATCCATAAATGACCTTGACCTTCAAGGTTAAAAGTCCAATTTTTGCTTGTTCATGCTGTTATTGGCTGTAACTTTGTTATTTTTTAATGGATTGTCTTCAAACTTGAACATAATAATCTTCAAGGATATCCCTTAAAAATAATCAGCCAGACCTTGACCTTCACTCATAAATGACCTTGACTTTGAAGGTCAAATTATTGAAATTTTCATTTTTTTGGCTATTATTGGCTGTAACTTTGTTATTTTTGAATGGATTGTCTTCAAACTTGAACATAATTATACCAGGGATATCCCTTAAAAATAACTAGACAGACCTTGACCTTCACTCATAAATGACCTTGACTTTGAAGATCAAATTATTGAAATATTCATTTTTTTGGCTATTATTGGCTGTATAACTTTGTTATTTTTGAATGGATTGTCTTGAAACTTGAACATAATAATCTTCAAGGATAACTTTTAAAAATATACCGAAAGACCTTGACCTTCACTCATTAATGACATTGTCTTTGAAGGTCAAATTATTGAAATTTTCATTGTTTTGGCTGTAACTGACTGTAACTTTGCTATTATTGAAGGGATCAACTTCATATTATAACAGAACATTGTTGTTTATCAAACCCAAATTTGCTTGGGCTCTTTAATGACCTTGACCTTGAAGGTTAAATTACTGAATTTTCTCAGATTTGTGCATTAAATTACCATAATTATTTATTACCCTTCCAGATTTTTTCCGCCTTTTTGATTGGATATGATCACCCGAAAGAAATTGATATAACCGAGCCAGACGGGTAATATACACACTAAATTTCCCCGTTTGGTACCCCACGTTGTAAACAACATGCGCAGTGGCGATGCGCGTATGGTTTGATTTTACGCGATGTAGATTCCGATTTACAAGCACTTGTTAACTGTCAAATGATAAATATTCACCAAAATAGAGTAATGATACATATTCTCATCAGTATTGAAAACAAATATGACCTTGTGAAAGCTTGATATTAATTCCAAAAAAGTGTGTCAACAGACTACTCTTTTCTCTTGTTTACATTCTTTACGTTCGAAAGAATATACGTCATGTATTTATGTGACGTCATGTTGTGGGGAAGGGGTACCCTAAAGGGAATCTTATTTCAACGTTTCATTTGAAGTAGCAATGATTTATTTTAAAATCGTAAGCTCGACAGGGGAAGGGTAATAAAATTATTATTTTGGTTTTGGAGTGATATATGTGGATATATTACCTGCCAAGATAAAATATCACCCTCGCCTAACGGCTCGGGCGATATAAAATCTTGACAGGTAATATATCCACATATATCACTCCAAAACCAAAATAACATATAATATTTATTGGTGTGTGTGTGTGTATATTTATATTTATACATATCTATCATCATCATCATCATCATCATCATAACAACAACAACAACGTATATTGCATGTTTCTATTTTTAGAATTGCGTGTTTCTATTTATAGATTTGCGTGTTTCTATTTATAGAATTGCATGTTACTATTTATAGAATTGCGTGTTTCTATTTTTAGAATTGCGTGTTTCTATTTTTAGAATTGCGTGATTCTATTTATAGAATTGCTTGTTTCTATTTATAGAATTGCGTGTTTCTGTTTTTAGAATTGCGTGTTTCTATTTTTAGAATTGCGTGTTTCTATTTTTAGAAATTGCCTGTTACTATTTATAGAATTGCGTGTTACTATTTTTAGAATTGAGTGTTTCTATTTATTGAATTGCGTGTTATTATTCATAGAATTGCATGTTGCTTTTTATAGAATTGCTTGTTACTATTTATAGATTTGCGTGTTTCTATTTATAGAATTGCATGTTACTATTTTTTGAAATTGCGTGTTACTATTTATAGAAATTGCTTGTTACTATTTTTAGAATTGAGTGTTTCTATTTTTTGAATTGCGTGTATTAATTTTTAGAATTGTGTGTTTCTATTTATAGAATTGCGTGTTTCTATTTATAGAATTGCGTGTTACTATTTTTAGAAATTGCGTGTTTCTATTTATAGAAATTGCTTGTTACTATTTTTAGAATTGAGTGTTTCTATTGTTTGAATTGCGTGTATTAATTTTTAGAATTGTGTGTTTCTATTTATAGAATTGCGTGTTACTATCTATTTTTGGAATTGCATGTTTCTATTTTTAGAATTGTGTGTTTCTATTTACAGAATTGCGTGTTACTATTTATAGAATTGCATGTTACTATTTATAGAATTGCATATTTCTATTGAATTGCGTGTTTCTATTTTTAAAAATTGCGTGCTACTATTTATAGAAATTGCGTGTTACTATTTATAGAATTTCGTGTTACTATTTTTAGAATGGCGTGTTACTATTTTTAGAATTGCGTGTTTCTATTTTTAGATTTGCGTGTTTCTATTTTTAGAATTGCATGTTACTATTGAATTGCGTGTTTCTATTTTTAAAAATTGCGTGCTACTATTTATAGAAATTGCGTGTTACTATTTATAGAATTTCGTGTTACTATTTTTAGAATGGCGTGTTACTATTTTTAGAATTGCGTGTTTCTATTTTTAGATTTGCGTGTTTCTATTTTTAGAATTGCATGTTACTATTTATAGAATTTAGTCTTTCTATTTATTGAATTGTGTGTTTCTATTTTTATAATTGCATGTTACTATTTTTAGAAATTGCGTGTTACTATTTTTAGAATTGCAGGTTTCTATTTTTAGAATTGCGTGTTTCTATTTTTAGAATTGCGTGTTACTATTAATAGAATTGCGTGTTACTATTTGTAGAATTGGGTGTTTCTATTTATAGAATTGCTTGTTTATATTTACAGAATTGCGTGTTTCTATTTTTAGAATTGCGTGTTTCTATTTTTAGAAATTGCGTGTTACTATTTATAGAAATTGCGTGTTTCTATTTTTAGAATTGCGTGTTACTATTTTTAGAATTGCGTGTTTCTATTTTTAGAATTGCGTGTTACTATTTATAGAATTGCGTGTTACTATTTATAGAATTGCGTGTTTCTATTTATAGAATTGCTTGTTTCTATTTACAGAATTGCGTGTTTCTATTTTTAGAATTGCGTGTTTCTATTTTTAGAAATTGCGTGTTACTATTTATAGAAATTGCGTGTTTCTATTTTTAGAATTGCATGTTACTATTTTTAGAATTGCGTGCTACTATTTATAGAATTGCATGTTACTATTTATAGAATTGCGTAATACTATTTTTAGAATTGCGTGTTTCTATTTATAAAATTGCGTGTTTCTATTTATAGAATTGCGTGTTTCTATTTATAGAATTGCGTGTTACCATTTTTAGAATTGCGTGTTTCTATTTATAGAATTGCGTGTTACTATTCATAGAATTGTGTGTTGCTTTTTATAGAATTGCTTGTTACTATTTATAGAATTGCGTGTTTCTATTTATAGAATTAAATGTTTCTATTTTTAGAATTTAGTCTTTCTATTTATTGAATTGCATGTTTTTATTTATAGAATTGCGTGTTTCTATTTTATAGATATTGCATGTTACTATGACAAAAACAGACCAACTTAATTTATAAAAAGGAAACGTTAAGATATGTTGAAACCTTTCTATGTTTGTGTTTAGAAAAAGTAAAAAGTCGAGTGTTGCCCCCGCCTGGCGGTGGCTCTTGTTCTCTTTCATCCTGGCAATTCATATTTGTGATCCCGTATTTGATGTTTTTAGATTGCTTGGGCCAGTGGAAATTGAGTGTCCTGATGGCAGATTGTTAATTTAATCTTTTCTTATGTATCTGAAGTAGTATCACTAATTTGTTTGCTATTTCTACATTTAACACTATGACCACTGCTCTTCAAAACATGATTATTTAGCCATTTCATCACTAAATGACGTCAAATTTAGCCATTTCATCTGTAAATGACGTCAAATTTAGCCATTTCATCTGTAAATGACGTCAAATTTGGACATAATGTCATCTTATAAAACATGTTGGTGAAATATATGGAAAAACAGGTGATAAAGTATAAACAAATTAGAAGTACAACTTAACTTTAATAACATTTTTGATGTGCTGTGCTGGGTGTGTGTTACCATTGTTATTCAATATCACAGGGAACACAAGTTTATAGCACAATTATTTGATAAACTTATTGCTCAAATTTAAGAAAACATTTTCTTGTTGCTGTTTATATAAAAATGTTTTAGATTGAATGAAATATGAAGATGCAAGACTCTTAGGTCACTTGAGCAAAAGTAAAGTTACTTGTGAAATCTTTAAAAAATGTTTTTGTGAGACACAACAAAACCAAAAACTTAGGTATTTTTGTTTTTAGGTAACTTGTGTTCTGTTTGATAAAGATTGGCCTCATGTTTGAATTTCAGAATTTTTGGAACTTTGTATCAAATTATACACATGGAGAAGTGATAGCACAGTTGAAACATCTTGGACAAATTACTACTGAGATAGGACTGTGTCGGGTTTGTGTATTTTACATTTAATTTAGTCTCTACTGTAATGGTAATTATAGATAACTGTATTCCTAGAAACTTTCAAATGGTGAAATTTTTTAAGGACGGCTTTTTCATGGAGAAAAAACTTGTAATAATTGTGACCCCAAATTTTGCAAATACATGTATTAAGTCTCTGTGGTAAAGAACTTATATATATATTTTACTAACATCACAAGTTTGTTTCTGTATTTGTTCTCTCCATATCTGGAAGGCAAGACTATGGCATACAATATTGACACAATCTTCCAATTTTACAGATAAACGTTTGATTGTTAATTAACAGTTATTTCAAATTGTTATTTTGGTTAATGTAGCTGACTTCAGGCATTTACATATTACTATTATGGTTAAATTCGGATGAAGCTGTCAAGTAAGTACATAAAAAGTATTGACAGAACCAATTATTGAATTTGACTTACATATTTAAGGCATGGGTACGTGTAGCACTAAATGATGGCATTATGGAGAGTTATATTGATGCAATGATATCTGACAGTAAAAATCTTGAGTAAGTATTACAGTAAATTTCACTTATAGCGAACACGGTTATAGCGAACTTCCGGTTATAAGGAACAATTTATTTTGGCCCGAATTTTGCCCTTCTTTATTTAATATAAAAATATACGGTTATAGCGAACACGGTTATAAGGAATTATAGCTTATAAGGAACTCATTTTTTAGTCCCAATTTAGTTAAAAGTGCATAAAATTACACCTTTAAAACGAACTCCAAATATCATTTATTCGTAAATATATACCGCATTTTCAACTTTCGTTTTCATTGGCACGGAATAAAACTCGCGGATTGTACCGTTTATTGTTGTATGTAATTCAATATATGAAAATGAATTTGTATAGAAGTATGTAATATTTTTTTCTATTTAGGATATTTTTAGCTTGAGTTCTTGTCACAAAGATAAAACAGTAATTCTCTTTATTCTATAATTTCTTTTCTTTAATAGTTTGCTCGAGTAAAATAATTATCGGTTTTCAACATAATCACGCATGCTTGCAAACATAATCCATAGAAAACTACAAAGTATGCTTGATTGAAATTAAAAGAAATCTATATGTTATTAATAGTTAAAGTCACCCTAAAAATATAATAGAAGATATTCAATATAAAAGGAAGAAAAATGGAAAATCTTGTTTATTCTTATTCATTGAAAGAAAACCAAAAGCACAGTGCAGTGAGTTAAGAAACAAAATATGATGTTTTATGAAAAGTTGAGAAAGGGAGTAAAACTAAAACTGAAATAGCAAAGGATTTTCAAATTCCAAAATGTACGCTCTCGGGTATTGTGTCTAAAAATGAAATAAATGATTAATTATTCTTAATCAAATGCTCTTAAAAATGGCGGACGATGTTTAACAATCAGTTCGTTATATGTAAATCTGTTCGCTATAAAAACTCCTGATACAAGGAACTAATTCGCTATATGCTTACAAGGAACTCCGGATATAAGGAACAGATTTTGAATGTCCCAATGTGTTCGTTATAAGCGGAGTTTACTGTATAAGTTATTACAGATCTGTTTACCTCTATGTTTTGTCCATATTTCCTATGGTTTGAGGTTTTAAACATGCATTACAGATAGATACAAAAATTCTATAGTAATCAGCAAAATATAAAGAATAGGCATTTGCTGCCTAAAAGTGTGCTTTCCACACATTAATATACTTTTTCATTTTGTTGCAAAAGCCTATTGTTCTACCAACATCTTCGAGATCTGGTCAACACGCCGGTTGCCAAAGGGATTTGAATGTCATGAAAACTTTAGAAGGCACTGATTTTTGAACAGATAACTGTTATTGATACTAACTTTGCCTTACTGATGGTCTTGTGTGGTGGGGACTGTCAGATCCTGTTTGCTGACTGTTCTTGTTCCCTGTTGATCTTTCCTTTCATATGTGAAAGAGTCGGCGACAACAGTATTCAATCTTTCATACAATTAAGCATAAGAACCATTGACTCACAGTGTAGAACCAGAAAAATATTAAGCACAAGGCAACTGTTAACTGCAAACTTAATAAAAAGATGTGTCACGTCCCAAAAATAGCATAAAATAGCACCATGCATATATGATAATGGGTAAAATTACTCTTACAATTAATTTCTTTTTGTCCAAATCTACTGATGTAATACTTGGAAGGGGTAACAAGGTCTGAAATTACAGTCATGTTTTAAGGGTATGATAGAAATTTTCAACCATTTTATATATATAAAAGCATTTATTCTCAAAATCACATTGTTATGGTCCTATGTCATTATATATTTTACCCAATTTTATTTTTTACATTTAGATATTTTTACCAGCGTACAGCGTATCTAAGAGATAGAGAACAGCCGAGCATTATGAAGACATATCTTCAAGGTATCATTCTATTTTTATTATGTTGTTGAAGGTTATTACTATTTGTTGATTGTTTATCTTGGTTGGAAATTTCTTGGTCAATACAATGCTGTATTAACATTTCTTATTTGCTGAATATATGTTTCATGTATTCTCATGTCAAAGAATAATTTGACACCTGAACACCAAATGCTCAGATAATTGTCTGATGTACTCCATCTGGCATTTCTTGTCCACAATCCATTTCAACCATATCTCATACTACCATACTAGATAGATTTTAATTATTCTATAGTAGCACCTTACAAATGTATCATATGTGCACAACCAAACACTTATCAGGGACAATATATTTTGTGATAAATTAAATCTGTATATTGTTACTGTACCACTGTGAAGTTATTTACCATAGGTACACATGAATTCCTGTAACATAGTGTCTTTTACCTGTTGTGGTAAATGGTAGGACTGATTTAAAGGGTGGTAGCCAGTTACATAAAGTTGTTTCATTGTTACATTGTGTTTGAAGTGAGAATTGGAACTACATTGAAGGTCACTTTTTGGCGCCATTTTGTCAAAAAATTTATTAACTAATATGGATCAAACCTTTTGTGTTAGTGTGTATGAGATATAATTTCAGCATTATATGAAACAAAAACATTGTATGAACGGTAAATATCAATTAAAATGCGTTATTATTGTTGCTTTAAAAGGCTTTGTAAACTATATAATTGAGGGAGAAAACATAACAGCCGCATATACAAGTAGTCCCTAACTTATTGGCAGTTTAACACCAGGTTTTTCCTTCTTTGTGTATAGTGACAAAATCATGAGGAGTGTTAGAATATGTGTTACATAAGGGTTTCAGTAAAATCACTGAAAGTTTACAGATGATAATTTAATAATTTGATTAATTTATTTGTTAGGTTTGTCAAACTTTGAATTCAAGCTGTCATACAATGCCAGTGTATTAAATGAATGGTCATATGCACCGCTTGTGTTAGCAGGAATCATAAATAGTAGAGATGCTCCACCCCCTGTGATCAAAACTACAGGTTTGTTTAAACCTTTTTGTACTAAATTTTCCATACTGCCCAAATTTGACGCACATTCAATGAGCACAACAGCCAAAGTGGTATGTGGTGGTATCTTAGGCAGGACACAGGCAGTTCTGCTTATTCATAATGTTGTATCTGTTTATTTCCTTAAAATGATGTACATTAATTTTATCAAGAAAGTTTACCAGTATTCTAAAACTGGCACATAATAATATTTGGGCATTTTTCTTACATTGTCTTCTTACAAGTAAAAAATGTAATCCAGTAATCCTGATATATACATAGATTATTATGATTAGAAAATTAACTGCTACATACAGAATTTCATATTTCAGGTCAAAGTTCAAAAGCAAGCAAACTTCGTGAAAGAGATGAAGATTCTGACACAGTTGTTCATGTTATAAAAAACAAATCAAGGTCTAACCTAGAAAGTAGATGTCCACCTTTTAACCCAATGGAGCAGCCAAAATTAGGACCCACATCAGAATCTGCCTACTTTATTTCATCTTCAGAATTCACTTCAAGAGATGTTGAAGAGTTTAAAAAGATCTCCAAGAATTTTGAAAAACCACTGTCGGATTGTTCAAGTTCAAGCCACATGTCAGCACCTGATCTGCCACATTTAAATGTTAGTCCTGCAACTTATGTTCAAAAGTATGGCTTACATGAGGTGTCATATGACGAGACAGACAATCCAGAAGAAACAACTGACATTGTAAAATGTACAACAGACAATACAGAAGCTTACAATACTGGAAACTCTTATAATACTCTAATAGAAGGAGGTGCAAAAGGAGATGCAAATTTTAGTGAAGACGAAGATAACAAGAAAAGTAAGAGCAATGTACAAATAGAAGAGAGCACAGAAGAGTTCTTTAGTAGTCCAGTCATAGAAATAAAACATGAGCGAGTACGAAGGTTAGAATCAATCACCAGAGAAGCTAAAGAAGATGCAATTTTGAATAGTATCTTAACAGAAGATCTTCCTGACACTGTAGAAAACGAGCAAGAAATTTTGGATGAAGCTAATTCGGTTAGTAATGGTAAACAAGGAAGTTCATTGTATAATGTTTATGGTCCTACAGAGTTGATAGATGATAGTCCTATTATAACAGAGGGTGAAAAATTGATAGACACGTCAGAAAAACTACTAAATGAGCTTAGATTGCAAGAGCAAAGTAAAGTTGTGGATGATAATGAAGGAAATATTGGGGATGAAACTCATAAATTGATAAAAACAAGTAAAAGCACATCTATTGACAAATTAAAGCCACAGTTAAACCTAAATCCTCAAAAATCTGCTGAACCAGATCTTTCTGATGCTGTTGCATTAAAAGTTGATCAAATGAGAACACTGGACAATCCTGAATATCTGTCAAGACACCGCTTTTCCTTAGCAATTACATCAGATGTTCAAAAAATTGATAATTCTAGTCCAAGAAAATCTTTACCAAATGTTCTTGAACATCACAATGAAAATGAAAAAGATTTAACTTCTAGTATTGTAGACCATTTATATGATGGAATGCCACTTAATGAAGATACTGAGAACTTGTCAAGACAGTTCTATGGTGAAAACAAGATGTTAGATGAAATGGAGAATGAAGTTAATTATGGTTCTCAACCACCGGACTCTACACTTAAAAGGTGAGTGTTTTTCTGTAAAAAGATCAAAAGAAGATCAATAACTTGGTATTTAATCAATGGATTATCTTCATACTTGGACAAAACAACCTTTTGTACATGACTGCCTGAAAGGTTAAATTGACCGTGACCTTTAAATCATCTTGACCGTCAAGGTTAAATTATTGAATTTTGGTTAAGTTGTCATAATTTTGTTATTTAAGTATGGATTTGATTAATTTGTGGACAATACAACACTTGTTGAATAATCTAGATATGACCTGGACCTTTAAATGACCTTAACCGTCAAGGTCAGATGATTGAATTTTGCTTATATTTTCTTAACTGGAAATGATTTATACTTAAAAAGGTGTGACTAGACAGACCTATCAAAATAAGTAAAACGGAAAACTTAATTTTTTTTCTTTAATTTTCTTTCTGTTTAAAGATTTGTTTTAGCCGTTTATTTGTTTGCTCTTAGAAAAAGTAAAAAAGTCAAGTGTTGCACCCACCTGGCGTTGGCTATTGTTAGATGTAAAATTGAACTTCACCTTACCTAGATTTTGATGATGTGACCTACTTTGGCTTTCTTATATACAGCTATGACATTTTGACCATGTGCAAAGTTTTATGTATAGAACTGAAATCTGATATCAAATGACCTAAATATTGACCTAGTGACATACTTTCTTGTTTTTGATGTACAGCTATGAAATTAGGACCATGTATATAGTATAAATTAAAAAATACATTTTGCATGAGGTATGGTCTAATGACCAACATTGTTCAAATTCTTGTAATAATCACTAGCTTTCACTGCTTTTACACAAAAAATGTTTGTCCTTAGGTAAGCGCTTGTGCCCTAGGGCCCCCTTGTTGTAAATTTGGTCATTGAAAAAGAGTCAGTGCAAGTAGTATGTGTGTTTACCAAATATAGAGTTCTTGTAACTATTGTTTCTTTTGGTAACATTAAAGCTGGCATATTTTGTATAGCAATGTGGCTCTCATAATCATGTAATTTTATTATGTAAAGGTTGAATGAGAAACGTGAGAGTGTGGGTAACAACTTGATGATGACTGGAAGAGGTTGGTCTTCATCATTTGACAGTGAAGCTGGCGATTCTGTTAATGCCCTGTCACCACCTTTGTCATCTATGTCCCTACCTATAACAAGGAAAAAATGTAAGTCTTCATTATCACATGCTTATATAACATTTTGAATAAAAATTAAAGTTATTTTTATTATATGAAAGATATTTGTTTGTTTTGATGTAGGATCACTGAATGACTTCAGCCTGATGTTTTAGATAAAAAGTTGATCTTGCATGTAGAATAACTAAGAAGCTGAAAGATATGCCTATATTTAGGAAATACACTGTATTCTTGATAACTGAAAGTTTTGTATGGTTTTGTAAACTGTATATATTCTTGTACAGAAGTTTTGCATGCCTGTGTTACAAGTAAACTGTATATTTTCACTTTGGAAACTTATGTAAGAACTATGTGACTTCCTTTTTGTGTCGCCTTGAAAAGGTGACATATAGGGGTTACTTTTGTCGGCGGTGTCGGCTGCGGCGGCGTCTGTGTCGGCGTCGTTGTCGTTGTCGGTGTCGGCGTCGGCGTCCGCTAAAGCTTGTCCGGAGCATAACTCAGTCACTATAAGTCTGATTGACTTCAAACTTGGTATGCATGCTTCTTTCAATAACCCGAAGTGCAGTGCACAAGGACCGGTACTCTGCAGTTCTTATTTTTTGAGTTATTGCCCTTTGTTAATTTTCATACTTTAATTTTGTCCGGGCCATTTCTCTTCAACTAAAAAAGCTATAGACTTGAAACTTCATAGGATGATAGATCTCATTAAGAAGAAATGCAGTGCACAAGAACCAGTACTCTGCACTTCCTAATTTTTGAGTTATTGCCCTTTGTTAATTTTCATTTTTTAATTTTGTCCAGGCCATTTCTCCTTAAGTATAAAAGCTTTGGACTTGAAACTTCATAGGATGATAGATATTATTATTAAGAAGTGCAGTGCACAAGAATCGGTACTTTGCATTTCTTAATTTTTGAGTTATGGCCCTTTGTTAATTTTCATACTTAATTTTTGTCCTGGCCATTTCTCCGAAAGTATAAAAGTTATGGACTTGAAACTTCATAGGATGATAGGTCTCATTAAGAAGAAGTGCAGTGCACAAGAACTGGTACTCTGCATTTCTTATTTTTTGAGTTATTGCCCTTTGTTTATTTTCATTTTTTAATTTTGTACGGGCCATTTCTCCTTAAGTATAAAAGCTATGGACTTGAAACTTCATAGGATGATAGATCTCATTAAAAAGAAGTGCAGTGCATAAGAACTGATACTCTGCATTTCTTATTTTTGAGTAATTGCCCTTTGTTGATTTTCTTACTTTATTTTTGTCCTGGTCATTTCTCCTCAAGTATGAAAGCTATGGACTTGAAACATCATAGAATGATAGATCTTATTGATAAGAAGTGCAGTGTACAGAAATGCTGCTCTGCACTTATTATTTTTTTAGTTATTGCCCTTTGTTATTTTTCATATTTCATTTTTGTCCTGGCCATTTCCCCTAAACTACATTGTTCACAAGGCGACACATCCGACTCGCGGAGTTCTAGTTTAAGGTTAAGTTTTGTAAACGTGTTACAGAATTTTTGTTTGTATGTTTGTTAGCTGAAAGTTTTGGGAGTCTGTTACAGAACTATACACCTGCTAGTTCTCTGTCAGCCAGATCTGTAGATGATGTTCTCAACAACTTTCCAGCTAGAAAGGAAACAGTCTACTCTACACAACAAAATTCACTAAATGAGGTATTTCAACTTTAAAATCTGTTCAAATTCAACATATTGTAAATTTTAAATTAATTCCTTTCCAGATTGAAATGTCGCTAGATAAAATTTAATATTAAAATATTCTAAATTTCATGCTAGCATTATGTAAGTCAAGTCAGAGTTCTTTATCAATGAAAAGTTTTAAGCATTTGCTACATTCTTCTGTGATGTTCTTGCCATTGCCGTCCAAAATCTTTAACATAGATCATGATTTTAAGCATGTCTGAGTTACCTGCTCTTGGTCACCTTTCTTCAAGCCTCTCTGTTGTTTCATCAAAAATTTGTTTTAACTACATCTATTCTGAAACCAATGACTGGATATTAACCAAACTTCCAAAATTCTTCAGAGGTCCACTATCGAAGTTGTTAGATACATAAATATGTCACTTAGTCAAGAAAAGGGTCACAAAAATGCAAATCTCAAAAATCTTCATGCTCTGAAAGTACTACACCCACAGCTTTTATATCAGCTTTTAGAAAACAAGACAAGAAGATTTTGTACTTAGTTTATTTGATGTAAATAATAGGTACAGTGTGCATGTCTGATGAAAAATAATCAGTTCTATTTGAGTATATTAAACCCTGACGTCTCAACTTTTTCAACCATCCTGCTGACTTTAAGATAATGATAGTCAACAGTATATAAATATCATCTAGAGATCTTCTAACAAAATTGTTTAAATTATGCCTGTAGGGTCAAAATGACCCTGTCCTTGGGGTCATAAATTTTCTGTATATGTAAAATTAAATATACATTGTACAGTATTAACTTAAAAAAATGTTCTTTAAACCCTTTGAAATATTTATTAGATATTTAACATGAACATTGTCTAGTGGACCTGTCATAAAGAGTATTACACTTTTTGGAGAAAATGAAAAGAGATTTTTTTGATAACATAACACATATTTGTGTGTTCTACATTATTTTAATACAACTCTTATGACAAAACTGACATGTTATAATTCAAATATGATCTTATTTATGAAATAACCTTGACCATGAATGTCATATGATTGAAAGTGCTTTAATTGCCATACAGCTCAAATGACATGTTGAATAATTTGATTATAACCTTGATCTATAAATGACATTCACAATCAAGGTCATATAAACAAATTTATTTTAAATTCTCTATTTGTTGTCTAGAGAAAATATGAGAAACCTTCACTGTGATGTGTATGTCTTTAGAGATAAGAACAAGTCAAACCCTGGCCTCACTTGTGGTGGCCTTTGTTATAAATGTATTTGTCATGTGATTTAGCAGACAGTTTGTTTGTTTGTTTGTTAAATATCAATCTTAAAATACTTACTTGTTAAAAAATATAGTATTTGAATTTCATTATATAAATCATTGTTTTTAACAAATTGTTTCAATTCATACTATTTATATGCTATTTTGCATTTTCATTGCCCACCTCCTTCATTACATTATTATCCCAGCACATTCCCATTACCTACATTAGTTATCATGTAGACCAAACTTCACTTGATAAGTTAAATCATTGTATTTTCCTCTGTGTCAAGTTATGTGATAAAATGTTTATATTTGAGTAGACCAACATAATTACAGTAGGCTCTGTAGTAATGAAGCAAACATAAAAACAAAGAGCAATAATTTACAATGAACTTGTGATATGCCTGTAATATTCACCAAAAGATCTTTGTACAACTTAATAGCTCACCTGAGCACAAAGTGCTCAAAGGTGATCTTTTGGGATTACTCTGCGTCCATTGTGTGTCATAAAGGGTGGCAAACTTTTTGTTAAAACAACAATCTCCTATACCAATAGGCCAATATTGCTAAAACTGAGCAGGAATGTTAAAAAAATCTCAAAGAATTCCATTCACTGCTAAATTCTGGTTGCCATGGCAACCAAAAGAAAAACAAAGAAAAATCATCTTCTCAAAACCCAAAGAGCTAGAGCTTAGATATTTAGCATGAAAATTCTTCTAATTGTCTACCAAGTTTGTTCAAATAAAAGTCCTGGGGGCATTGATTTTAAAATTCTTCTTCTTTTATACTATAGAGGCTTTAGATTAGATATTTGGAATGAAACATACAAAAATTGTTCGAATTATAGCCTGGATTTAAATTTAGTGTTGTGTCATGTGTAGCTTTTGTTTCAAATTTTTTTCTCTCCTTTAATTTTTCATCTCTGCAGAACAGAACATTATTTAGTGAATTATTCAGGGTTATCATGACTTGTATAAAACATTGAATCAGTCAAGTCAGACACTGCAAAATGGCAATGGAAGTCACATTATTTAGGTAAAGGAGAAAAAGTATTGCATTTTGGAGGCCACAAGCCAAAATCAGAGTAAATAAGTCCAAAACTTCCACTAATGGAAGCCCTGTCAGTACATGAGTAAAGAGAGAGTTTCACAGAGTTGGGGCTTTTGTGATTGTCTGAAATCTGCAATTTTTTTTAATTATTTGAATACCATCTTATAAACCTTTAAATTGACTTTGAAGTAAGTCACCAAAGATAAAAATAGATTTTAAAAATGAAATGGTAAAAGTATTATGTCAACAAAATTAATACCAGGTAATGACCTGTTCATAGATATTTGCTAAAAAGCATTGGTCTTCTACTGAATTGTAACTGATGTCTAGGTTTCAGAATTGGCCCTGTCCTGTTTTTTGCAATAAACTTGTATATAAAGTCACTTAAATCTTCTTATGCATATACCGGAGGTACAGATATTTGCATGTAGCTCTGTTATATACATAGACATGGAACTATACAACCTAGAGCTTTTATATATATTATATATATAAACATTGCCCACCAGCCTCTACCAAATTATATAGTTAATGAGTCAGAAGTAGCCCACCGCTAAAGAATTGAAATAAAAGAAAAATCCACCAAGAGTTTAGATATTTAAAGAACATGTATCATTCACAATTTATGTGTGTAAATTTTCATATTATCTAGATAATTTCATGTGAGGAAGCTATCCAGCTAGCTTACGGAACGTCGGTGGTTCTACTCAGGTGCCCGTTCGTGCCTGAAATAATGCACGGAAGGGCACCTGAGGTCTTCCTCCACCAGTAAAGCTGGAACGTCGCGATATGACCTATACTGTGTCAAAGTGACGTAAAACCCAAAACAAACAAACAAAAATCTAGATAATTTACATAAAGCATTAGATCACAATGTTAATTTATTTTGATATTGATATGTACATAGGATACAGACAATCTAGAAGATTTTGAGGTTGTATGCAGTAATTGTACAGACTCTGATATTGTGAGTGATTCCTAGCAATTGGGTGATATATGTGTGGCATGATTAAACAGGAATTTTGATATCTTTCTGTTGATTTTACTTTACAGTCAATTTCATTTTTCTAGTAAAAATAAATTGTTGTATTCAAAATTATTTTCTGTATATTTAGTGTACTAAAACTTGGTCATCAACCACTTAAAGTATTTAACATCACATGTGAGAGTTCATGGTTTAAGTAATAGAAAGAGAATTGAAACACATGGCTATCTGATTTGTAAATCGGATTGCAGAGTGATTTGATGTTCTTTCTCTTTTGTATCAAAGGCAAAAATAAAAACATGTTCCCTGTTGTCACAATATGAAACCCCAGAAAAAAGTAACCAATGATCGAGCATCTGAATATGATATTTCTATCCCATTTCTCTGTCGTCACAATTAGTAAACCCCAAACAAATGAGCCAGTCAATGGGAATGCTCTGGAGTGCGGGTAACTAATACCTGCACTCTAGTTAATGCACTGTGCTTGTATATGTTTACCACTCTACTGTGACACATTTTCAACAGAAAGGTCCTCAAGTTTAGCATACAATATCAAGCTCCACAAGATCTGAAAATATTCACTTCAAACAAAACACATGTCTATTTATGCCCCAGATCTATGGGGAGGGATGGTGTTTAGATTACCCTTGTCTGTCCGTGTGTGTGTGGGGGGGGGGGGGGGCATGTGTCCATTAAGTGCTTGAACTAGAGTCAACAAACTTTACAGGAATGTTGGTCATTGTGAGAAGTTTTGCACCTGGGTTTTCTTGTGTAGATTAATTCAGTTTTGTTAGAGTTATTGCCCTTTATCCAGTAAAAAATTGAAATTTTCAACTTGTGTTATATGTATTTGGCCTTGAGTCATGAAACTTTACAGAAATGTTGGTCATCATGTGTAGTTGTGCTTGTTTTTTGTTGTTGTTTTTTTAAGCATACTTTAGGATATAAAATTGAGATTTGGAATTCTTGCAGCTCAATATTGGAAAATATCAAGATGTCAACATTATAAAATTCAGATGTCATTATGCCCCAACCACTAAGGGGAGTCATGTAGATTTTCCTTTGTCTGTCAGTCTGTCATACTATTCTGCTCTATGTCAGTAGACTGACAGAACAGTGGAATGTGGGGGCATCTGTTTCCTATGCACACATTTCCCCTATTTCTGAAATAGATTATTACTTAGCATATCAACCAAATTGTACTTTTCAAGAGGTGTTTTTTATTCTTAACATTTTTCGTTATCAATTTTTGGTCAATTGCGATATACTTAATCATCAATCTTGTTTGATATATGGCCAATTAAGCTCAACTCGACAGTGAAAAAATGAACATAATGTCACTTAAAATTGGTTTGTCATGTGATCAGTCTGCACAAAATCGAAAGGTATTCAGTTGAAACTTTGCACATGCTTTAGGATGATAATTGTGGTTCACAAATCACTAGTTAAGACCCATAAACTAAGCTGAGACATTTTGGCTGATAATATAGCCTTTAGTGACCATTCCTGGTTAAATTTTTGCATGCAAGATCATTCACCACATTTACTTAATGTAAATGAGACATTGCAGGTATCTTTAGGATCATAATTTTCGGTCATTGTTAAAAACACATAACTGTAGTATTGATTAGCACTGAATTGCATGGATTAAATGCACTCCCTGTGTGGACTAAGAAAATTGTATCACTTTTGAGCGGTTTTTAATCTTCCCCTTTGTAAATTTCTACATAATTCAGGCTCTTGATTACTATCAAGCACTTGAATAGCCACTGTTACTGTCAGCTCTTATCAAAGAGGCAATTTATAAATCTCCTGCCACTTAGAGGGGAGGGGATTATGGGAATGGCCTCCCTCTGTCCTGTCAGTCTGTAACATTTTTGTGTCTGCTCTGTAACTTTTGAACTAAAGAATAGCTTTTAAAATAACAAGTGATCATCATTTTGAGATGATGTGCAGAGTACAGCAATCAGGTCTCTATCCCAAGGTCACACTAAATAGGTTAAATATAAAAAGTCCACATTTTGTGTCCTCTCAATAAACTTTTAAATGCTTTTTTAAGTTTTTAAAATTGCTTAAAACAAATTATTACCATTATGAGATTATGTACAAAACACAAAATCCAAGTTGCTTCTTTTGAGGTCAAACTTAAAGGTCAGTCAAAGGTTTAAAATTGTAATAATTAGTGGATATAGCCGTCCTTCAGACAACCTTGCTTATCATATGATCAGTGACATAGAACTTCTAACATTCACTGAGGTGAAGGTCTTATTGGTTAATACAGGTTATGCTACTTTTTAACCAGGTTTTCAACGAAAACTGGTAATTGTAATGCTGAAGTTGGAGGGCGGGCGTCAACTTTTGGTTTCCACTCACTAACTTCAGTTTTCTTAGTCCTATTGACACCAAACTTGGTGTGTGGGTAGCTTATAACAAGAGGCAGCTAGGGATTGCTACCCAGGTGTATGTGATCAAGGTCAAGGTAATTGTTGCTAAAAATAGAAATTCAGTTTCCACTCAATAATTTGGGTTTGCTTAGGCCTATTGACACCAAACATGGTGTATGGACTGCTTATATCAAGAGGCAGCTTTGGATTGCTACCCAGTTGTCTGTGAACAAAGTCAAGGTCACTGTTGCTTAAAAAAAAGAAATTCAATTTTCACATAATAATTTGAGTTTGCTTTGACCTTTCCACACCAAACTTGGTTTTTGGGTAGCTTATATCAAGAGTCAGCTTGGGATTGCTATCCAGGTATCTGTGGACAAGGTCACTGTTACTTAAAAAAAGAAATTCAATTTTCACATAATAACTTAAGTTTGCTTTGACCTATTGACACCAAACTTGCTGTGTGGGTAACTTAATTATTAGGATGCAGCTTGGGATTGCTACTTAGATATCTGGGAGCAAGGTCATGGTCACTTGCGTACAATAGAATTTTCAGCTTTTATAATAACTTCAGTACACTTTGACCTATTGATACTTAACTTGGCATGTGTGTAGCTTACATGAAAATACAATCTGGCATTGATACTCGGGTAGCTTGTATATTATTATTTTGAACTATTGAAACCCAACTTTCTGTGTTGGTACAAATAACAGCATCAATTTTACATCACTGCCATATTTCATTCCTAATCCCTGTCACATCAATACTTGGTGGTTAAAAACCTGGTTTTTGTTGCATTGCAGGGCTTCTTGTTCTGATAAAGTCTCCAATGATTAACTGATACAATTGTTATTTTATATGTACATTGTATATACTGTGCATTAACCTCTGTAAAATTGTGGAACTTTATGTCACTTGGATCACATGGTTAAAATATAGTTTTCTACTAAAGTTTACAATGCTTTCATTTGCCCGAGAACAGATGAACAACTAAAAACAACTTTTTACATCCTGGTTTATTTCTGTTAATTTTAACACAAATTAAATTTTTGAACCTCCACAAAACCATCTAGTTAGCAGTCCACTTTTATGTGCCTTATTCAGACAAATTGTGTCTTAAAGGCAGCTGATTAATTAACATCTATTTTTTTTATATTTTTTTACATGTATTGACAAAATGTTTTGTATATTACAAAATCTCTTCCTTTTAGTTTTTACCATTTGTACTAAGTTTTAGTAAAAAATAAAAGGAAGAAAAGAAAAGTCTGTGAAAGATATCATAATTCTAATAGTTTCTTAGTAACAAAATGTAATCTTGTGCTTACTAATATTTAACAAAATGTATATAGATGTGTGTTTACAGGAGTAGGATTCTCTTTCTTCTATTGTAAAGTTCAATAATAACTAAAGGATAGTCAGATGTTTAGAGTAAGACCTCTTCTATAAATACTCATACAAGTACTGTAAAATCAGAAACTTTCATTAGAATAAATGTTCACTAAGTATCATATAAAAATAACAAAACTGAAAATAGAAATTCATGCCAATTAGTTTGAAATATGGATTGATTGGCAATAAACATGTATCTGCTTTTACAGTACTTTGATGTTCCTCCTTTTCATATTTCTATACAGTGCTTCTTATATAGCATGTTTCCCCTTTCATATTTCTCCTAGTGTTTTTTAGGCATATTTTAGATGTCAGAAAGTAGATCTAAAAATTGAAGATGGACTAACTTCTGATCATAAATCAACAAATTTATGATGTTAGTGCTATTGTACGGCATGAAAAAAAATCTTGACTTTTGTTTCTTAAATGAATGAATGTTGTAAATGACTTTTAATGCAGATTTTTAGCTCGACTATACGAAGTATATGGAGAGCTGTCCTACTCGCCCAGGCGTCGGCGTCGGCGTCCGCGTCCGCGTCCAGATTTTAGATTAAAGTTTTGGTGCAGTAAAATATTTTTCACTATAACTTTGTCATTTCTTAAGGTATCAACTTCAAACTTCAAATATATGTTTCTTATCATCAACCACATCTTATGTGACAAGGTTCATAACTCTAGCACCAATATTTCCAGATTTATCTCCCCTTGAACTTAGAATTTTCCTTAAAAAATACTTTTTTTTACTGTTACTTCTTTATTTCTTAAGGGATCAACCTCATACTTCAAATATATGTACCTTATCATCATCCCCATCTTATGTGACAAGGTTCATAACTCTACCACCAATATTTTCAGATTTATCTCCCCCTGAACTTAGAATTTTCCTCAAAAAATACTATTTCTTACTGTTTCTTCTTTATTTCTTAAGGGATCAACCTCATACTTCAAATATATTTACGTTATCATCATCCCCATCTTATGTGACAAGGTTTATAACTCTAGCACCAATATTTTCAGATTTATCTCCCCCTGAACTTAGAATTTTCCTCAAAAAATACTATTTCTTACTGTTTCTTCTTTATTTCTTAAGGGATCAACCTCATACTTCAAATATATTTACGTTATCATCATCCCCATCTTATGTGACAAGGTTCATAACTCTAGCACCAATATTTTCAGATTTATCTCCCCTTGAACTTAGAATTTTCCATAAAAAATATTATTTTTTACTGTTACTTATTTATTTCTAAAGGGATCAACTTCATACTTCAAATATATTTACGTTATCATCATCCACATCTTATTTGACAAGGTTCATAACTCTAGCACCAATATTGCAAGAATGATCTCTCCATAAAGTTAGATTGTTTTACTAGAAAAATGTTATTTTTTATTATAACTTTTTTATTTTTAAAGGTATCTACCTCAAATTTCAAATACTTATTCCTTATCATTAATTACTTTTTATGTGACAATGTTCATAACTCTTGATGCAATATTTACAGATTTATCTCTCTTTGAACTTAGGATTTTCTTTAAGAAATATAATAACTTCTTTACTTTTTTAAGGTATCTACTTCAAACTTCAAATATATATTTCTTATCATTACACAAATGTTGTGTGACAAGGTCCATAACTCTAGCATGACTATTTTAGAATTATTCCCCTTGATCTTGGAATTAATGTTAACAAATGTTATTTTTTTACTATAACTTAATACATAATTATACATAATGGATTTTTCTTTCATAGTTTTGTCCTCCTTACTGCGTCCAGTATTTTATTAGTCGAGCTTCGCTGTCTCCTGTGACAGCTCTTGTTTATTTCATCATTACACAAACAAATGTTGTAAAAATATTGAACTGCATGTGACTTGAAATATTTATAATGATTTTAATAAAATTCATTTATAAATAAATACTACATTGAAATGTAATTCATTAGAAATTTTGATAGGCATAGGAACAAGGTTGGATTCTCAGTGATAAATAAATCTGTATTTGTTAACTATTTCAATATTTCATCTTTTTTCTAGGACAAATTCAAAGTCATTTGATAAATCGCCTTTTGATTGTCATGCCTCTGAAGTTTGCCATATAGTTTTTGAATTGTCTGTCTGCTTTTGGCAGGTCCATAACTTTGAATCATTTGAAATGATTTTACATATTAGTGCAGCACATTGAGACACATACAAGACCAATGTCTGTATGCAAAAGGTCAAGGTCACACTCTGACTTATAAAAGCACATTGTCTTGTGAACAGTTCATCATTCCTGGATGGAAATTATAATAACTATAAATGTGACATGATGACCATGGTCAATATGTCATGAGTTAAAGTCATGGCAAATTAATCTGAAATCATGATTTCATGATTTTTCTAGTGAAAATATCTGATTTTACACTATAATGATTAATATGGGGTTACAAATTCAGAAAATAGTTTTATAATAACATACTTTTTTAATAATTTTTCAGAATGATATGTCACAGATGCTACAGTTTTCAGTTATTGCAAATGAGAAAGGATTAGATGCTCAAAATTTCCAATGTAAAGGCTGCTCACGTGCCATTGGCTTCAGTAGGTGGTTTTTATATGGGAACCTCTTTGTCCTGGTCAGCCACAATGGTTGTTCTTCAATATCTTTTAAACCAGTAAAGTTTTAATTTGAAACTGTCCCCACTAGAAAATGTATGAAGTGTCAAAGAATGCTCAGTTAGTTTCATAGCTCTTCAATTCATTTTTACATAGTTATTCCCCTTTCTAGCTCACCTCAGCACAAAGTGCAAAGACGTGAGCTTTTTTTGTGGAGGAGCTAAAAAGTATTTAGGAATGAAATCTTTAATAAATTTCCTTCTCAGAAACTACAATGCCTAGAGCTTAAATATTTGTCATGTGACATCACCCTGTGGTCGTCTACAAATGTTATATCAATCATGCTCCTGATGTCATGATTGGCTTGCCTCTTGGGTCACTTAAGACTTAAAAAGAAAAAATACATTTAAGTTTTTCTATTGTGAAGCTGCGATGCCCACAGCTTAGATATTTGGCAAGGGAAACACCAAAAATGGTCGAAACGGTCATGGTCGAAATGGCCTCTCAAGACAAAGCATGGGAAAAGTCAAATTTATTTATGATATCTTCACCTCTAAAACTGTTATAAATCATGCTTCTGGAGTCAAAATCGATCCTGCCACTGGGGTCACATAATTTTGATAGGGAAACACATTTAAATATTTTTGTGGATAACTACATACTAGAAAAGCCCAGAGCATAGTTATTTTGAATATAAGCATTACTTAGTGGACATTAACATAAGATATAGTTATATCATGCCCCTGAGGTCAAAAATTGCACTGTCTTTGGGGGTTGGGTCACATAGATTTTTTTTATATACTTGCACTTAAAAATCTTTTTCTCAGAAATTCTAATGCACAGAGCAAAAATATTTTGGCATGTACTATCACTTTGTGATCCACTACTAAAATCAAATAAGACACCCGTCTGACGTTAAAATTGGACCTGCCCAAGAGGTAACTTTGTCTATGTATATATTATAGCTTAGATTTTTGGCATGTATCGTCACCTTGTGGTCTTCTACAAAAGTGACAAATATGATGCCCCATGGGTCAAAAAAGTTCCAGCCTTGGTGTCACTAGGGTCTTTCAAATAGAATGGTCTTGAAACGCGCTATGTTAACCTTTCTCGCTACAATTAAACATGTCTCGGTATAACTCGGTATAGTTTGCTATAAGCAAATTATGTAAGTGCTCAGAAAAGGGCGAAAATAAAATACAAGAGCAAAAATAAAAATTCTATAAACATGATGTTCTTAAAAATTTTAAAACTTGTGAAAAAAGATAAATATTTTAGAAAATAAGTTTTTAAAAGCCATGATCTGTAAAAAACATAGATTGCTTGTTCAGAATATTTGCGGACAAACGGCGCCATTTTGAAAATGCACCAAATTAAACATCAGATATTTTTTAATAACATTGTGAAATATTATAAAATCTTTACATGATTAAAATAACATTTTTTTCTCTGTAAAATCGATTTCTATTCTGTCATTGAACAATGCATAAATTTTAAAAAGGACCTATTTTCAAATATGAGCAGTAGATTTTTACCTTGACACAGGGAATGAAAAATTCCTAATTCATTGCAAATCTTTGAAATGTTACTTTGTAAAGGGACTCCACTGAGGTGTAAAAGCCTGAAAACATAACATTTGAATTTCTTACATAAAGTAGCTTGGGCACTTTAAACAGAAATATATGCAATGATAGTTAAGAAATATGCTTTGAAATAAATTGAAAATCGTATTTTTATGCTTTTCTTAGCCCGATTTGTGTGAAAAGCGTTTAGACGCTTTTCATTTTGGGTCATTTTGTTACAATTTGAATAATTATTCTGGAAAAACGAAGTGGGCGAATGATCTGAAATGTTGCACAAAGATTAGTGGTCTAAACCTTCATCAAATGGTACATTTATCTGGAAAAAATATTTTCAGTCCCATCATGTCAAAAAACCTCAGTGAAACCCTTTAAAGTAAAAACTGATAATGTAATGTAGCCCGAGGATTAGTTTCTGTAATTTTTAAACCAATTTAACAAAATATTATCTTATTGTTTGATTTTTGAATGGTGATGTACTGTGCCAGATCACGGTTGGTAAATAACCTAATCATGTGACTCAGCCAAGACATCATTTTTGGTAAAATTGGTCCGACTCGAGAACATTCTTTTTGAAAGATCCTGGTGTCACTCTTACAAGTAAAACACATGTAAGTTTTCTTTTAAAAAAACTACAATGCCCAAACTTTTATTTTTATTATTTTGGAAGCAAGTAGTATGTAGGTTTGATTAATCACTTGACATGTATAAAAATTTTATTACTGTTATTTCAGTGTTTAGGAAGCAGTGTGTATATAAGTTTGATTTGCTATATTACTGTTCTTTTTTCAGAATTTGAGAAGCAGTATAATAGTATATGGTTATTTTGTTGTTTCAGTATTTGGGAAGCCTCGTGTTTGTAAATTTGATGGATGTTATTACTGCTATGAATGTCATGAGAATGAAGAGTACTACATTCCTACAAGGATTGTTCACAACTGGGACTTCAGAAAACATAAAGGTTTCTATATTGGACCAGGGTTTTCTTTAAAAGGAAATACTGGTTATTAGATTGGTGAACACTTTATTCTGTACACATAAGGTTTTCAGCCTAATTTTCAAAGAAGTATTGTCACAAAGTGTTCTGAGGCATTTTGACAAAGTTATGTTATTTGAGTTAGCAGTTTTGTGTCTGTTCTTTATCATTTGAACTGATTGATGGAAATTGAAAATACTTGGCAGAAATGTTAACCATAATTAATGAGGTGATGTGCCGAGCGCAGGTTTGACCTTCCTCAAGTCAAGGTCATACTGTATTTATTTCAAAATTTTGTGTTCGCTCTGGTTCTTTTAAAGTTTTTTTTAAACCAATTGTAGGAATTTAAAAGTTTTTTGCAGAAATATTAATATTACTGAGGTGATGTCCAAAACGCAGGTTTGGGCTTTCTTGGGTCAAGGTCACAATCATTTTGTATTAATTTCGAAATTCCGTATCTGCTCTGTATCTTTTAAACTGAAAGTAGGAAATTAAAACTATTTTGCAGACATATCAATATAATTGAGATGATGTGCAGAGCGCAGGTTTAGGCTTAGTTGGTCAAGTTCAAAATCCTTATATAAGTATATAAGTGTATATATTACAAAGGGAGATTACAGTGAATTAATTTACCAGTATATTTTCTTCCCATATTATTAGTATGTTACCTCCCTTTATTTTCCAGCATTGTGTTTTTTATCAAACTTTATATTATTAGACTTAATTATTGAGGAGATTTTTCCTGTATAATTATGATAAAGATGTTTTGAAATAAGACAGTGTTATTTATAAAAACTGATGAGACTTAAAATATATATATTCACTATATTACAAGTAGTTCTAAATGATGCTTATAAAATATCAAATTTGGACTTGAATGGAGATGTCTGGAGTACCTGCAGTTGTTAATGTTGACAATGCTACCTGTCTTTAATGATGTCTTTCATATTTAATGAGTAGATGCCATGTGTAGTATACTTAGAAGTTAAGATGGAGTTTTGGGTCCTGGATGTCAGGGACATCAGTGCTTAAAATAGATTTTTACTATTTTGCTTATACAGCCTTTATTTATTGACCGATTTTATATGAATGTTAGTCCTCTTTATGTAGGGTTGATTTAGGTCACTGGAACGGAAGTCAAGGTCACTGGCATTTAAAGGTTGTACAGAGCCATTAATTATTGACAGATCTCTTCCATATTTGGTAGGAAGCATCGTACAATATAAACTTGAATATAGGGTTAAATATAGGGTTTCTACCAGAATTTTTACATTAAAAAATAATACTTTGCAGTTGCCAAGAAAAATCTGAAGTTTTTGACTGACAAAGAGGAACAACCTTTGCTGAATATTGAGGAGATAAATCCTAGACTGTATGAACATGTTCCTGAAATGCAGGAAATTAAGGTAAGATATTACTGTGAAAAAATGAAAATGAAGCCATTAAATTATTAAAACAGAATTTACCATTATCTGTTTGTTGGAGGAGGTAAGGAGTCAGTTTGTTTGTTTGTCTGTCGGTTTATGGTTTCCGAATGATTACAAGGGTTAGGATTTAGATGGCTTGAAAGCTTCTGTGGTGACCCTTTTTAGGGTCAATGTCACTGTTTCTAAAAATAGAGAAATGATTTTTGGTCAGTAACAAGATTTAGGAATGAGGTATTGTAATCAAACTTGGTGTATATCAAGCTTGTTGCTATGGACAGATTTTATTGTAAAATTTACAAAGTTATATAAGATGAAACTTAATGATTTATGATTTCAGAGTTTACGACTGCAGTTGATGTTATTCAGGACGTATTTATTTACATGTAAACAATCTGTGGCAGAGGATCTACGTAAACTTGTATGGCCTAGGGATTATCTGTATGAAAACTCAGAAATATATTCTTTAGCTGTAAGTATATTGTTGTTGTTTTTTTATCTGTTGTATAGGTTTTAAGCCTACAAACTCTGTTGTGTGATTTAACTTATGCAAACTCTCCAGGATGATTGCCTGTTTTGTAGATTACAAAGAGTCATTGACTACTAGTATTGATTTAAAAAAAAAATGAACCTACATTGTATTCCCAAGAATATAAGGAATAGATTTCAAAATTTCACAATACGATAGTTTTGATTACATCTTGAACTTATTTGCTATGTATAAGAGATATGTGTATTCTTACCAGGTGAATTATAACTAAAGAAAAACATTGTTTGTTGTTCATAAATAGATGTCATTTAAAATTAGTTGAAATTTACGTTTTTCACATTTTTCATGTAAATAGTCAATGCAAGAAGAATGACCATAAGGCACTGTAAGGAAACCTTTAATAAAAAAAGTTTGATTCATTGAAGAGTAGAAAAGCTATCATACTTATTGTTAGCGTGCATGTTCAAGATATTTATTTGAAACTTTACAAATTGTTTGGCAATTAATAATATAGGGTAAATATCCTGGACCGAAATTCAATCATTGATTTTTAGCACATTGTGATTAGCTTTTGTTTTTATGTCACAAATGTTTTGAAAATTGGTTAGTAAGGTTGTTATGTAGATTTTCTAGCTCAACCTTGAGTATGGGTCATTTTAAGCCATAGAGCCCAAATATAGAAAAACCTTATTATTGCTACTTATGTAATATTTTTAGCCCAAATATCCTGGAAATTTGTCAGTAAGGTTGTTTAGATGATTTCTAGCTCAAGTTAAAATATTGGTCATCTGGGGTCAAAAACTAGGTCACACAGCACAACTTAACTTTGTTTACATTTGCACTATTTCAGATGCTGATATGAACTGTCTTTATTTATTCACTGATGTGCATTGAAATACAACAAATGTGTGTTACAGGGGAGCATCGATATTTCTTGTTTGATAACTCAATTTGTTACGTTTTATCTATAGTTCACGTAATAGTCCTTCAGTATAACATTTTCTTGTTTCAGGATTTACTACAAGTTCCTACTGGTTCTTTGGCTAGTAGCTTACGTAAAGTCATAAAGTTTGCTTCTAAACATGTATATGGATGTAGACTATGTAGTCAAAAAGGATTCATTTGTGAATTATGCAATAACCCAAAAGTTATCTATGCTTTTGAAGTAGATGCCACATACAGGGTAAGTTACAATTCTGTTAATAATTTTGTATGATATACAATCAAAATATAAAGGATCATTGTGAGTATTGTCTGTTTAAAAAAAAATACAAGCATCATTGTACTTAGATGACCTAATTGTGGTAATGATCTCCAAAAACTACTGTATATTTGATGTAATGGTATACAGGAATTACTGTAGATGACCTAATTGTGGTAATGATCTCCAAAAACTACTGTATATTTGATGTAATGGTATACAGGAATTACTGTAGATGACCTAATTGTGGTAATGATCTCAAGAAACTACTGTATATTTGATGTAATGGTATACAGGAATTACTGTAGATGACCTAATTGTGGTAATGATCTTAAGAAACTACTGTATATTTGATGTAATGGTATACAGGAATTACTGTAGATGACCTAATTGTGGTAATGATCTTAAGAAACTACTGTATATTTGATGTAATGGTATACAGGAATTACTGTAGATGACCTAATTGTGGTAATGATCTTAAGAAACTACTGTATATTTGATGTAATGGTATACTGTAGATGATTTAATTGTGGTAATGGTCTACACGACTGTCTTGTTATGTGTTACATGACATGAATATTATCATACTATATATATATCAATATATATATACAGTCTCCAGTACTGTTCTTAGGTACTGGTCTCATGGCTTATTAATGTATTGAAGTTTTATTTGTTATTCCTCAACTATAAGGGGTAGGGGGGAGTCATTTAGAATTTGCTTTGTCTGTCAGTCTATCCTGCTGTATGTCAGTAAACTGACAAAACAGTTGAATGTGGGGGCATCCTTGTCCTATGGACACATTTCTAGTAAACCTTAGCCGATGGAATCAGGAGGGGGATATTGTTTTGGCATTGTACGTCCTTCTGTCCCTCCGTCGGAATTTCGTTTCCGCGCTACTTTCTGCAACTACTGGCGGGAATTCACTGACACTGTATCATGGGAACCATTAGTATCAAGAGGAGATGTGATATCGTCACCATGTTCGGGTCAGACCCTTTAAGTCAGAGTTATGGCCCTTGATTAGTTATGCAGTATTCATATAGAGCAATAATCTTTTCTGCGCTACTTCTCTGCAACTACTGGCTTGAATTCAACAAAACTTTATGGGAACCTTCAATATCAATAGGAGATGTGCATATTGTCACTTTGTTTGGGTCAGACCCTTTAACTCAGAGTTATGGGCCTTGATTAGTTATGCAGTATGCATATAGAGCAATAATCGTTTCTGCGCTATTTCTCTGCAAATACTGGCTGGAATTTAATGAAACTTTATCGGAACAATCAATACCAAGGGGAGATGCTCATATTATTGCCTTGTTCCGTTCAGACCCTTATAGAGTTATAGCCCTTGATTAGCAGTTTAGTATGCATATAGAGCAATATTGCTATTTCTTTTCACTGCTGGATTGATTTCAACAAGACATTATGGGAATTATATATACGAAAGGAAATTTGCATGGGGGATATAAATTCAATGAATTTGCTTGTTTATATTTAAGATTTGTTGTTCCTTCCTGTTTGCAAATGATTATTTTGCTGTTGTACAGGGTAATGTTTTAATTTTTTGTTAAACTACAGGTGTATATACTAAATTATTAATTGGTATGGTAAAATGTTAGACACAACTATGCATGTTAGACTATTTTGTCTGTTTTCAGTGTGACCAGTGTAAGACAGTATTCCATAAAGAATGTAAAACTGATAATCGACCATGCCCAAAATGTCAAAGGCGTATGTCACGACAAATCAACAGTGGAAATTCAGACATCATATTGACTCCAGATTATGATTTACAAGCTAACTGAGAATGATTGATTTGTTACATAGTGTAAATAGCTCAATTCCAACTAAGTCTGTGATAAATACTGGTATTACTTATATATGCATGTACCATGTGACCTTTATGTAAGTTTAATAACTAAAAAAGATTAAAAAATACAAATGTATATTATTCAAACTTATTTGATTATTAAGAAATAATGCTAACTTGATGGAATGATTGTCTGGTCATCAGGAGACTGGAGTCATTAAATATGTTACATGTCATAGAATATAGTATATATATATAGGCAGGAATGTTCAACTCACAACAATAGAAAGTACCCGTGGACTAACACATTGAAATAAAGCAATATCTAATAGCGTTCTATAAAGATTATGTTAATCATGCTCCTTTGGTCAAAATTGGCTCACTTATTTTAATTATGATTACTTTAATTTATAGTCTTGTATTGGAAAACATATATAAGTTTTATTTTGGAAACAATAATTCCTAAAGCTGAGATATTTTGTATTTAATTCTACAAATCTGGTATTAATCATGCCCCTGGGGTCAATATTCACCTTTCCCCATGGGTCACTTAATTGAAAGTGTCTTATATGAGAAAACACATAATAATAAGTCTTATTTTGTGAAACTACAATACCTGGCGTTTAAATATTTGTCATGTGGCATTGCCTTGTTGACCTCTACAAAATTGATCATGCCCCTCAAGTCAATATTGACCTATCTCTGGGGGTCATTTGTTTTATACACTGGTAGACTTATATAGGAAAACTTATTCGAGTCTTATGTAAAACCATGCTCGGAGCATACATGTATATATTTAGCATGTAGCATTACCTTGTGAAGCTCTACATAACTGAAATCAATTTTGCCCCTGGGGTCAAGATTCAACCCTGCCCTTGGGCCACCTGATTTATAAAGGCTTATATAGGAAAACACATTTAAGTCTTATTTGTGAGTTATCTTTTATGTGGATAACTACTTTGTCCAGAACTTCTATATTTGGCATATAAAATTGCCTTCTAGACCTCTATATAAGTTTTATGAATCATGCAACTAATATTAAAAGTGCCTCTACCTTGGAGGTCATTTAGTATCATAAGATAAAACACTTTTCAGACAAGTTTCTTGATTGAGTGTCTTCCCTGAACAGAGATTATTTTTGATGAATCGAGCAAATTTACATTGCAGTGTCCTTTGAGAAAAATGCTTTTTAAAATCTTTTGTACTGAAACTACCGGTATAGGATACAGATCTTAAAGTTAAACTTACAGTTGATAGTTTTATAAATCGCTGAAACAGACGCTTTTGGCTTTGATAATTGGTGACATTGTCTAATAAGGCTATTTATTATTTAGAAATAGTCTCCGTCCTTCCGTCCGACATTTTTGTCCGGAGCATATCTCTAAAAGTATTTGAGTTATCAACTCGAAACTTCATAGGTGGATAGACCTCATTGAGGAGGAGTGCAGTGCACAAGAATGATAACTCTACCTTTCATAATTTGTGAGTTATTGCCCTTTGTTATTTTTCATACCTAATTTTTCACCCGAGTGGAGCATAACTCAAAAGTGTTTGAGATGTCAACATGAAAATTTAATGTCATAGGTGGATAGATTTTATTGAGGAGGAATGCTGTGCACAAGAATGATAACTCTTCCCTGTACAATTTTTGAGTTATTGCCCTTTGTTCTTTTTCATACTATTTTGTCCGGAGCTTATCTCAAAAAGTATTTGAGGTATCAACTTGAAACTTCATAGGTGGATGGATCTCATTGAGGAAGAGTGCAGTGCACAAGAACGATAACTCTACCCTGCATAATTGTTAAGTTATTGCCCTTCTTTTATTTTTCAAAATTAATTTTTGTCCAGAGCATAACTCAAAAGGCCTTTGAGATATCATTATGAAACTTCATAGGTGCATAGATCTCACTCAGGAGGTGTGCAGTGCACAAGAATGATAACTCTACCTTTTATAATTTTTGAGTTATTGCCCTTTGTTATTTTTCATACTTAATTTTTCAATTCAATTTTTTTCTCAAAAAGAATTTGAGGTATCAACTTGAAACTTCATAGGTGGATAGATTTTACTGAGGAGGGATGCAGCACACAAGAATGATAACCTACCCTGCATTATTTTTCAGTTATTGCCCTTTGTTATTTTCAGCCATCAGTATTCACAAAGGTTTCAAATCTGTAATCACTATAGCCATCAGTTTTCATTACCAAAAGACCCTTAAAATGGAATTATTCTGCTCTACTACATATACATTCTTCCAATGAGCAAACACATTCGGCGGGGGATGGCCATGTTGACATGGCTCTTGTTGTATTTTATTTTAGCAAACCCACAATGTCTTTATACATGTAGTATATTATTGAAATACTTTATTGCTGATTATGTGTTATATTCATAAATTTATATGAGGAATTTTTTGAAGACTATATTTGTGTACATAATTTTGATTATTATGATGTGATACAGTCATTTTCAATGCAAGAAAGATATTGATATAGTCTTCTCCACCAGTATACAGTCAAGCCAGCCTACATTCCTACAGTCTGACCAGGTGATATACTGTTGTGTGAGCAAATCGTAACATGCCAACAATTGTAAATGTAGAATCAAAAATAAAAGGTGTGCAAGCCCATTTAAAGAACTCGACAGGTTAAAGATTTTGATAATTGCATTGATTAAAATTAATGTAACTTGTATATTCATGTAGCAGTTGATAAATAAAGTTATTGTTAAATTTTTTATATTTACTCTGTTACTTTATTACACAAGAAAACTATATTTGTGTTTTTGCCTGGAGCCAGGCCAATTCAAAATACATCTCAACTCTGCCTTAAGAGTAAACAGGCCAACACTCGTACAAAAGGTTTGTTACAATATAAATAGTTTCAATCTGATGCATTTATAAGATTACCACAGTTGGTGAAATCTCCACTTTTGAAAGAAAATTGGCCCTGTTCGAGTAGATATATAGTATATACATAAAAAATCTTCTTGAAAACTGCACGGGCTATTATGTTAGATATTTAGCATGAAACATAGTCTTTTGGATCTCAACAAAAAATTATTCAAATTATAGCCCTGGTGTCAAATTGGCCCCACCCCTGGGGTACATAGATTTTCCTTATATGTGATTTCTCATAGCAACCATTGACTTTCCATATTAACCATTGACTTCCACAGCAACCATTGACTTTCCAGAGCAACCATAAATTTCTAAAAAAAACTAGTGATTTTCCATAGCAACCAATGACTTTCCATAGCAACCATTGAATTCCATTTATCTTCAGTACAGATGATGATAATGAAGATAAGTACAGATGATGTTCATGAAGGTCAGTACATATGATGATAGTGAAAATCAGTACAGATGATAACAGCTGAAGATCAGTACAGATGATGGTAGTGAATATCAGTACAGATGATGGTAGTGAAGATCAGTACAGATGATGGTAGTGAAGATCAGTACAGATGATGATAGTGAAGGTCAGTACAGATGATGGTAGTGAAGATCAGTACAGATGATGGTAGTGAAGATCAGTACAGATGATGATAGTGAAGATCAGTACAGATGATGGTAGTGAAGGTCAGTACAGATGATGGTAGTGAAGGTCAGTACAGATGATGGTAGTGAAGATCAGTACAGATGATGGTAGTGAAGATCAGTACAGATGATGATAGTGAAGATCAGTACAGATGATAACAGCTAAAGATCAGTACAGATGATAGTTGTGAAGATCAGTAAAGATGATGGTTGTGAAGGTCAGTACAGATGATGGTAGTGAAGATCAGTACAGATGATGATAGTAAAATCAGTACAGATGATAAAAGTGAAGATCCGTACAGATGATGATAGTGAAGGTCAGTACAGATGATGGTAGTGAAGATCAGTACATATGATGGTAGTAAAATCAGTACAGATGATGGTATTGAAGGTCAGTACAGATGATGGTAGTGAAGATCAGTACAGATGATGGTAGTGAAGATCAGTACAGATGATGATAGTGAAAATCAGTACAGATGATAACAGCTAAAGATCAGTACAGATGATAAAAGTGAAGATCCGTACAGATGATGATAGTGAAGGTCAGTACAGATGATGGTAGTGAAGATCAGTACATATGATGGTAGTAAAATCAGTACAGATGATGGTATTGAAGGTCAGTACAGATGATGGTAGTGAAGATCAGTACAGATGATGGTATTGAAGGTCAGTACAGATGATGGTAGTGAAGATCCGTACAGATGATGATAGTGAAGATCTGTACAGATGATGGTAGTGAAGAACAGTACAGATGATGATAGTAAAGATCAGTACAGATGATGGTATTGAAGGTCAGTACAGATGATGGTAGTGAAGGTCAGTACAGATGATGGTAGTGAAGATCAGTACAGATGATGATAGTAAAATCAGAACAGATGATGATAGTAAAGATTAGTACAGATGATGATAGTGAAGGTCAGTACAGATGATGGTAGTGAAGATCAGTACAGATGATGATAGTGAAGGTCAGTACAGATGATGGTAGTGAAGATTAGTATAAATGATGGTCATAAAAATCAGTAAAGATGATGGTAGTGAAGATCAGTACAGATGTTGATAGTAAATGTCAGAACAGATGATGGTTGTGAAGATTAGAACAGATGATGGTAGTGAAGATCAGTACAGATGATGGTAGTGAAGGTCAGTACAGATGATGGTAGTGAAGCACAGTACAAATGATGGTAGTGAATATCAGTACAGATAATGATAGTGATGGTCAGTACAGATGATGGTTGTGAAGGTCAGTACAGATGATGTTTTTGAAGCTTAGTGCAGTTGATGATAATGAAGGTCAGTACAGATGATAATACTAGTAGTAAAGGTCAGTACAGATGATGATATTGAAGATCAGTACAGATGATATTATTGAAGGTCAGTACAGATGATGATAGTGAAGATCAGTACAGATGATGGTAGTGAAGATCAGTTCAGGAGATGGTATTGAAGGTCAGTACAGATGATGGTAGTGAAGGTCAGTACAGATGATGTTTTTGAAGCTTAGTGCAGTTGATGATAATGAAGGTCAGTACAGATGATAATACTAGTAGTAAAGGTCAGTACAGATGATGATATTGAAGATCAGTACAGATGATATTATTGAAGGTCAGTACAGATGATGATAGTGAAGATCAGTACAGATGATGATAGTTAAGATCAGTTCAGGAGATGGTATTGAAGGTCAGTACAGATGACGATTGTAAAATCAGTTCATAGATGTTCGTGAAGATCAATACAGATGATGTCGTGTCAAGTGTAAGCAAGGAAAATGACGTTAGTAATCAGTAACCCCCCCCACCCCCACGTCCAAAAGAAAGAGATTTTTTATGTTATATTTTTTAAGTAGCTATTAGCACTGTCAAATCATCGGACCTTTTGTGGTGTACAGTCATCTTATCGCACCAAAACCCGTCGTACACTTAAATAGTTTAACGACAATGCGTAAATATGTCTTTACACAGTAGTTTTTGATATGCAGCTCAATAATAAATATTTACGTTAGTTGTAAGTAGAAATAGCAACTAACATTCACGATATTGGCTTTAATCTTAAGACTTTGTCACAGACACAAAATCATTTATAATCTATGTTCCTATGATATCACAGGTTCTATGATATCAGGATATTTACATTTTCTGTGACTACTAGTAAAAGCAACACACGATGATGCTAATATTTTAAAAACTGGCAAACTAAATTCATTTTCATCCACCAATAAAATTATTTTTGTGAATATTGAATGTATTCGTGGGAAGAAAACTATTTTATAAAATATTCATATTTGACAACCATTTCCCTTAATTGTTTTTACACAGTCGATTAAAATATGTTATAATCACATAAACTGACATATCATCTGTTCATATAGCTTGAATATTATAGCAAGTTAACTGTTGGAAGTTTTTCACCACTTAACTTGTAGATATTGACCCATCTATCCTTCCATACATGCATTTTTTGGGGATTAACGTGATACCATAGTAACCTTCTCTGAAATTACCCAAAATGGCAGACATTAAAAATAGTTTTAAAAATAACATTTAAATTGGATGTTCAGAAATAAATCTTTGACAGACAGTTTTGGTAATGATCACTTATTAAACAAAAGGAAAATCTCATTCATGTATGATATTTATATTTGAATATTTTTCGGTAAACGGTAAGTACTGTGATAACATAGAACCCCGGGCTACTGCCAATTTACCTTCAATAACTTTTACTTTTGTACCTAAACTTCTTTCATTTCGAGGAAATACATGTAGTTCAGAGCCCCACGTCCTCCACACAAAATTTGCAACTTTGATAGTCAATGACTTTTACATTTTTTTATAAAATATACTTCCTCTGAGTCTAAAATCCGCCATTTATCCGTATCGCACGATTTCACCTCGTTAAAAATATATCGCACCGCTATACGTTCGACCCGCTCTAAAATGAAGGACAAAATGTTACAAAATAATGTCATAATAACTGTCATTATGCCCCCAGAAGTTAGTCGATCACTATAATAAGAGCTATTTTGTTTGACACTAGTGCAAATCAACGGCAGGGGATATCAACTCAACGGCAAGGGATATCAACTCAACTGCATGGCATATCAACTCAACGACAAGGGATATCATTGCAACGGCAGGGTATATCAACTCAACGACAGGGGATACCAACTCAACGGCAGGGGATATCAAATCAACGGCAGGAGTATCAACTCAACAGCGTGGCATGTATCAACCCAACACATACCGATAAAGGTACATGTAGTTGCACCGAAAATGGAAATAGAATTTCAAGATAATGCTCCCATTTTTACTTTCAGTAAATCTGACATTACTAAATGTTGCAATTAAGTACAAAACTATAAAATCCTTAAGTAAATATTATTGTGAAATATTTCAGAAGTGAACAATAAAATCATATGAACTGGCATAGTTTTATTTTTGAAGGAAGTTAAAGATAAGAGACAGCACTGATTAGTCTATTTAGCCTCATTATTCTCTATCTAGATCAGGTTTTATCAGTGAAGGTCTTTTACTCAGGGATGATCATCTCAACCTCAGGGAAAATGGCAGATATCACAGCTTTTATTTTGGTATTTACTGCAGTATTCTCACTTGGAAACAGTCTTCCTGTAGAAAGAGGTATTTTAATTATAAAACATCAATGTGCTTGTGGAAAAAAGCTTTCTGCTCGTATTTAATGTGTTTTTTTATCTTGGAAAGTCTTGTTAAGTACAACAACTTTGTTCATACATTTGTAATTCTGGTCTGCCGGTTTTTACATCAAATTACAATGCCAAGAGCATTCGTCATGAAGCATTTCGTAGCAGGCATCTACAAATATTTAAAAAAAATGCAGCCAAGAGAAAAAAAACCAAATAAACACAATATGACTTCAATACTGGCTTTACCATTTTTTAGTATGAATCTCCGGTTAGTAATCCAGGACCATCATGGCCTGTTGTTTATTTACTGTGATAGAACGGCATCAGATGTTAAAAAACGGCTTACAAAGTTTTGGAAGTCATATCGGTTAAGAAAGCCAAGCCACACCCGAAGTGCGTCTGTATACCTACCAAATCTTAATCACGTGTATTAATGACATCTGGATATATTATGAGATACTTTTTTATTATGAGATAACGTTTCTATATTCTGACATCAAATATATTTTATTTCTGTAGATGTGACACCACCGCCGTCAAGTAGCTTCGTTTGTTCCTCTGTGTACCATGGACAGTGTATAAATACGTACGAGTTTCAATGTATGGGCTTAGCTATTCCAGGGGTGTGTGGAAACACTACATCTGAACATTTCAAGTATGATTGTCACATTCATTCCTGCTAGTTTTCTTAATGTTTACATGTTTACCTAACTAAACCTCAGACGGGCTTGGTGGCTGAATGGCAGTTGCAGTTGATCAATGCGCTAAGAATTCAGAACAATCGAAGTACAGAAGTACATAAATAAAATTGAGGAAGCTATTTCTACTGAATCAAGATATACCAAAGTTATATCTAAGCTAAGCTCCAATCTGGCTCGTATCTTTAAAATATTAATGGAAGTTAAAAATATCGTCATATACATGTATATCTTCATAATAAGTTAAAATGTGATCAAACACAGTTCTTATTTTTGTGAAGATATATATATACACACTATAGAGATAGAGAATAACAGGTTACTGTCTTTTGAGAAAGGGTTTCTCAGACGAGGTTAGATATGGTCCTGGAAGGGGCGAGGCTTGCCGAGCCCCTTCCGGACCATATCTAGCCGAGTCTGAGAAATCCCTTTCTCAAAAGACAGTAAACCTGTTATTCTTTTATCATGCGCTCTTTATATTTATGATTTTGCATCTTATTTTTTTTAATCGGGGCGCTAAATTTCTTAATGTACGGTAGCCCAAGAGGGTTATACGCAAAAGTTAGTCCGAGGGTTTTTAATTACCAATCAAATTTTATAACACCAACACAATTTTTGGTTTTTTAGCAATTTGCTTCAATTTATTTACTCGTGTATTATCAATAATATATCAGCAAAGTCAATTAAACAATACCAAATAAAATGGGGGAAGCTATTTCTCCTGAATCAAGATATATCAAAGTTATATCTAAGTTACCTTCCAAGTTTCAATGTGGCTCGTATCTTTAAAATATAATGGAAGTTAAAAATACGCTATATACTGATATTTTCAAATAAACAATCTTTGTTAAAAAAATGTGTCAAACACATTTCTTTTTGTCAAAAAATTTGTTAATATGTACTTATTAAGTAAGAAAATACTCAATCTTTCCTAAAGTAGGATGGAGATAGAAAATTAACACAAGCATTGAGATCAAGCTAATATTTTACCTTAATCATTTTTATTTTTATAGTTCTATAAGCTTTGGAGCATTGACTGCAATTCAGTGTTGTAATAGTTGGCAAGTTCCTCAAGTTGGCAGTGCTGATGGTGGTAACAGTGGAAATCCCTTTGGTCGTTAGGCAAGTCAGTTTCCTATCATTTATACTTGTGTGTGGGTTTTTTTTAATTTTGTATTTAAAACTATTGAAAACGATATATATATAGGACAGTTCTCTATGTTCCAGTCACATTTCTCTTTACATGTACTTCTGCTAAAGTCCCTTGTGGCGAAGGGGTTCACTTTAATGGTTGGGGTATTAGAATTGCACCCTGCGTGATAGTAAGAGACGGTTAAATGGGTTCGTATTACTGGAGTCTAACAGTCTCTTAGCTCGATCTTGCATGTGCCTGCACGTTGTCTCTTTTTTTCAAAATATAATTTTAATTGATTATATCTGAATAAACATATTAAGATTCCGATATCCGGAGCAATTTATGTCACTTCCGACTGTCCGGAGTAAAATCAGCCATATGGGCTTTAGTCATATAATATTATAATTTATATACATGTAATTGTCAATCTTATACTACATGTATTTCCAATTGTCTGGAATATCTAATGTTCTAATACAGGCATGGTTGTTGAGGTGGTTTTAGTTTGTAACACCAAAGGTTAATCATGATTGTCTCTCCTGTTTCGACGCCATATGACCATATGTTGTGCACCGTAAAATCAAACATAAAAAGAAGATTATGCATTAAAATAATGTTGACTATTTTCCAAAATGACATATAAAAGGCAAACACAAAACAGTTTCATTAGGATCAAGGCGGTAAATACGTTTTGCAGAGAATAATTTGATTTGAAAAGGGACGGTGACACGTGTATCTTGCACATGGAGTTGTCCACAGGGAATCGGTGGCACGAGTGCTATATATCATACAGGGAATCGCGGGACGAGTATGATGTCCTGCACGTTGACTCAGGAAACAAGTAGAACGAGTGCTCTATTTTGCACACGGAATCTGTAGCACGAGTGCTATATCTTACACAGGGAATCGGGGGAAAGTGTTTTTATCTTATACAGGGAATCGCGGGAATAAGTGCGATATTTTGCACATGGAATCGTTGGCATTAGTACCATATCTTATGCAAAGAATCAGGTGAACGAGTGCTAATTGAACAGGAAATCGGGAGGGGAACCAATGCTCTATCTTACACATTGAATCCTGGAACAAGAGTGCTCTATCTTATATAGGGAATGGGGAGAAAAAATGCTATATCTAGAACAAGGAATTAGGAGAATGAGCCCTGTATCTTGCACAGGGAATCAGGAAACTTGTGCAATTTCTTGTGCTATATCTAGTACGGGGAATCGAGTCAGTTTACTGAGGTTTAAGACTTGGGAACACAATATTTACAAAAAAATGAAATACATGATGTTTTAATTTCCAACATGGATTTACCAATATCAAATAAGAGAAACAACCATTCATTCATTCTAACCTTAATTTATGTAATTAAATACATATCTAAAACACTGGTTTGATAAAGGTAACATGTGTTTTCTATTTTCAGTATGTTGGTGCAAGCTGTAACCACTGTTATTAGGTTCTTTTTTTCTTGAGTACAAATAAAATATCCAAATTTCTTTCACTTGTTTTCAAATTTTATTAGAGGTTTGAAAATATTTTATTAGCTCACCTGAGCACAAAGTTCACCTTAGATGTTAGCTTTTGTGATGTCAGTGCGTCCGTCGTCCCTCGTCCGTCATGCGTCTTTCATCGTCCGTCGTTGTTCACATTTTTAAAAACAAAATCTCCCCCCTAAACTACTTATTGAACTTGACGAAACTTTACAAAGTGATACTTAAGTGGTGATACAAAAGTTATATAAATGATTCCAGTCTGGAGCTACAAATAGACTTTATAAACGAGATCTTTAAAAATCTATTGCTCAGAAATCGCAGCGAAAAGAGCCATGATATTTGGCAAGTAGCATCACCTTGAGCTCCTCTACAAAAGTTAAAAAACGCCCCGCCCTAGGGATCACTTAATTTACGCGGGCTTATATAGTAAATACAATCTAGTCTTCTCTTAAAAACTACAATGCCAAGAGCTTAGATATTTACATGTAGCATTGCCTTGTAGAATTCTACAAAAGTAACATGCTCTTGGGGTCAAAAATGGCCCTACCCTGGGGTTACTTATCTAAAATATACTTGAATAGTTAAAATGTCTCAAAATGTTTTTCTCTAAACAAAAATACCAAAAGCTTAGATATTTTGCACGAAAGATGCAGCCCCTTATGCAAATGTTATATAAATCATACCCTTGGGATAAAAATTGGCCTTGCCCGGGTGGTCACTTAGTTTATATAGACTTATAAAGGAAAATACATTCAAGTTTATTTTGTGAAACTTCAACTACAAAGAGTTTAGATATTTCACATGCAGTATGCTTAGTGAACATCTTGAAAAGTTATAGAAGTCCTGTTCTGGGGTCAGCAATGATCCCGCCCTGTGGGTCACTTACATCACAAAGACTTGTATAGTAAATCTTCGTCTCTGAAATTAAGATGCCCTGAGCTTATATATATATTTTGCTTGTAGCATCACCGTATAGTTTTATACAAAAGTAAAATAGATTATAACCCGCGATTCAAAATTGACCTCGCCCAGGGGTCGCTATGTTAATGGGAAATTACAATGTCTAGAGCTTAAATACAGTATTCAGCATTAAGCACTGTCTAGTAGACTTCTTCAAAAGTATTATATAAGTCATGACCCTATCTTGGTAGTCATTTGTTTTACATAGACTTGTAAATTGTCTCAAAACAAACACGCGGAAACCGGGAGGTTTCAAGAAGGTGCTGCTCAAGTAAGAACAAACAAATAATTGTTTCATTGGTGAAATTCATTAAAGAACAAAATATATTCATTAAAAACAACAATTATCTCACGCTGCCATATAAAATGAATAAAAAACACCAACATCTACGAAATCGCAATCTTTTTTCTGACACTAGAAAAACACAGAAAATGTTTATTTTGTGACAATGTGTTTTTGTTTAACAATTTTCATTACACACCAAACTTTGAAATACTAGAAGCAAACATTCCATTTTAAATGATACACTTTGAATTCAGCTAATTGTTTCAGACGATAATTGTATATATTTACAACATGTAGAAGGTGTTTTCTGTCATTTATTTATCATTTCTCTGGCTAGGTTTTGTAGATTGTATGTACGTTCTCGTTGTTGTTGGAAAACCTCTAATGATGTCGCCATGACCGGCTGTCTTGTTACTTTGGCTGACTGTGACTGTCTTTGCTGTTCCCGAACTGCTTCGTCGAGGCGAGCTCCTCTCTGTTTCGGACGACTCATTGACCCATGATTCTTTAATGCTGAGTAGTGAACTGGTGCTTGACCATGTGATTGAAGGAAACGTTTCCGGCTTGCTAGTCGCATCTGGTCTATATCTGATTGTAAAATCTTAGGTTGAGTTTGGTATGGATCATGCATATACAAAGTTCGATCACCTACTAATGGCTTGTTAAACTGACCCCGTATAGAGGACTGACCGAACTTTTTATCACTGTAAGCTGTATTGGAATGTTCGACACTAAGTTTTAATTTTTCGGCAATTTCGTTAGAGAACTCGGGCGGAAGATATCCGCTATAATAATTAACACCGCCCTCTGGTTCTTTAATGCCAGACAATTTAGCTTTAATTGTTGGACTGGGAGACGAATTAACCGGTTCTAAAACGGAACGTCTCATTTCTGCTTCGAATTTATTCTCTTCTTTAGGCTCCACAATTTGCACACGTTTACCTACAGAAGAAACTGTTTTAGCACTGGTGTCTCTTGTAACACTTGCTCTTGAGCGTTGTTGTGAAGAAATATCAGACTTCCGTAATGAATCAGAGCGTGAAATGGCTGGTGTATTCCTGCGCGACAAATCGATGCTTACGTCCGTATAACTGCGACCGAATAGTCCTAAAGGTATCTCTGTAGTAGAATTAGGAAAATCTTCTGAAAACCTTGGATCCTGGTAGTCCGTTTTTGTCACAGAAATCCATGGAGACATATACTGTAGAGTAGGTAAAGTTGCATCAGGCGCTCGAAACTTTAACATAGACGAATGATCACTTCTTCGTAACGGTTTATAATTAAATATGGCACTTCTTGCGGTGTCTGTCACACGAGATTTTCGTTTCATACCCATGTTTGCTGGCGTACGAGATACACGTACAGGCGAGTGTATCCTTGCCATGTAAGGCAACACTGCACATTCGTCATCCGCAACTGTATCTGACAACGTGTATGTGGTATAAAACTTGTTTCCGTAAGGTCCCGGTTGGTCTGGGGGAACGTTGATGGACGATCTTATCTCGACTCCCGAGGTCATAGTGCACTATATATCCTTCAAGTTAATTATTACCACCTTGTATTACACCAGTCTTATCTTACAGAACATTTAATCTATTTTGTGTACTTATTCACAGTGTTTCACTTCATTTTTCACTTTTTCACAAGTATTGACAGGCTATACGATAATGTTCAGTGTTTATAAAGTGTTTCGTCTACAAATACCTTGTTTCCTTTGGTTAGTCTCCAGACTATTGATAAGATTTATTTAAATTGTTATCGTGCAAAGTAAGTAATAATAACTTAGTCAAAAAACAACATAATAAATACAACTCTGCAGTTATACTCCTTATTAATAGATTCATATTTTTATTATGTATCAGTTAAGACATTTATCGACACGTCGATCCAAGTGTTCCACGGTGAATGTTACAACTTTCTATATTTGATGTCCTCGATCTCCTATAATTTACATACATGTAAGTGTTACTTCAATAAAACAAATTGTCCAATTATTCCGAATTCTATTCACAATACGTATATAGAGTTTTATTATTAACAATGCGTGTCCTTAGTCTGTCAATCTCGTGGTATAACTAAATCCTTTCAAGTAAGTTATTTCAAGGTGGGTTTAACGGTAATAGTCATTATACAATATGATTAAATGCGCTTAAACTCAAACTTTAATCTCTTTAATTGTTTAAACTCAGACAGAAAATGAAAATCTTTGTTACGGAACTATGATCGCTTTTTGTATAACAATGCAGCCAGATACATACATTAATTGGTTTATGCTCTATTAAAGTTTCTTTTACATGGAGCGAGAGGTTCATTAACTTTTATTTGTTTAATGTTTACTTTCGTTGTCAATATTTAAATATTTGTAATTTTGTTAAAATAAACTACCATAATTAAGTTTGTGCTAACTAAATGAATGTCAGCTCTAATATCATTATCTAAACATTTATATCTTGCTTAATCAGTGTTTGCGAAGGAGAAGTCAGCCTAAGTGGATTCGAGCCTAATGGACTCACGTATAATTATATTTCTTTATATGACACCATTTAAGCTTCACAAAACATATTAAGGGTAAGGATGTGAAAGTGTTAGAGTTAAAATATTTTAGAGTTATGGTAAAGATATGGTAGTGTTAGAGTTAAGATATTTTAGTGCAAGGGTAAGGTTTTGATACTGTTAGAATTAAGATGTTTTAGTGTTAGGTTAGGCATATGATAGTGTTAGAGTTAAAATATTTTAGTGTAAGGGTAAGAGGCCAGCAAATCGTTTTTAAAAGCAATAAATTAACTCAGCACGCTTGGAGTTTTACTGAACAGCGACAGATACACGATATTCTAGTGATCAATATCACAACAGTAGCCCTGTCCAGCTCAAAGCTATAGACTATGTTTTACCATTTTGTCCTCGAGTGAGCGCTTTGAGCCAACCTCCTGACCACCTAGTCGTATTATTTTAGGAGCTAAACCAAAGCATTGGTCAGTCCTTAAAAGAACCTTATAATTACATCTTTAATTCAGCCATCGTGACTCTTTCAGCTTGAGTGATGTATGCTAGTGTAAAGTGGTAATTGTAGTTATTGTTCTTTTTCTTCTTATATATTTAAAACTCCGTTCATAACTTTGATAATTAGAGATTATAACATAGAAAATATTTAAACTCTTTTTATAAACGTAAGATAAGTACACATTTCATGTTATTACATAAAGTTATACATGTCAATTTAAGCATTAAAACATAAAAATTGAAAATTTTACAAATATCAAGTGAAGCACTTAAAATGGAAAAATCTACAAAGGATATCATAGAAATATACTGATAATAAAATTAAAAATTGATTAACTTTGCAAGTCTTAGCCAAATTTAAGTGGAAAGCGTTTCAACGCTTACTCCGGTTATCTTCACAATAAAAATGATTATTCAGAAAAACGGGGTGACGAAATGAGCTTAAAATTTGAACACAGATTACTGGCCAAAATCAATGGGTACACAAATCTCGGTAAAATATTTCAGTCCCGTCATGTCAATAAACCTCAGTTGAGTCCCTTTAACCACACAGTAAGAAGTTCTTAAATGGTCTTTTCTCATTAACATATACATTCGTTTTGTATTACCATTTTCAGTTGTCATTTTATATTAGAACCTGCTTAATGTTGTAAACAGCACGTCGTCATCACACACATTTAAACATTACAAGTAAATCCTTCAGTTTCTATGTCCTTATTACCATCACTTTATTTTGCTAAGGGCTTCATTTAGTGCCCGCAGGACGAGGTTGACATTATCTTCGGTGCAGTTGTAACCCATAAGCCCAATTCGCCAAATCTTCCCAGCTTGAGCCCCGAGTCCTCCAGATATTTCTACACGAAAACTGAAATATGAAAGATGGACAACGTATATTTCATTTGTATGGTAGTTAAATATAAAGAACGGTCTATCATGGTACGTTATTTGGTACATTATTAAATACTCTTGTAAGTCTAAACCATGACTCGTCCATGTAAGTTTTGGCCGATTTGCTTTTAATTAAAGAGTTGTGGGGTGCCCGAGTGGTTAACGCGTCGGACTAGTAATATAAGGATTGCTGGCTGCGTGGGTTTAAACCTCGTAAGGGCAAGGTCGTTGATTGTTTCCGTGAACAAGAAACTTCACACTCATTGCTTAGTACTGGTTGGTTTCAGGAACGGATTCGAGAGTGTTTCAATAAGCTTATAGCTTTCAACACAATCAAACTAAAATAAATTTTAACTTAAGAGTTTGGCTTATTTATTTATTGTCATGATTATAGAATATGATTTATTAGTTATATAAAGAACACTCAATAGATCGATCTCAGTTTGCAGTAAAAGTTCTATACGTGTCAGTATACATCTTGCTGGCATTTTAACATGGGTAATGTATTATACTGATTCAAAGAATGAATCACTTTCATATAGGTCCATCATAGAACCAAACTTACATACGAAGTGAAAAATTTAGGGACATTGTTAATTTGCTAATCTATTTCGAACAGTACCCAGTTTTATGACATATAATATTGATAACTTTAATAACGCATCATTCATCATGCCAAAACTTACGCTGTACATTGTAAAACATACTAGTACATTAATAAACTAACGAAGTAAGTAAACTTTAGATTACTGTTTCATAGCGTAGTCAGACACATCCTTCCAGTTGACGCCGTCAGGAACAATAACCCCTGTTACACAAGGTAATCGTGACGACTGCAACATATCAATATTGTCAAACAATTTCTTTCAATATTTCTGGTTTCTGCAAATACGTTTTTCTGGACGCATATTGTGATTCATGGCAACCGTCAATTTTAATGTTAACAACAATTTCTACTCTCAAATTACATGATTAAAACCTACAATTTTTGATACTTGACACCTTACTTGACAACAACATTTTAATTCTTGCTACAAGTTTGCACTTTGCCAATAATGAATATTCTATATCTTAAGTAATTTGTTGCTTTAAGAAAAGTTCGCCAAGATTTCCATAATTTTTCACAAGCCACGATTTCTCTGTGCTTATTAATCACTCTTAGTAGCAGAAATGAGTGTTCTTCCCTTTATTTGATTGTTCTAATAATTCCTAGTTAAGAGCTTGAGTTCGTCTTTATTTGCTTTTTAATAGACATTTGAAAATAATGAAGATTACCTTATCCTTGACAAAGAGTTTTAAACCAAGAGCCTCTAATCCATTGTGCAGTTGTTGAACACATTTGGAATGCTTTTCCCAACTGTTCTCTAATCCCTGCCGACAAAGTCAGTAAAAACGAGTAAGTTATATACATTGTGACTAACATCAATAGATCAATTCTGAGAAATATGTCTAACATAGTATTGTATATTCATTCGTGTATCATTCAAAAGTTCGATCATGGTATTATTAGCAAATGTAACGAGATAGACTAGCTAATCCTATATAAATTACGTGAATGATATGACATTGAACTGTATGTAAGTCTAAATAAACATTTGTTCTGTTTTTTCTCTCAGTTGATCTAAAGTTACACAAGTTATTTTTAAATGACTATTTAAGACAAACATTTCACCTGCTCAGCAAGCATTGAAAGGCCTTCACGTATCGCGTATACACTGCTGATAGGTCCCGTATGATGATATCTGTACATAATATAAATAACTCTCATATAGCCGTGAAAATACAAGTATGTCTAGATAATTAAACACAATTCTATGTAATATGTGAAGTATCAATAATAAACGTGTTTTATCAATAATGTTTTATTGTATTAGTAAGAATACGGCCGTGGAGAATATCACATTAGCCAGGTCCATAGACTTGACATAGATATTCACCTTATTATACACCAGAAAATATGATCACACTTTATTTAATATCGTATCATTTTCAACATATATAACGATATCCACAGACTAATAAACATTTTTGTTAGCTAACTTGTACCAAAAACTTATACATCACTAAATTGAATATATTCATCGATAAATAAATACCTAAAGATATTATAATGGACGAAAGGTTCGTTAAATTTTATCCTGATGAATTATTAGTTTCTGTTATAATTTAATAAGTTACCTTCTAGGCCCGGCATCACATCCCCAATAATTGGATAAATGGTACATGTCGAAATAATATGAACGGATTTTTGTATTACGGTTTTCAATTTTCTGCCTATATAAAAATCACAATAATTAATGCATCTATATAAAATGGTCAGCTGTAGGATAAATGATGTCACTGAAGGCCAGTATGTGGTAGCATTGCCTCGTCAAAGAATATATATACAGACAAGTTTTGATGTTGCTAATAAAATCACTCGCTATTAAGAGTGTGTAAAATAAACTTTTATATAAAGAGAAATATACATTTGTTTATTTATATTTATTCTCTTACTTACATTAGAATATAGTGTTGGTATAAAAGCTAATTTTTCGTGAAAGACAACAGAATTGTGTATAGATTGATAATTAGTGCATAAATTACCTTGCTAGATCAGAAAATGATATGGGGCTTGCTCCTGGTGGTGCACTTAGTACTTTCTGTGCTCCACTATACATAATGTCTATTCCTAGAGAATAAACAAAAAATAACAATATCAGTTATAATAGTATCAGGTATAGCAGATAATGTAGCGGACAAGTAAACGTAGTTTAGGCAACAGTACGAACATTGCAAAATTATGAAAGATCAGATGTTGCAACAAAGATTGACTAAAATGATATTTTCGTGGACTATGTAATTATAATTGAGATGCTACTTTAAACAGTATTAAAAGCATTAAACCATCTTAGAAAAAATAACAGATAATGAATGTGTAAATACCTAGGAAAAACTTCGTTCCCGACCCGTGTTTCTATACTAAACAGATATTAGAATCAGAAGATATTCAAGCATTAAGATTAAACAAAAAATACGAAAATATTACCCCATTTATCCATGAACAGCGGAACACCGCCCATAGCTGCCACTGAATCAACAACGAGAATGCATTTATATCTGAAGACAAAAAAACGAGAATCTTGACTGAACATTTCCAGATTTAACACGGTTATATTTTTCTTGTAATAAAGTCAGCTAATGGAAACAGTCGCACCCAATTCAACTACCACCTCCCCGGCACCGGCTTTTTTCTCATGAATTAAAGTACATATCAATGTTAAAGAACGTTTACCGACACTATGAGAGAGAGTACGTGTAATAACTAACCTATGACATAAGTCACCGATACCTTCTAAAGGTTGTACCGTCGTGCCACTAGATTCCCCGTGCGTTATAAACATGATCGACGGTCTGTGTTCTTTTAAACCCTGAAAAAAGAGATGAATCGGACATTATAATCCATTTTCATGTCTTTTCATTTATTCACTTGATAAACATTGTTTGCTTTACACATATTAAATCTGTTGTATAAGCAAGTTTTGTTTCGCGGAAGAAATAACAAGTTTTGTTCTGTTATAAAAGGTGAGATTTTGCAAATGAAATGTTTTTCCCCGTACAATTTACTTTCAAAAATATTTTAAAATGGTTTGTTAGCTGCGTATATTACCAATAGCCTCTTAATCATTATTTGACACAAGTATGAACAATGTTAGTTAAATATTGCATTGTACTTAGATTATCATAACATCTGCCTCACCGTACTTTTTCTATTTCTTCGAGCGTGAACACAGTGCCCATTGGAATGTCAATAGTTGAAACGTTACCTTCTGCAACAGACATACGATATATATTATATATGCTCGCAGTTCCTATTTTCATATCATAACATCATAAATACATATCTAATGATTAGAAACAATCACCAAGTTAGTGGACATTCTATGTCAATATAATTATACAACATGTACACTATATGAAATGAACAAAGCCAATGCACAAATATGCGCACGTACGCACGCACAAATATAGACTTAGTTATCCTTTTACTAATGTAAAGAGTGTCTGATTTATAATTTAAGAACTCCCTTTGTGAATACTAACCGTGTCTTTGGACCATATCTGCGAACCGTTCCCCCCATAAACCATTGACACAAACAAGTACCTTATCTCCCGGCTCAACAACGTTACAAACAGCACATTCCATTGCAGCATGACCTAAATAAGACGAAAAATCGACGGTTCAAGAACATTAGACTGTTACTGATGGAGAAAATCTTAAAAGTTATTTTTAGACAATATGTTCTATAGATATCACATTCTTACTTCATCAAAGTCCAGTAATATGTTAAACATCAGAGTACAATATTGTGTTCTCCATAAAAGTCCAGTAATATGCGTGACATCAAGGTCTGATAATATGCTGTACATCAAAATACGATAATATTCCCCACATCAAAGTTTAATCAAAGTCTATTTATATATAGTGTATGTATGTATGTATGTTCTACATCAACGTAAGTTTGACTTTCACTTCTACTGTGATGGTTGTTTTCAGCTTTACTTATAGTTTGACTAATATTCTACAAACTATTGGTTAATCGATTTAATGAATCAATTCTAAAAAAGAAGTTATTAGTTATGATAGTTATACAAAAATAAGCTCACCTGTACCAGACGCACATACGGTCCAATCGTTGCAAGTTTGAAATGCATATTTTATACCATCTTTGACTTCATCCATTATCTGCAAAATACATAAATTAATTCGCTGTAAATGCTGAATAAATATATAGAGCAATAATAGAAACGTCTGCTGCGGAAAATTTGATGTAGTATCATTCATGTATAATATATTACCTGTGTGAATTCCGGATGAAGATGACCAAGCAGTGGTAACGCACTTGCATTTAAAACTCTCGGAGGACTGTTAGAAGGTCCAGGTCCCATCAGTGTCTTCATAGGTACGTTCATTGGCTTCAGCAGACATGCTGGGGGTTCTGTGGTTGACGAGGAGGTTGATTTGTATCTACACGAGTATAGATGTGTTCGCGTAAAACAGTTGACGGAACTGCACGAGGATACCAGCCGAGAATAGGGACCAATAACAGAAGATAACATCTTAAACGAAACCGGGAACACCATATTTACACCGAAAAAACAATATTTCCAATTTTCTTAACAGCATCTAAATGTCACAAAATAAATTAAAAATAAATACAGATGCACTAGTCCTATCTTGTCCTGTTGACCATGAGGTATGTGGAGATAATACTCAAATCTAGGTCGTATTTTAAATATGCATCGAGTTGAAATAAAAGATAGTAATGTTAACTTGATACTCTGTCACTTATATCAACTATTATCATAATATAAGGCAAAGACAGGATCATTTTCAATGAAAATAAAGTTTAGACGCATCAGTACCCTTCATAATTATACAAATGATATACTATTACAAGAAAATCTAAATATTATCTATTTTATATTCTTTAACAGGCTTATATACTCTCCCTGGTGTTATATAAATATCATAACCTATAAAGTTTATTCAAAACAGCTATATATTCGAGTGTAACTATATAGCGAATAGTATTATAGGTCTACTGCTTTCAAAGGAGCATGCAATTCGGTCTACATGTATTTATATGTAATGAAAAACATTATTTTATGTTTTGCGCATTATATGTAATCCGAAGCTAAGGTAATCTGAATCACATCTTTTTCCCTTTATAATTGCACAATAAAAACAAAATGATAATTTTGTATCTAGTGTTCCCTTGGAGAAAAGAATCAATTACTATACGTTTTAAAAATTGAGTACTTTCGAAATATCTTAAAGTGATCCAGAAGAACTTTAATGGCAAGTTGTTCAGATAATCTTTGTTTTTTTTAATTAAAGCCTTTATATCTACAGTTGATTTTCTTTGCATTTATTAAATAATTTATTTGTAATGTTGTGAAATAATCAATTTAATATTTTCATGTTGTTTTCTATTTTGGCAAGAAAGTGTAAGATGACGGCATTAAATTGAGTACTAATTGATGAATAATCAAACTATTATTGCGCGCTCTACTCTCAGCGAGTGTTTTTTCCGATGATAAAATTTTTAAAAAAAAGTTGTTTATTTCTTTTTCGTGATATATGGAACATATTTTTACTCAACATGATAAAATAACTATAAGGACTTATAAGGAAAATATATTCCATAATTTACTCAAACGAAAAAATATTCTCTCAACAGTTTCCCATGAATATTACAATTAAAATATTTCATAAGTTTTATGATGAATTATAAAAAGGCAGTCTTTGCTTTAAAACGATTCCTTAATAATCATAAATATTTTTTCACTCAAAAATATTTTAAAATAATGATACATTGAAATGGTACCGAAGAGAATGTTCATGTACATTTGGAAAACAGAAATATAAAGAAAGGAAATAAAACTGTCATCTTTTTACCCCTAGACTATTACTTTTATCGACAGAGGCAATCTGAGATAATTTAGCTTTTGTCCATCAAGAGTCGCCATTCTTTATCACAACAACAGCTGTCACCAAAGTGACGAATGTCCCCCAAAAAGGTTTCTTAAGCATGCAGGTATTATGAAAAGAAAAGAAAATGAAAGTAACTAACTGCTTAATATTGTTCTTTGTATAAGTGTACCTGTAATCTCTAATTGTGATAGTGTGAACCTTCAAAATATAAGTGTGACATTTGAAGAAGGGACGTGGATCCTGGACGCGACATAATGTTGTTATAAGATAGACATTTGTGCCAAGTTATTTCAAAATCCCTCAATGCACGACAAAGTTACAGTATGGACATGATTGTTGTGTAAGTGGGGACACACGGACAGACAGATGGACATGAGCATTAGCCGCGACATATTGTCTTGTTGTGGTAGACATTTGTGCCAAGTTATTTTAAAATCCTTCCATGCATGACAAAGTTACAGTCCGGACATGAATGTGTATCTTCAAACTCTTCTCGAGAGAATGAGTGCCTTCAAACCATAAGTGTGACCTTGACCTTGAAGGTAGGAACATTGGTTTTAGTCGCGACATGTCGTCTTGATGTGGTAGACATTTATGCCTAGTTATTTATCCTTTGATGCATGACAAGGTTACAGTCCAGACACGAATGTGAGTACCTATAAACTCTAATTGTGATAAAGTGAACTTCAAAATGGTAGTGTGACCTTGGCCTTTTAGGTAGGGACATGGTTCTTGGACGCGACACATCGTCTTGATGTGGTAGACATTTGTGCCAAGTTATTTTAAAACCCCTCAATGTATGACAAAGTTTCAGTCGGGACACGAATGAAGTGGGGACGCACAGACGGACGGACGGTGCGATTTTAATATGCCTTCCTTCGGGGGCATTAAAACAGCTACCGGAAATAATTTTATGTTCGCCCTAAGGAACTCAGTATCGGTACAGTAGTTCCGACCTTGTGTTGTCACAGGAACTCTGAATTTGAAAGCTGTCTATCTTCTTGGTAACTAACGATTTGTATAGCTTTACTCTACCTCTGAAATTACTTAAAATGTCTGGAGAGGGAAAATCACAGCGATAAAATAACAAAGTCGTGAATGCTTCACATCAAACCACCATACTAGTATTCAAATGAAATTCTGCATCGCTTCAAAGGTCTTTAAGCTACAGTCTCACTTACATCCCGGCAGAGCCCCGGTAGACGTCCGGGGTGATCCGGGAACAACCGGGGTACATCCGTAACTCTGCCGGCAACGTCCTGGATGATCCGGGAACATCCGGCATTCGACCCCGGATGGAATAAAATATTTAATATCACCGGGGTGGTCCGGGATGATCCGGGAAGGTATAGCTTTGCCGGCTTCATCCTTAGCTCTGCCGGGAACGACCGGGGTTATACCGGGGAAGCACCGTAGCTCTACCGGCTATATCATACCCGGATCATCCCCGGTTTGTGCCGGCAGAGCTACGGTAGAGCCCCGGTATATGCCGGCAGAGCCCCGGTAACTACAGGCAGAGCCCCGGAGGATAAAGGTAGAGCTACGGTTGATCCCGGTAGAGCCATCATTTCAAAAGAAAAACGACAATTTGCGATGATTGCACTTGTTTGTATTAAAAGCCTTCCCATTTCCCTTCTATCCAGTATGGCATAAGGATTTTTCAGAAAATCATCATGAATTATTATTCTGGAACAATAGATATTATATTAAATAAAAATTATGTATCAATGTTATCATTTTCGGGCGTTTTTAATCACCGGGGCTCTGCCTGGATCGTCCTGGGCTCTGCCGGGACTCTGCCTGGATCGACCGGGGCTCTGCCTGGGTCAACCGGGGCTCTTCCGGCGTCATACGGGAACGACCGGGGAAGCACCGGCATGAACCGTAGCTTCACCTGGGCTCTGCCTGGATGATCCGGAGCGCATCCTAGGTGGTTAGTAGGGAACTACCGTAGTGCTGCCGGGGTAAGTGTGACCGCAACAATAATTTCATCCCGGATCGTCCCGGTAACTTACCGGGATGGTCCTGGGCTCTGCCGGGAGTAAGTGAGACCGAGGCTTTATGGGACTGAAACAATGAAGAAAGAGAAAATTGTGTTCTTTGCGATCGTTTTGGTAAGAAAACTAGCTTGGAAAATATGAATTGTTTGTGTGCCGCCATTCAACTCACCATCATTTCTGATGTCACAAATCACGTGAGATGGCCACCCTGTGATCCATACTTCCGTACACTCGATGCTTCCAAGCCTCGTTTGAGCTTAGCTCAGCAAAGCCCATTCATCAATTTTACTTTTATTATACATGTGACATTATAACATACTCGGGAGGCAGTTACACATGAAAATTTATAATAGTTTGTATAATATACAGCGGCTTTCAAAGTTACCGTAAATTATATGTACATAATTATGAGAAATGTTGCGATGTGTTAAAAATTATAGACAAGAAGTGCTCACTGCTGATGTTTTATTTTAGTTTTGTACCAATGAGTAAGGTTATTGCAAGTTATATATGTTTGCAAAAGGAATTTAATTTTGCCAAATCTATGATTCAGAAATGATGAACATACTACATGTATTGAAATCGTCGTTCTGTCGTTGAATGGAAGTAACTGTGTTTGCAATGGAAGCGTTATGACGTTAATCAACGTTTCCAAACCAATCTTAGAACTGTATAGGCCAGTCTCCGGTTACTGGTCAAATTTGAGGTTACGGCCATGAAATCGTGCAAAGCGTTATCGCGCTGTGATACAGTCTCATTACATATCGAACGATGCAAAATATATAGGATTAAATCACAAGAGGGCCATAATGGCCCCGAATCGCACCCCTGAGATTAATAATAATATCCGGATGGGCGGGTCACCTCGGGACGGATATTCCGATCCGAACCGCAAACATGTCAGATGTTTTTTCTTGCATATTCTACCATATTCGATTATATTTTAAATTCTTTATCTTACAGCCGTAACTACTTTCTTACAACAGCGTATGAATTACAACTTCATTCATAACGGTAAAATAACGTCATCTTAACCGTGCCATTGTACAGCACGCGACTCATCTGGAACCCCCCATGCCAGATGAAATTTCCGGCATGGGTAAAACTCACGGAAACGCCAGTCTGATATGCAAGAAACATTGCAGCAATAATGTCACCGTTATTATTCTTCGATATCTGTAATAAGGTCACCTTGGGTTTGTCTTTCTTTACGTAAGCTGAACATTTCTTTTTTCTAATATTTGGAGATGTCTGCTACAAAATTCTACATGACAAATATTTCAAATGCTCTTGGCATTGTAAGACTTAAATGTTATTTTCTATGTAAATATAAATAAACTAAGTGACCTCGTGGCGGGAACTTAAATGTTATTTTTCTATGTAAATATAAATAAACTAAGTGACCTCGTGGCGGGAACCAATTTTGAACCTACGGGTATGATTCAATTTTTTAGACAAGGTTTTGCTACTTGCCAATATCTAAGCTCTGGACATTGTTATCTTCGAGAAAAGTCGTATAGACATTTTAACTATAAATGCTATGTTAAGTGACTCCGAGGGTAAGGCCATGTTCTTACCCATGTTGCATGACTCATATATCTTTTGAAGAGGACCACATATGTAAATACGTATATTTATGCTATGAGCATTGTTGTTTTAAGACATGTTTAAGTACAAAGTTTATGTTACTAGTAACTAAATGATTCAAAGGGCGGGACCTTTTTTATCCGTGGGGCGCATTTTCTTTTCGAAGTCTATTTTCAGTCTTGTAACCTGATAATACATCAGACTGGAGCCTTTTACATAACTTTTGTACAAAGTTACCTCAAGATCGAACCGTCCGGTTAGCTTCTTAGGTAAAGGGTTGGACTGTTAATCGAGTAATCTGGGTTCGATTCCTGGATGGTGATTTATCATAAAATTCTATTTTTTTCCCCTGGTTATTCGTATTGTACCTTTGCTCTGGTATGTACTGAAATTATCAATTCCTTGTGAAAGTGAAGGTACTAGTAAATAGCTCATCCAGGAACGATATGGCTAAACTGTGCTCGGGTGAATTCAAAGTGGCTTGCTGCACTGATCTGGAAAGTAAACTTACATCACCACCACTCAGCTAAAGACCATTTCTGTGAAGCTTGGTTGGTATTTACCAAGTGGTTAAGGAGTAGATGTTCTTTAAAGAAATAGGGGATAAGAACTGACGATGGGCACACTGCCATCACAACAGGTAACCTTTGAACATTGTGTTTTTAGAACTAGTGACCTAACTCAACCAAAGTTAGATGACCACTCAGGTATGCTCCCACCAAATATAAGACCTAATTCAATAAACGATGTGTGAGCAAGTATAAATATTTCCCTAGTGACACCTTACTTAATCTAAAGTCAGGGGACCACCCAAGGAATACCAAATAATTATTATGAAAGATTACTGTCAATAATTAAAAGTTGCATGTGCAGAGGTGTAAAATTTGTTTTTGCATTGATGACCTTGACCATAGTGACCTTAAACTACACCAAGAAGTTAGATGACCATTCAATGTATCTATATAATATGAAAGATACTCGCCAATAAATGGAATTGCTAGGAAGCTTGACATAATGACAAGAGGGCCATGATGGCCCTGAGGTCGCTCACCTGTACATAGCCCCCCCCCCCCCCCCCCGGCCCAATTTTTACCCAAGGGCTTTTATTTGAAGACTTGGTAGACACCCATAAGAAGATGTTTCATGCTAAACATCTAAGTTCTAGCTCATTGGGTTTTTTAAAAGAAGATTTTTTAAGTTTTTACTATACACATATAGTTAAAAACAATGACACCCCTGGGGCAGGGCCAGTTTTGACCCCTGGGCTTTTATTTGAACAAACTTTGTAGATATTTACTTAAAGATGTTTCATGTATAATATCTAAACTCAAGCTATTTGGGTTTTTTCAAAGAAGATTTTTAACTTTTTGCTATACACATATAAGGAAAATCAATGACCCCCGGGGCGGGGCCAGTTTTGACCCCAGGGCTTTTATTTGAACATACTTGGTAGACACCCATTAGAACATGTTTCATGCTAAATATCTTAGCTCTAGCTCTTTGAGTTCTTTAAAAGAAGATTTTTTAAGTTTTTACAATATGCATATAGGGAAAATCAATGACCCCCTGGGGCGGGGCCAATTTTGACCCCAGGGCTTTTATTTGAACAAACTTGGTAGACACTCATTAGAAGATGTTTCTTGCTAAATATCTTAGCTCTAGCTCTTTGGGTTCTTTAAAAGAAGATTTTTTAAGTTTTTACTATATGCATATAGGGAAAATCTATGACCCCCCGGGACGGGGCCAATTTTGACCCCAGGGCTTTTATTTGAACAAACTTGGTAGACATTCACTAGAAGATGTTTCATGCCAAATATCTAAGCTATAGCTCTTACGGTTCTTTAAAAGAAGATTTTTTAAGTTTTTACTATATGCATATAGGGAAAATCAATGACCCCCCGGGCGGGGCCAATTTTGACCCCAGGGCTTTTATTTGAACAAACTTGGTAGACACTCACTAGAAGATATTTCATGTCAAATATCTTAGCTCTAGCTCTTTGGGTTCTTTAAAAGAAGATTTTTTAAGTTTTTACTATATGCATATAGGGAAAATCTATGACCCCCTGGGGCAGGGCCAATTTTGACCTCAGGGCTTTTATTTGAACAAACTTGGTAGACACTCATTAGAAGATGTTACATGCTAAATATCTTAGCTCTAGCTCTTTGGGTTCTTTAAAAGAAGATTTTTTAAGTTTTTACTATATATGCATATAGGGAAAATCAATGACCCCCTGGGGCGGGGCCAATTTTGACCCCAGGGCTTTTATTTGAACAAACTTGGTAGACATTCACTAGAAGATGTTTCATGCCAAATATCTAAGCTCTAGCTTTTACAGTTCTTTAAAAGAAGATTTTTTAAGTTTTTACTATATGCATATTGGGAAAATCAATGACCCCCCGGGCCGGGGCCAATTTTGACCCCAGGGCTTTTATTTGAACAAACTTGGTAGACACTCACTAGAAGATGTTTCATGCCAAATATCTTAGCTCTAGCTCTTTGGGTTCTTTAAAAGAAGATTTTTTAAGTTTTTACTATATGCATATAGGGAAAATCAATGACCCCCCGGGCCGGGGCCAATTTTGACCCCAGGGCTTTTATTTGAACAAACTTGGTAGACACTCACTAGAAGATGTTTCATGCCAAATATCTTAGCTCTAGCTCTTTGGGTTCTTTAAAAGAAGATTTTTTAAGTTTTTACTATATGCATATAGGGAAAATCAATGACCCCCTGGGGCGGGGCCAATTTTGACATTAGGGCTTTTATTTGAACAAACTTGGTAGACACTCATTAGAAGATGTTTCATGCCAAATATCTAAGCTCTAGCTCTTACGGTTCTTTAAAAGAAGATATTTAAAGATTTTTCTTTCGGTTGCCATGGCAACCAGAGTTCTGCATGAAATGGAATTCTTTGAACAATCTTGATAGAGCTTCATACAAAGAGTATTCCTGCCAAGTTTCATAAACATTGGCCTTGCGGTATCATAGAAGATGTCCTTAGAATATTTAAAATGTGGACGGACGACAGACGAAGGACACCATTTGGTTGGCCATCCTAAAAGCTCACCTGCACTTTGTGCAAGGTGAGCTAATTAAACTACTGAAGGATGAAGTTACAACTATTTGCTTTCATAAATTTAAAGAGATATTTATATACTGCTGTAACAGTGATTAAATCAGTCTAACAATAGAAAATACCATACCATTTGTGTGAGTTTTGAAATTTTATTATAATATTGTATACATGTAATTAAAGTAGTATACAAGAAAAGTATGTCAAAGTAATGTTTCACAAATAATCTTATACTTAATTGCTGTATACTGTACTATAACATCACCATATTTTAGATAAAACCTCCTAGAGACATGTGTCAAGTAACTACATAATTACAGCACAATATATATTACATAAAGTTGTGGTGTACTTTGAATTTAAATGTGACAAAACACATCATATTTTCATGTTATCTTCATTAGTCTAAGATCTTGAAAGACCTTTCCATGGAAAGCAACATAGAAAAAGGGACATAATTCTGCACTTTTGCTTAGCAGATTTACCTGCCCTTGATAGCCAACAAATATTTCAAGTTTAAAGCGAGTACCATTGTAGTTTTTGAGAATTAAGCAAATACTCAGTCAAAAAAGAGAAATAATTTAGCAAAATGGCTATCAGGATTACCTGGACTTTAGAAATGCATTTCAAATTTGATAGTGAACAAGAACTCCACGTTTAAAGTAAATATCTCTGATACTTTTTCAGAAAATTACCTAAACAGGGAAGATACAAAAAGGGGACATAATAGAGAAAATCATAGTTACTTGCTCTTCTATGTTACTTCCACCTTCAAAGTGGTTAATTTCAAAAGTTTTTGAAAAATTGACTTTGGAAGAAAAAACATTAAGTCAAAAAACTTTGCAAAAACAAAAAAATTAAATATTACATGTCCTTCAGAAATGGTGATGTATATAAAGTTGGGGAAAAATAACTTTGATAGTATCTCAGACAAGAGCAATCAATGATTATGTTGCTACTGTGTGGTAGGCGACACAAATGACCTTAACTCAAAAGTTAACTAGAGCTAAAAATTTAAGTTGAAAAAGGGACAAAACTTTGAAAAAAGGATTATCTGCTTTTTTGAAATTGCACCCTTTTATGACAATAAACAAGTGTATCAAGTCTGAAGTAAATAGCTGTTATAGTTTCTGAGAAAATGGACCTTTACAAATAGTTTAACCAACATCAACAACGAGATAGTCATAACAATAGCTTCACTTTTTTTTTCTTCAAAGCTAATAACAGTAACAATCACTGCAGTAATATTAACCTTTATTACGTTATATTATATTTGCATTTTACCACTTTTTCCAGAAATATATGTTTGCACATGTAATGCAGATGTGGCTCTTGAAGCAACATGGAAGAAGATTTTCAATGAAAGGCTTCTAATAATGTAGAAATGTAAAATAGATCAAGTGAGTTCTTGTTCATTTCGAATATATTCACCAATATCCGCCTGATGGAAAGCAACAATTGTCATAGGATCTGTGTGTCTACATTCTTGTGTTGACTTGGCTGCCACACCAAAACCCTGAAAACCAAAACAAATTTAACTTATTCTCCACTTGGCTACCTTACAAACAAGAGCTGTCGGTAGGACAGCAACGCTCGACTATTCTTAGTGCTTGATAGTAAAAAAAATGCTTGATAGAGTTACCTCCTCCTGTTTACAGGTTGGGGTCATGATGGTGAACAAGTGTGCAAAGTTTCAAAGCCATATGTCAATGGACTTTGAAAATATTTGAACTATTACAAAAACTTTAACGTAAATTCTAAGTCGAAAAAGGGGCATAATTCTGTCAAAATGCTTGATAGAGTTACCTCCTCCTGTCTACAGGTTGGGGTCATGATGGTGAACAAGTGTGCAAAGTTTCAAAGCCATATGTCAATGGACTTTGAAAATATTTGAACTATTACAAAAACTTTAACGTAAATTCTAAGTCGAAAAAGGGGCATAATTCTGTCAAAATGCTTGATAGAGTTACCTCCTCCTGTTTCCAGGTTGGGGTCATGATGGTGAACAAGTGTGTAAAGTTTCAAAGCCATATGTCAATGGACTTTGAAAATATTTAAACTATTACAAAAACTTTAACGTAAATTCTAAGTCGAAAAAGGGGCATAATTCTGTCAAAATGCTTGATAAAGTTACCTCCTCCTGTCTACAGGTTGGGGTCATGATGGTGAACAAGTGTGCAAAGTTTCAAAGCCATATGTCTATGGACTTTGAAAATATTTGAACTATTACAAAAACTTTAACATAAGTGGTTACGCCGACGCCGACGCTCGGGTGACTGCAATAGCTCTACTTATTCTTATCGAATAGTCGAGCTAAAAAGTTTGGTTACAAGAGTGTTAATAAGATTTTATATTTAGTTTAATATGACCTCGACATCTGAAGATTACCACTTGTCCACAATATATGTAATAAAGTTTTTTACCCCCAGATGTGGTCCAAGACATAACAGAGACAAACATTCGGACAAGCTTTATAATATAAATCCTAGCATAATTGACTTGCAGAAAGTAAATAGTTTCACACAAATCTTACAAGTCTTTTAACATAAACAGAAAATTAACTGTCTCAAATAAAATATAAATGTATTTATAAACATATATAAGACAAGTAAGTATAATAATGATATACCAGTGGAACATCACTCATGTTATAAACAACAACTCCCTGGTACTGTGGTGTATTCTCTGTTAATCTACCAAGTCCAGATTTCATCACATGGTGTCCATACAGAAACTGTTGCTCAGCACTTGCCTTCAACCATATCTTATACTAAAACAATCATAATAATAATAATTAAAGTACACATGTAATAATTATGTATATACTTTCAACAAAATGTTGGAAACAGACAAACCTGACAGGACAGACTTGACAGCGCTCCACCAAGGTTTTTTTTTAACACATGACAGGACTGGAAGTATTTTTCCAAGATTTATGTACCATTAGATTAAGTCAAAACCAATAACTTCTTTGCAAAGTTTTCAGATCAGTCCCTTATCCCATTTGTCCAGAATAATCCTTTTTAATGTGCAAAATCAACTTGTGCTAAGAATCTCACAAAAAAATCGTTAACAAATTTGAGTTGGTTTCTTTATCATCCTTTGTTAATTTTTCCATTTTAAATGCTTCACTTGATCTATGCAAAAGTTTAAGAATTTCAAATATCTGCATCTGATATAGTACAAATGTAAACAAGGTTTTTTTCATATTGGGTCTTAAGACGACCTTTATTCAAACTTCAGCTAGAAATCAAATGAACAACCTCCTGACAAATAGTCAGGATATTTGGGCTTAAAATATTACATTTATAGTGTTATCAAGGTTTAAAAGTTATATTTTAACACATCTTTTGTCATATTTCAGCAGTTGGTCAACCATATTGGACACCTTACCAGTAATTACCAAAACTCAACAAGTGACCAACTTAGTAGTACTAACCGTATGTAATCTCTGACTGCAGTGAAACAAATGACCATAAGACTCAGTCTGAGATCAAAGGTCACAAAAAAATGCCTTGCTCAAGGATCGAATCAGCAATCCCTGGATTCCCAATCTAGGCTCCCCCTAATGAGATAAGAATGGTGTCTTTGAGGTGGACATTTGAGTCAAGTTTAAAGGAAATCCTTCAAAGGTTTATACAGAGTAGAGACAGATGGAACAATGCAACAAAATGATACCACTAACCAGTACACATATTATGTGAGAGGGGGGGGGGGGGGGGGCTATAATAAGTACCTTTGCATATGGTGCTAAGAAATCTAGTGCTGTTACATGTAGTCTAAATTTTCCTGACTTTGTGAATTTCCCAAAACAAGTACCAAAACTAAGCAAGTTTTGCCTTCCTATGTTTCCAGCCCTTTTCATCAACTCTTCACTGAAATAAAATGTAATAAAGATCTTAACTTTTTCCATAGCTTTTATAGCTCAAAAAGCCTTGAAGAATTGCTATAAATTATGTACAATAAAGAAGTAAGTAAGTAAGTAACAACTTTATTTAATGAGGCTATTGCATTAATTTCCCCGATCTTCAATATGGGCCTCAGCATATACATAACAAATATATACATACATGTACAGTCATTTTAAACAATTTAATATATACAAAGATCATCATATCAATTTAAAAGGACTTGCAAATTTAGAAAATTGTAGACATTTCATTGCACAGAAATTAATCAAGAGAGTAAGTTGGTAGTCAACCTGGATTTTCTTAAGGAAAACATATGGCATATTGTTTGCAAAGATTATTAACATAATGATGAAAACATGTTTTTGAATGCATCTTTTTGCTAGTGATTCATAAATAAAACTTAGTACATACTTCACATAGAAAACTCTGTCTTTATGTAGGCGAAAACAGTATATACCATCCGGTCTGTCAAGAAGTAATTTAATATTTTCTCCAATGCTGAAAATAAAAATGCTATCTGTGAAGCAAATAACTAGACAATTTATACTCTGATATATATAAGAGCTGACAGAGGAGACAGCATACAAAACTTAATATCACTTATTTAATACTGGATGAAGTAAATTTTGTAATGGTAGACAAAACAAGGGAAAAACATCAATTATTATATGAATATATTTCTATGTCAATACCAAGAAAGATTTTGCTGCAAGGCCATGCTGTGACCTTGACCTTAAACTTAAAGGTAGCGGCCCAAATGTTGCCCGCAACACGTCGTCTCAATATGGTGATCATTTCTATAAAATAGTTGTAAAATCCAACTTCAAATAACGAAGTTATGGGCCAGACACAATTTTGCGGCAAGGTCATGCTGTGGCCCTTGACCTTCAAGATAGCTACCCAAATGTTGTGCGCGACACGTCATCTCAATATGGTGATCATTTCTGTGAAATAGTTGTAAAATCCAACTTCAAATAACGAAGTTATGGGCCTGACACGATTTTGGTGCAAGGTCATTCTGTGACCTTGACCTTCAAGGTAGCGACCCAAATGTTGCGCGCAACACGTTGTCTCGATATTGGCCGGACACGAATTCGGGATGTACGTACGGATGGACAGATAACCCGGCGACTATATGCACCCCCCCCATAATTTTTCGGGGAGCATAAAAACTGTTCTGCTAAAGCCTGAAGACCTTACGCTAGGAAAACCTATGAATCCCCGGGTTGGGGCTAATTTTAGCACTGAGGCACGTATGTACTTTTAGAATATTGGGCAATATTTGGCTATTTCATGCTGCACATTTTGACCCTAGAGACAGAATTTGAACAACTTTGGTAGAGGACCTATAAATGATACACCAAACAACAAAGCTCCGTGTCTTGTACTTTCAGACAATCAGCTTTATTAAGATTTTACATAAAATTTCACAAGGACGAACATAAAGTGGGCCGAAACCAACCATACTGGGATAGGATCTTGCTCGATTCATGTTAGTCAAACATCAATTTTATGGTTTAAATTTTCATAAAAAGAAACTTTTCTTACTACTTTGATAGTTTTTCAAAGAAAGTTTTTGTTTCTTCGTCTGTCAATGGTCTCATTTTCTCTGTTGTTTTTTCTTTCCTAACATGTGGATTTTATCTATGAGGAACCAGAACAATCGCAACTTTTCGGCCCTTTCCATAAGTAGATAATAGCCGAAGACATTCCGATTGCAAAAAATATTGAACACTACTAAATGTTTTCCTCCCAAAGTTACCGATATATGGTTATATATCCTATTTTATTATATAAGATGTTTCAAAAGTCATTTGTATTAAGCTTTAATTATTCCGTTATGTAAAAATTATTCCTTCGAAACTTAATAAAAATGTTACGCTTTTACAATATCTTCTTTCTACACAATGAATTACAGTTAGCCTGGTTCAAAGTCATTATAGCAATAGTATTGGTTAATTCTGGCCCATGTACATTATTCCTAGTTGGTCAATGCGGCCCCAAAATCGTGCGATCCGGCCCCTGATTTTTTTTGGCCTAAAAATAGATTTCAAAATATATTCTATTATATTAAATTATTTTTCAGATAATATTGAATTTTTTATCTTGATAATTTTTTACATTTTTTTCTTGAGTAGAAAAAGCCAATGAATAAAAAAGCAGTGCTAAATAAATAATAATACAATTGGGGCAGCTCACCGACACACATGTATGAGTCGTTGTTGTTGTTTGTTTGTTGTTTCCAATTTTCTATTGCATAAGATTGTCCGTACGTAGTGCGAAATAACTCATAGTAACATGCATGTATTGTACGTCTTAAGCTAATATCAATGTTGAAGCGTTTAACATTTTCATAAATAAAATATACTTTATATTCTTACAAAGAACAACAATAATACTGATCTTGAATTCCGAGAATCCATGTTTTCGACAGGATGAGCTACAATGTATGATACCAAAACACTTTAACATTCAGCTTTATGAATAATTATGTAGACAATTAGAAACAATAATCAATTCACTCCATCAGACCGGATCTCAGGATTAATAATTTACAATAGAACTACGAGTAACGAAGAAAATGTATCCCCAGTTGAGTTCTCTTGTTAACTTCCGTTTCGAACAAGATACAGTCTCAACTAGGAAAAGAACATTCAATGCCCCTTAACATATATTATTTATTTTTCGATGAATATTTTATAACTTTTATTTGTAACCCTCAGATTAATTACAGACATTCTTACAAATTCCTTTAAGCTGGAATATAGAGCTGGCATTGTGATAGTTTCTATGTTTTATTCAATGTTGTTTTTTTAAAATTATTTATTCATTTTAATATGAGTATTTATTTAATTTTATCCATGAAATATGGTGCTATATCAGTCAAATATATTTCATATTTTTTGAAAATAAATAGAGGATATTCAAGTTTTGTCTATAAATACATGATTTATTTTCATCGAGTGGTATGAAATATGATAATTTTCATGCCACAAGATGAAAATAAATCATGTATTTATAGAAAAAGCTTGAATTTTCTGTTTATTATATACATTTTCCTCTTTTTTGACATTAAAAGTTGAAAGACTTTCCCTTAAATTTTGTGCATTGGCAGAATGTAAAAGAAAGTAGTCCGGCAAGACACCAGTGAAAATACGGAAAATATGTTTCACTGCAGTGAAAAATAAATTTTTACAGTGAAAATACGGAAAATGAAAATACGCATTTTATTTCATCAATATTTTTCAATATTTCATTTCTAAGTATGTAATAAATATGAAATATAAATATGAAAGTGGGTGGAGTTAAAACTCATATTTATTTGAAGGGACTTCTTTCGCCATTTTGTTTGAAAAATCTGATAAATACAAAACAACTTTTTGTTGACTTTTGCTTTGAAAACTATCTAGAATGATAGAAAATGGTCTAACTAAGAAAATTAATCCGAACACCAATATCTTTAATTCAGTTATTAACGATATATAGACGTTTAAACAGTTGTTTAAACAGTTGTTTCCGTGACGTCACAATGTAGCGCCAAATATCGCGTGCAAAACAAGACGCAATAATATATTACTGCGCGCTGTACAATTGCAGTTGAGTAGCAAGCAATAGGGTTTGTAACCATTTTTCTTTGATAATGAAATTAAATAAAAAGGTTATTTTTTCGTTTTTCGTGAAATATGGTATATATTTTCACTCAACATGATAAAATGCCACATATTTTCACTCGCCGTCCCGGCTCGTGAAAATATGCGGCATTTTATCATGTTTCGTGAAAATATATTCCATATTTCACTCAAACGAAAAAATATCCTCTTAGTTTCCAGAAATATTGAAAATATTTATTTGCATATTGTTGATTTCTGAAAAATGATAACATGTTATATGTTCACAATTATACAGTTTGACTATCTTGAGTTGGTTCCCAGCCTCCACCCACGAGCTTGAACTCACACCCAATATATCCTCATTGAAAACTATCATACTCCTCAGAAAGGATGTTCCGCATTAGACATGTTATACATTTAGACGACAGAATACATTTTTAAAGAGTAACAAAAAATTATTCAGATTTATAACCAATTTATTTTTTACACAACGTAAAAAATACAAAATCAATGAATAAAATTGCATTTTGCGTATTAGGATTGCTTTTACAATGTGACCTATATGTAGATTTACCATCATCTAGTTGCAATTAATCTCTCAACATATGTACAATCCCCACATAGGTTACCCAGACACATTAATTGCATCCCGTATCCTTACGTCAAATACAGGTTTCCTCCTACTACCATAAGTCCTTAAAAAAATCTCCCCATAGCACTGTACTATGGAATAAACTCCCTAACAACATTGCCACCCTGTCCAACATAAGTCAATTCAAACAAGCAGTTGTAGTTTCAGTCCCAATTTTTTAACTTTTTTATGGGGCCCTATTTTATCCTTTGTCTTCTTCTCTCACTGCTTACATTTTAACCATGATTAGAGTGCATTTCCAGTCTCACCTTCTAACATAGTTATTATAATGCCTAGACTATTTTACTTTTTTCACAATTAACTTGCAATCCGAATGGCACTTTATTCCTATAGAAATGTCATAGACTGCAACTCTGCCATAACACTCGTGGGAGAGATTGACAGTATATCACAGATATATAAACAACAGATAGGAAGCTCCGAAAATAGACGATAGTCCAATTCAGACTCACAACCCTTTGCGCGCTTCGGTGATAATCGTGCTTTCCCGATAGTCTGAGTTAGCAAACACATGCAATTAACAAAATACTTAAATTTGTAACAATAAGAAACTAAGGCATATTAAATGACAAGAGTGAATAAAAAAGGAAGAAAAAGTATATACAAGTAAGCCAAATGATCCACAATAAAGGTTCAACCAGATGTTACAGTTTTTAGAAATTCGAGTCTAGATGAAAAACATTTATGGCCAAAGTTTGCTACACTATTAATAGTATCATCATTCTCACTAAACATCATATATACAAACTGTTCTGATATTTTTAGAGTTTTAATGTTTGGTACCTTTTCAGATATTCGAGAAATTAATAAAGATTACATCTTGAAGCATAAAGTGTTCTTCTGTTTCAATGTCTTGTAATAAACAACATTTGCAAATTCGATTGATAGGAATTTTTCGGTAACTTCCCGTTTCTATTTCTAGTTTATGAGCACTAATTCGATTTTTTTATATATATATATATTTTTTTTGGTTTTTGACACATTTGAGATGAACACAGATGTTTGTTTTTTTTTATCAATGTGGTCATATTTTCTTCCCATGTCCGATACTCGTGCCTGTGATAAGAGTGAAGAAAGCATTTTTTCCGCGCACTAAACTTTTCAAACGCCTTTGGACTGAGACGGCAAGCTTTTAGTGATCAAGACTTTCTAAAGATGGAAACGTATGCAAATATAAGAAAATTGAGAAAAAAATTGAGACAGATCGAACATTTGGAAGAAATAGATCGTGATTTGACAGACGAAGAAGTGGCAAAGGTAATAATCTAAGACACATGGTGGTCAGCCCTGTCTTGAAGTTGAACCGCGACTGTAAACGGTCAATAAAAAAACTTAGTTAAACGTTTTTAATTTTACACAACTGGACTTTCTGTCTTTAAAATTGAAATTGTTTTTAAACCATTTCCACAAGAATAAGCATTGCTGGTTAAACGTTTAACACGGTTATTAGGTTGCCATATTTATAAACGTTTGTTCTAACCATGACACTCCTTGTGGGTTCTAATCCTGTTACTAGTGTTTGGGACTTTATATATTTCTTATGCGGAAGCAATGATTGATTGTTTTGATTGATTATGTAATCCTTTCTACGATCATTCACACCGTAAACTGCTCAACAGCTTGTACAGGAATGGAGGGTAAAGAACAAACACCCATCTAGTCTTAGCATGCATACATGGTATCCGGACAATTCCCCTCCCGGACGATTCCCCTCCCAGTAAATTTGAATGTTTTTTCACAACCCGGACATTTCCCCTCCCATTATTTTTTAACGGCGGACAATTCCCCTCCCGTTCTTTTATCAACCCGGACAATTCCCCTCCCGTTCTTTTAACAACCCGGACAATTCCCCTCCCGCTGTTGTCAGAGCGGACAATTTCCCTCCCGTGGCTGTTGAATATATATATTATATAATATTGTTTATTTGAAAGGTATTTTCAATCGGCTTTAAATACATTTTGCTTATCTCTAGGGCGGACATGGGAATGGTATATCCCCAATTTTTATACATGAATATAAACAAAACAGAACGCATTTTTTAAATAATCTTTATTTCGTCAATACATTTTTGCAGCGGCAAAACAATAAAAGAACAATTGATAAGAACAAAAAAGCAATTAAGCTGTAGATTCTTGCAAAGAATATATTATGCACATGTTATAGTAAATTGAACTGTCATCATCGTCATTATGATTAGAAAATCACATTCACCATATTGAATCAGTACATGAAGTCCTAACAAAATATCAGTGATCATTTTGATTTTATATATGATTGAACACATTTGTAGGAATATTCGCCTTCATTTTTAATTGGTTTTGCAATCAAGGACACATTTAATTAAGGGCGGCAATGATTAAAGATTTTTTATTGACAGTTTGTTTATCTTAAGCAGCGGCGGCAATGATTAAAGGCGGTATAATGTCACTTTTGTGAAATAATGATTGTTAAAAGTTCCGATCTTTAACAGTTTATTGTTAAGAGTAAAAATTGTCATCTTTAATAAGAATGGTTATAGATTTTTTTATACGCAATGGCGGCTATGATTAAGGGCCGTATAATGTCACGTTCCGCTCTGTGAAAAAACGGGAGGGGAATTGTCCGCTCTGCTAAAATAACGGGAGGGGAATTGTCCGCCCTGTAAAATTAACGGGAGGGGAAAAGTCTGCCCTATTAAAATAACGGGAGGGGAAATGTCCGGGTTGTGAAAATAATAATGAAGGGGAATCGTCCGGGAGGGGGATTGTCCGGGATTCTGCATACATGCCATAGTGTCCTGGACATCCAGGATTGTCCTGGAAATAGGTATTGATTGATGAGTCCCAGAGGTGTTCCGGAGATGATTTATGTCCCGGTAAAAATAAAAGTCTAAAATAATCTACTTTGCAGCCAGAAATAATACATTTCTATATAATCATATTGTCAAGTTATTAACTATTCTAGAACGCTAATAATGGAATGATTTTACAGTAAATGGTGACACTAATCCTTTGATTGGTAAATCTATGTGCTCCTTCCAACTAACAATTATCGGCAATAATTTAGATCAATTAAAAGATTGTTTACCCCCTGCGGCATCCTGAGCAAAGGTGTCATAATTAAACTGTAATTAACAACTGGCCAGCATAAATTAAATCTGCCTGTAGGCAATTATTAACTAAAGAATGTAAAAATTACCGCTAAATATGAGGTGATAAAGTCTACAGGATTCAGGGGATGTTTTAGCTACATGTGTTTTTACCAAACGACGTGGCTAATTGTCCTTACTATTCTATAATGTTACTGATTGAATTTACAAAGCTTTAATACTTTAAAAAAAAAACTGTTAATAATTATTAGCATTTAGTCTTGTTTATGTTGTCATTAAATTGCAAGTTGTAAATATCGGTAATATAGGTTGTATGCCACTATGTAAATTTTAGAAACAATTTGATTGCTGATCAAGGCCCCCCCCACCCCCCATGAAAATTGTCCCGGAAATTAGCCTTAAAAATATGGCATGTATGTAGCATGTGTTGTTTTGATAGCACGATCACAGGTTATGTTTATGCAATCATCATATATATATAGGATCTCACATAATATAAAATTTTGGCAAGCTTATACCATGTTATTTTTCAATGTTAATAAAACTTTTATTTTATACATTTTGTATATGACTGACAACAAATTATCCTTTTATAAATCACATGACTATACACATTGAAATGAATGAAAATAAATTTTTGACATATATGTATGCCTCAATATGCCAATTTGTAATAGTTACATTACATGGAAAACAAGAGGCATCATGTGATAAAATTATATATTCCATTTTTCAGTGTATGAGAAAAGAGGCAGTTAGAGAAGAGTTATTGAAGTTGCTTGTGTCCTACAATTCTAATGCGGAAGAGAGCTATACAAGTAGTATAGTAACAAATGATACATCAGTAAAAAGTGATACATTATCTACCAGTACCTATACTGACTCACCACAACTGAACTCACCTAATATCATTGATACAACAGACATAGAAGTAGAGCAAGTTGAGACTCTATCAGTGGATAGGTTTCTATATTTATCTTATATGATTATATTAGAATACTTATAACAAATATTTATTATATGTAATTTAGCCAGCCAGTATTGGGTGAGCTCAGGGGAAGGGTAGATGGTAGGCAGTCAGTATTGGGTGGGCAAAGGAGAAGGTAGATGTTAGCCAGCCAGTATTGGGTGAGCTAAGGGAAAGAGTAGATGTTAGCCAGCCAGTATTGGGTGAGCTTAGGGGAAGGGTAGATGTTAGCCAGCCAGTATTGGGTGAGATTAGGGGAAGGGTAGATGTTAGCTAGTCAGTATTGCATGAGCTTAGGGGAAGGGTAGATGTTAGCCAGCCAGTATTGGGTTAGCTTAGGGGAAGGGTAGATGTTAGTATTGAGTGAGCTCATGGGAAGAGTATATGTTAAAAAGCCAGTATTGGATGAGCTTAGGGGAAGAGTAGATGTTAGCCAGCCAGTATTGGGTGAGCTTAGGGGAAGAGTAGATGTAAGCCAGCCAGTATTGGGTTAGCTTAGGGAAAGAGTAGATGTTAGTATTGGGTGAGCTTAGGGGAAGAGTAGATGTTAGCCAGCCAGTATTGGGTGAGCTTAGGGGAAGGGTAGATGTTAGTATTGGGTGAGCTCATGGGAAGAGTAGATGTTAGCCAGCCAGTATTGGGTGAGCTCAGAGGAAGAGTAGATGTTAGCCAGCCAGACCCGGGGATGATTACATTGATCAGTAATTGATTAAATTACAATTACTTTCAGATTTTATTGTAATTGATTAAGATTGATTACTCACATTTGCCTCTGTAATCAATTGAATTACAATTACTTTTAAGAGAGTAATTGATTGATAATTGATTACATTGAATGTACATTAAACCACCCCAGAATTAAGACCACCCTGCTATTAAGACCATTTTTAAAAAGATTCTTTAAGTCAATGGTTTCATGATCCAGATTTAACCACCTAAGACCACCATTATTAGTCAGTCCAAATTTTTGTTTTAATTTTAATGTGACTATTGAGACCACTGATATTGAAGTTAACACCTATCTAGATCTTAAATTTGTTGTTATGATCTGCTTGAATGCTCTTTAGCATGACACTTGATTTCACAAGGTGTGAAAAACTGTTATTGGGTTATTGTATGAAATTATGTGAGAAGGTCAATTTTAGAGTGGTACATTGTTGCTTTCAGGTATCCGGACAATTCCCCTCCCGGACGATTCCCCTCCCAGTAAATTTGAATGTTTTTTCACAACCCGGACATTTCCCCTCCCGTTTTTTTTTTACGGCGGACAATTCCCCTCCCATTCTTTGATCAACCCGGACAATTCCCCTCCCGTTCTTTTAACAACCCGGACAATTCCCCTCCCGCTGTTGTCAGAGCGGACAATTTCCCTCCCGTGGCTGTTGAATATATATATTATATAATATTGTTTATTTGAAAGGTATTTTCAATCGGCTTTAAATACATTTTGCTTATCTCTAGGGCGGACATGCGAATTGTATATCCCGAATTTTTATACATGAATATAAACAAAACAGAACGCATTTTTTAAATAATCTTTATTTCGTCAATACATTCACCATATTGAATCAGTACATGAAGTCCTAACACAAAATATCAGTGATCATTTTGATTTTATATATGATTGAACACATTTGCAGGAATATTCGCCTTCATTTTTAATTGGTTTTGCAATCAAGGACACATTTAATTAAGGGCGGCAATGATTAAAGATTTTTTATTGACAGTTTGTTTATCTTATTTTAGCAGCGGCGGCATTGATAAAAGGCGGTATAATGTCACTTTTGTGAAATATTGATTGTTAAAAGTTCCGATCTTTAACAGTTTATTGTTAAGAGTAAAAACTGTCATCTTTAATAAGAATGGTTATAGATTTTTTTATACGCAATGGCGGCTATGATTAAGGGCCGTATATTGTCACGTTCCGCTTTGTGAAAAAACGGTAGGGGAATTGTCCGCTCTGCTAAAATAACGGGTGGGGAATTGTCCGCCCTGTAAAATTAACGGGAGGGGAAAAGTCCGCCCTATTAAAATAACGGGAGGGGAAATGTCCGGGTTGTGAAAATAATATGGAAGGGGAATCGTCTGGGAGGGGGATTGTCCGGGATTCTTGCTTTCAGCACATTTATTTTTTGAAAATTTAAATTTTCATTTGATTTATGTACATCATATAATAAGTGATACTGTAAAATTAACGTTAAATTTCTCCAGAAATATGTTTTCCTTTTATCAGATTAAATATCAAAGCATTCTTTGATAGTTTCTTTTATAATGTATTTGTAGATACATATAAATAAACATATTGTTTATTCATACAAAATGACTAAAGTAGACCATGGTCTTAAAGTATGTAAGCAATGATAAGAATGTTCACTTTTATCAGTCTTATTGAGGATTTTTACTGTATAACTAAAAAACAAAAGTTAAACTGTATAATGTAAAATAAAGGCATCCTTTGAACTTAAATAGTTTCCTTTTAAATCTGAAAGTAATCAATGTCAATCAAAATGTAATCATAATTACTAACTGAATTTAAGCTGTAATTGATTAATTACAATTAATGTAATCAGTTTTGGGCAAGGTAATCAATTACATGATGATTACGGTGTAATCATGTAATCAATTACAAAATCAATGATTACAGTTAATGATTACCCCAGGTCTGTAGCCAGCCAGTATTGGGTTAGCTTAGGGGAAGAGTAGATGTTAGCCAGCCAGTATTGGGTTACATGTAGCTTAGGGAAAGAGTAGATGTTAGTATTGGATGAGCTTAGGGGAAGAGTAGATGTTAGCCAGCCAGTATTGGGTTAGCTTAGGGGAAGAGTAGATGTTAGTATTGGGTGAGCTTAGGGGAAGAGTAGATGTTAGCCAGCCAGTATTGGGTTAGCTTAGGGAAAGAGTAGATGTTAGTATTGGATGAGCTTAGGGGAAGAGTAGATGTTAGCCAGCCAGTATTGGGTTAGCTAAGGGGAAGAGTAGATGTTAGTATTGGATGAGCATAGGGGAAGAGTAGATGTTAGCCAGCCAGTATTGGGTTAGCTAAGGGGGAAGAGTAGATGTTAGCCAGCCAGTATTGGGTTAGCTTAGGGGAAGAGTAGATGTTAGCCAGCCAGTAAAAAGTTTCAAGATTCAAGTAATATTTTACATATGATGTGGGATTAGTGACTGATTTTTCAGTATTTATAACTATATTTCTACAGCGTTACAAACACAGTAAATGATATTTATGCATATTTTGACCACTTTTTGGTAATTTACGTGGTTTGTAAGTGCCATTGATAATGTGTAAATTGCTTCCTTTTGCTTATTTCACAATATTACATATTCAAATACATTTTCAAAATTTTCATGAAAATTAGCAAGAAATCTGGAGGCGTGCTGCTTTAAGTTAAGATTTTTCACTATTGGATCAAGATTTTAAAAATGATATATTATCAACTCATTACTGTATTATACAACTATTTCTAGGTTGTCAGACAAATCTTCTCAGAAACAAGGGAAAGAAAATACTGCTAGTTTGTCTGAGAAGCTAGAAACAAGAGCCACTATCAATACAGGGTCAGAGAAGTCACAAACTGCTCCCCCTGTTTATACAGGGTCCTCTCCTCCAGCACCTTCAAAGAAAGCTGCTAAAAAGAAAGGTATAGATAATTTCCTGTGAACCTGTACAACTAGTCAAGTCTTATAGCAGGATTTACAAGTCTGCTGGTATATGTTGTAAAACTTATATACCTTTTTGCACATCTTTTATTTGTATAGAACAAAGTACATTGTAAATATTTCAGCTCACTTATTAATCAATAATTGAATTTTGATTCTATTTAGTATTACAAGGTCCTAATACATTGGGTGTCATGTAATCTTATAAATTTTGAGAAAACATAAGGCTTAAGTAATTTGATTAAATAAGCATAAGCAATGATTTAATGAAATATATATATAAGGTATTTTAATTTTTATTTCAGGTGATAAGATTACAAATATAAAAGATGAGTGGAGAAGTAAGAAGTTCCAGGTATCATTATTGGAGTCTCACAATGACATTATAACAGCTGTAGATGCCTGTGATGGTTTATTTGTCTCAGCTAGGTATATCATAGTACTGACTAGTTCATTTATGTAACATATCTACACTCAATGTTTCATACATTGCCATGTTTGACAAAACATTTTTAGAACATTTTATCGTTTCATTCTTCATGGAAGAACTGCCAAATTGACCATTTATCCAATAGAGCTTTCTGTTATTGGCTGCTTTAAGACATTCATTTTGGCATAATGATTCATAACCTAGACCTTTTAAATGACCTTCAGATTGATAACATTCAGGAAATTTTCCATAACATTGAAATTTAGCTGTCTATTTGTTCCATTTTTAAACACAACCAGCTCTGTAGGAAAGCTTTTGCTTTTTTCATACAATGATTGTGTGAATTATTAATTTATGATTATAGTCGAGACACAACAGTGAAAGTTTGGGATATTGTGACTTTGACAGAAGTTAGAAGTTTAGGAAGTCATACAGGATCTGTGACAGATGTTCTTATTATACCTGGCAAACTTGCTGTAAAACTAGGTACATATTTAAACTGTTCTAAATACATGTACTGTAAATGTTATATTTTCTCTGTGCTCATATATAGGACTGTGTTGACTCTGGCATATGTACAGGTCTGTGTTGACTCTGGCATATGTACAGGTCTGTGTTGACTCTGGCATATGTACAGGTCTGTGTTGACTCTGGCATATGTACAGGTCTGTGTTGACTCTGGCATATGTACAGGTCTGTGTTGACTCTGGCATATGTACAGGTCTGTGTTGACTCTGGCATATGTACAGGTCTGTGTTGACTCTGGCATATGTACAAGTCTGTGTTGACTCTGGCATATGTACAGGTCTGTGTTGACTCTGGCATATGTACAGGTCTGTGTTGACTCTGGCATATGTACAGGTCTGTGTTGACTCTGGCATATGTACAAGTCTGTGTTGACTCTGGCATATGTACAGGTCTGTGTTGACTCTGGCATATGTACAGGTCTGTGTTGACTCTGGCATATGTACAGGTCTGTGTTGACTCTGGCATATGTACAAGTCTGTGTAATAACTGGAATCACATGAAGCAGTCAATTTCTTACTGTGAATTCACTTAACCCTTTCACTGCCATAGGGACGGCATATGCCGTCCCTATTATTTTCGGCGTATTTGCCATATGGACGGATTTTGCCGTTTCTATAATAATAATTATAATAATAATCATAATAAATATATAGATAATTATACCATCGACAATAATTATTATTATACTAGCAGATTTGGAAACATAAAAATTATATAATTATTATAATACTAATAACAAATAATAATAATAATATTAGTTAATAATATAGTAATTTCTTAGAAAACCTTCTGGCAAATAGGTGATGAATAAATAAATAACCCTCTGGCAGCGAAAGGGTTATTTTCGTGGACATGAAATTTCGTGGTTTTGTCACAAAGAACATTTTTGTGGGTTATTAAATTCATGGACTGTTTATTTTTCCAAATGATAAAATGTAAATAATGTGAAGCAAAATAATCTTAAACAGACTAAATGAAATTTCGTTGGAGCTTAAATTTGTTGATTGACCTATCCATGAAAACCAGGAAAATGAGTGCACCATGAATAATAATGATTGCAGTATTTTTTGTAGGTAAGGGTAAGATTCTAAAGTTGACTGCAGAAAACATTGTCCTACAGGTAGACAATAAAACAAATTCTATAGAAAAATTGTGTTTGGTCAGGACCCATGTTTTAATAGTCAATCATCATAGTCATGGAGTTTATCCAGTATCATAGTCAGCCATTTTCTTACCAACTAAAGTAGTTAATAGCATACATAATGCACAATTTTAAAACCTCTCTGATGCACAAACATGTTTATAATCAAGATAAATAAACAAAAAACACAATTTTCATCCAAGGCATTTAGAAATGATTGAGCTTCATTTAATTATTAAATTTACAAAAAAGAAAGTTGAACAATTTATTAATTTTGAATTTGATAAGAAGTAACTTTCAGATTGGTTTCCCAAAACCCCAAGTCTATTAATAGCTCTATGTATAATTATATACACATACAAATGTTTTCGTATATAGTGCAGTAGTATGCATATAATGCAACAGTGGTTTGTTATACTGGTTTCTAGTTTCAATAATGTTACTTATATATTGTCTGATGCAGCTTATACATTGCCCATACAGTTCAATTAATTGAAAAAAAAACAAACAATATAAGACAGCCATGGCTTTCCAGACATACATGTCAACATAATATGGTGATAGGAGAAGGTGAAATGTTTTGAGAGACTGCATTATGCCACTATAAAAATAAAAATACCACGCACAACTGCACATCTTGACCTTGTATTGCTTCTTGCACAGTTGACAGACAATAATTTTAGCTTTTACTGAAAGCCGTTTTCTGCTACATGTATTTATAAACTGATTGTCACTCTATCATTTGTAGGTCAATGTTCATATGCAAATATCTTAGTTTATAAGTCAAATTTTGGGAAACAATCTTTTTTTTTACAAATGAAACTAATCAATGGAACAGAGTGCATTACAATGTATATAAAGTTGGGGTATTTTTTTTTCTTCAGAAAATTGGGTTTAAAACGAAATTAAGTTTTATTTATAGAGACAAACTTTTATGTCTGATTAATTGTGTAAAATTTCAGAAGTACAATTTGTAATTAATAGTGTTATATTTTAAGGGTCATCATTTACAATATCAGAGAATGATCATCTTATATTGAGTGGCTCCACAGATTGTAATCTCAATGTTTGGTCTGCTGAAACAGGTAAATGTTTAATTATCCCTACTTATTTGACTCACATTGTTCTAATATACATCTGGTTTATATATTTATCAAATTAAAATGCTCAGTTTATTATGAATGCCAAAGCAGAAGTATAGATTACCATGATTGAACATTGAAATGTTGATGAAAGCTTGGAAAATGGACATTTGCCCTCTAAGACGATACCCTTCCCCCCTACCCAGGACATTTGCCCTGTTTATTTAAAAAAAAATGTAAGGTCTAGCATTTGTCCTCCTAAAAAAGTACCGTCATTTGCCATCTAAAGGAAACAAAACAATTGAAAAAGAAATTGATTAAATAGCAAATGTCTGCCCTTTAAAATTTTTAAATTGGGGTGGGGGAGACACACATCTGCCCTTTTAAAACACATGATGGGGTAAATGTCCACCACAGCAGAATAAGGGGCATTTGTCTGAGGGGGGCAAATGTCTGAAGGGGATGGGAATGCCCAATATCAAGTTTGGTCTGTAAGAAAGTTTACTTGACGTTTTACTTATATTCAGCATTGTAATACAACATTTAATACACTTTTTTGTCCAGTATTAGTTCCTATGTCTGTCTGTCACCATTATTATCTGAGCTATGTACAGACAGTGTTATATTGTGCTTCTGATTATTTTTCAAAAAACTTAACCTGTAAACCAATCTCAAATGACATAGATCTCCTCCTTGATACTACTGGCAGATTTGGTAAAATCTTTTTGTAGTCCTTCACCTGAGGTGTTTTTTTCATCAGCAAAGCTTGAGCTTTACAGAATGATTGTGGTTTAAATTGAGCCAACAATAGAGAAAGAATTATCATCAGTTTGTAGCAGTCCTTGCAAAAAAATGTTTAAAAAATTGTTTTTCCTAAGATGGATTACCAGTGTTGAATTGGACTTTTTTAGTAACTAACCTTTCCTTCTTATACATTTCTTGTTTTATTATATATAACTAATTATCTTCTGTACATTGTGTTGTTGTATTGTAAAGTATAGGTGTTATTTTATTTTAACAGGGGAATTATTGAAGTCAGTTTACACCTTTAATCCAATTACCAAGATAGCTTTTTGTCCAGATCTGTCTTTGGTTGCCACAGCTTCAGGTATTTATATAGAATGAACATTTTTGTTGATTAAAGAATGATTGTCTAGTGAGCATTATTAACAGTAAAAATGTTTGAACAGTACAATTTGTATATATATATTTGTATGTTAGAGGGGGTATCTGTGGCTGAGTGGTTCAGGTCTTTGACCTCAAACCCTTTGCCCTCACAGCTTTGGGTTCAATACTGCAAGGGATTTGGATTTTTCCCAACTGAGGAAGTGATCCAGTAAGCCTTAAGAACGTCAGTGGTTCTACAGTGATGCGTACTTATGTCAGAATTAAAGGTGGAATGTCGCCATAAGTCTTTAAATCTTTACAGTGTCTGTATAACTTAGAACCCAACAAAAAAATTTACATTCATTTTGATGGATTAATATCCAAAACTAGGTTATCAGTTAAGATTGTGTTCTAAGCAGGTTAAAATCAGCAGTTAAACTTCTAAAACTTCTTTCTAGAACTGCGAATTCCTGTATCCATGAAATTGTCTTATATTTATATGTAGGTCATCTATAGAAACATAAAAAATAAAATTTGTAAAGTACCATTCAAAAAAACAATTACTGAAATGTCTGAATGCCTGCAAATATATGTATTTTATATGCACTGACAGACTTTGAAAACTCATCATTTGGGTTTTTGCTTTTTTTAATGGGAAGAGCATATTCGATTTTTAAAAATTTTACATATGTGTCTATAATTTTCAGTTAAAAAATTGCTACTGTCACTGCCTCAATTATTGAGTTTTAGTCGAAAAAAACATTGTAACCTGCATTCACAAAAATCACAACTTCTTATATTTTCAGATGGAGGTAAACTGGAATTATGGGACATCAACACCAAAGATACTGTTTGTTCAGAGACTGCACATTCTGACTCGATTACAGGACTATGTGTAAGGTCATATTTATGCTCCTAAAAGGGGAATGGGGAGCATATATTCTTGCATATTGTATTGCTGTTTTACCCATGCCAGAAATTTCATCTGGCACGGGGGGTGCCAGATGAGTCGGCTGCTAAATAATGATGTCATTTTAATGCATTTTATGAATGAAGCATATTAAAATGACGCAATTTGGCACATTTAGAATGAAACTGCATGCCTTTGATGATATCATATCACTGTTATGAATGAAGTTTTAAATTTGTTTGCTATTGTAAAAAAATGGTTATGGATGAAATGACATTAGTTTCCATGAAAAATTGTTTTATTGAGGTAAAGCATTTAAAATAGGATAGAATATGCAAAAAAAAGTATCTGGCATGTGTTTGCAATTTGAACCAAAATATCTATCCCTTGGGTACATGACCATGGGTGGTAGCTCAGCAAGCCTTGTTAATGCCCAATGGATGGGTACCCTTGGGACAAATATTCTGATCCAAACTGCAATATATGACAGATATTGTAAGTCCCCACCTTTTCCACCTTTCTGTTATTCCTAACATGCTTGTCTGGAGAATTATTTTAAATGTATTGAAAGGATTTTTAAATTTTTACACAGTTATAGATACAAGTGAGATGAAGTGTAATGTCCGAGAACCATAATTCTACCTTGCTTAGTTTTTTTAAAGTTATTTCCCTTAGTTTAATTATAATTGTCTGGAGTCTCTCATAAATCAATCAATATCAATGATATCACATTGAGACGTTTAAGATACCTATGGTAGACAGTGCAGTAACACTATGTTTCTTAGTTTTCTAATTATCTCCTTTTTAATACTTCATAGTTCTTACCAAGAGAATAACTTGGAAAATGTTGAAGGAACATGAACATACATATTTTGAGAGAATACCAACACCAGTTTGTCAGCTTGCCTACATGTTGGTTAGAGTTTGTAGTCCTTTTACATGTACTGTTGAGATTGTTATAATAATACTGTCTCAATACTGTCCAAAGGACTTATATACCATTGTGAATATACATTGTATACTTGGTCTCTTGTTACATATTTCAGGTATTTGAGAATAGAATTTATACATCATGTGCTGTTGATGGTGAGATTAAAGTATTTGAAGTTAGAGACAACAAATTACATTGTTTATTTGCCTCAGAGAATTTGTACAACATGACTGGTGGTGCAGTGATAATGAGACATGTGAGGGCACTAGGTGTCTCCACTAGTCACATCTTTTATGGTGATGATGGTGTCAATCTTAAACTACTCACATGGAAGAAAGGTATTCACTGATCAGCATTTTTATACGCCCGTTTGAAAAACGGGACGTATTATGGGAACGCCCCTGGCGGGCGGGTGGGCGGCGTCCAATTTTGTCCGGAGCATATCTCCTACATGTATGGAGGGATTTTAATGAAACTTCATAGAAATGTTCACCACTATGAGGAGCAGTGTCGCGCACATGAACCAGGTCTCTAGGTCAAAGTCACACTTAGAGCTCATTGAAAAATGCTTGTCCGGAGCAAAACTTCCACATGTATAGAGGGATTTCGATATTACTTGGCACAAATGTTCACCATTGTGAGGGCGGAGTGTCGCGCGCAAGATTCAGGTCCTTGTGGCCAAGGTCAAGGTCACACATAGAGGTAAAAA